GCATTGTTTTTTCTCAGAACATTGAACCCAAGCAACGCACTTCCGTTCAAGACAGGGGGGGGGGGGGGTGTGTTCAAACAACCTCGCCATTGATTAGTATTTCGCACCCGTGATTCCATCCGGTGTGCACATCGTTTGGTTTGTGAAAAGCCCCGCAGCATTGTTTTTCATACTCTTGATAAGGTATCATTTGTCAGATGTCATACTGACATTTCATATGATGATGCATCATAGTTACAGCCTTGTTTGTCATATTAGTACATTTCTCATTTCTGGCACAGGCTTTTAATTGCTTCATACATTTCTAATATCCGATGAGTGATACATCAGTGTATGTCACACTAATATATAATACAACATTGGATGTCACACACACGTTTCCAATATCTGATATAACACTTTGAATGGAAATGTGTGATTTTTTTGAGTAATAAAATTTAATAATTGGGCAATGTAAAGATTATTGCCTGAAACCAGTGGTTCCCAACATTTTCTCCGCTCCAGGAAACTCCTGAACACTGATAAGTTGTAAGACAAAGGATATGGCTAAGGCCCCCCCCCCCCCATAGAAATTAATTTTAAAAATGGTCCGTAAGTCCAACAGATTGGAAACCACTGGCCATAAACTCAGGAAACTCCTGAACACTGATAAGTTGTAAAACAAAGGATATGGCTAAGGCCCCCCCCCCCCATAGAAATTAATTTTAAAAATGGTCCGTAAGTCCAACAGATTGGAAACCACTGGCCATAAACAATTAATACGTTTTCTATGCAATACATGGAGACCAAATTATGTTATTATTTTTAACACCATGTTCGAACGATCTAGTCAGTAGTGGAATCTAAAAAATCATTTAACACTAAATAAAATCTACCATTCTTAAACGACTAAATTTCATGTCCTAATCTTATGATTCGAACCCGAAAGCGCTTACTTTGAAACGTGTATTACTAGAATGTAGATGATTTTTATCGAGCCAAAATAACCTCTTCTTTTTCTTACCATAAATCTGGGTTGAAATGAAAGCTAGTTAGTCTCTGAAAAATAAAAAGCTATTTTCATGATTAAGCTTTCAATCAGCTGCTAGGCCCTAGCTACTGTCGGGTAAATAAGTAAATAACGTCACATTGGGAAATGGCGTCGATGGGTCGTCGAGCGCGAGCTCTTAATACCCCACCCCCGGCACACCCCCATACGGTCAAGACGCCGGGTCTACAGGCCGCCAGACCGTGCGGAAGAACGCCAGGAACCTCCAACCTGGCCTGGGGGACGATCGGTCGACCAAAAACGCTGCGTTTAAAGCCGGGACGAAAGCTGGGACGAAACGGTCGCCTAGGAGCGGCTTTCTCAGGGCCGCGTAGCTAAAATCATCGGTATGGGTTTTGGCCGCTACCCAGACCTCATATCCATTAACGGCAATAAGTAATCATGTTATTGCGTTACTCCCATTGCGTTGGGAGTCATGCAAGTGGACGGGGTTTTTGGCTTCAGGAGAACAAAGCCTCCCTTCTAGTCTGGCACGCCACGGAGAGGCAAACCCGATGTGACACCACCAAGTTGCCTTGGCTGTGCGGGTCCCTGACTTAGAGGCGTTCAGTCAGTTTCCCCCAGGGTAAAAAGTAAATACAATAATCTCTTAGATATATTTTTCTTGTGTTGCGACTGCTTCCCTTTCCAGACAGCGCGCAAAATATAATTCCCGATAACTACGCTAAATGCAACTTGTGTTTGGTGCGTAACATTTTCTTTTCTTTTCGGAATATGAAATTGTCTCAATTTAAATATTGTGTGATAAATATTCGGTTTAAAAGTGGTTGGGACATCAGAATATTAATATAGTTCATGGACGTGAAATAAAAAGTGTGCACTGACGTACCATGGGGGAAGGGGGGTGCAGCAAACATTGGCATTCTTAATGTGCGTTAGTTGAGTTCATGTTTTGTCAAGTAACTTTAATAGATGGTAAGTTCACGGATTGCTGTCGCAAATGTTTGACGAGCTATAAATAGTCTTACTTATTTCTGTGGGCGTAAACGTATACTTCTTTCGAAACAGAAATAATACTTTTAGATGCATATCATTTTGAAATAATTATTTTAATTTCATCTACATAGTATAGCTTGATACAAAAAAGAAAAATCGTTTATTTGCAGATTATACAGCTACACAGACACCTGAAGCTTTAATCCCTATGCAGAACGTGGTCCACACGAATTCCAAAGTAGCGGTGAAGTCTAATTTTCTACACCCTAATGATAACATCCCTCTCCAAAACGACAAGCACGAGTGTCTCAAACAACTTCCCCACATTACAGCGGCGAAACAAAACCTGAACTTGGTCGGTTCTGGTGCCGACGACGTCGTGCTAGCACGTGACACAAATCTATCCGACAGTTCTCTGTACGTGGTCACGTCTGACGACGACCTTCGTAGACTGGTCGTTGTTGAAGAGACGTCGCCGGGTCACACGGACCTGGGGAGCCCCTCGTCGCCTATGCAAGTCGGTACATCGTCACACGTGACTGTGGGGGCAAAGAAAACACTTCCACCTCTCAACGTCGTGGCCACGCCACACGTGTCACAACTTAACACACGTAATGAGGAACTGACCAATGGCCGCCCATCAGATGGTAGGATATCATCACTGACCACACACGCTGTTGTACCGCCACTGAATGATTCAGTGATAAGAGACGCTCTTCTGCCAGAAAAGTTACAAACGACTCTAGAGTTAAATGGAGTGACTTTTAAATCTGAAACAGATGCCTGAATGCCTAAATGCCTGAATGCCTAAGCTATTTCACGTGTATTGTCGGCACCTTCTAGAAGTAAACAATATATGTCTTTGATGAACATTTAAATTCATCCACCACCCCCCCCCCGTATTCAATTTAGAAGCGTATAGTTGGAGCTCTATATCTTGGCTATTTGTGTCATGGAAGCACCATGAGTATGCCAATCCCGATGGTAGGCCTTTAATAGAATTGCACTTGCGTAATAATATGTGAACATGTGGCACCCTGGTTGCGTATTCAAACCTCAACTACTGAAGTCAGTAAATACCAGCCTAATTGGTTTGAGTGTAAACATTTGCTGTCTGCGCCATCCCGACACCCGCACAAAATCAAGCAAGCTTCTACGCTATCCCGACACACTGGCAATCAGAACATTGTTCATACTAACTTAGGGGCTCTTTGGAAAGACCCATAAAAGATAATAATTGATGGACTGCGTTGAAGCTGTGTTAATGAAATAGTAGAACAAGGTATGTTGAAGCATGAAAAATAGACAGGACAATAAGATTTGAACGTCCTTCTTCCACGAACAGGATAAATGAAAATTCAACAAGAAACAGAGCATAGTAAAAAAAAAAAAAATTGGAGATATCCTTAGTAAGGATTATTTCCGGCAACAACACTAGTTATCCGATATCATGGTACGGAGTTATATAGAAAGCTTAAGATGTCGACGAGCATTTGCAGTTGTTCGTAACGTTTCTTCAATGTTTCCAAAGTCTCGTCCACTGACCACAACAAAGCTTCTTGATGCGGCTGCCGTGTCTCGTCTTCAGATTCCCATTCAAACTGCACCCCTCGTCTCTTAATTCGGGGTTCTTTAAACACACCGCCTCGGTGTTGGTTTCTGATGCTTTTTCCTATGCAGTATTCTTCTTTGTATTTGGCGAAGAAACGGATCAGACCTTGGACATAATATGTAACGGCTACATCAAGTTGCACAGCTGATGTAAGCACGCTGTTGCTGGCGGTGTTGACAGGCGGACATCACTTAATAAGGCCTACCCACCATATGACCATGTCGAGCAGAAATTTCAACCAAAAATCCTCAGCTTGACAAGCAGCTTCTCTATTCCCATCACGGTCATCACACGATTGAACTAAGAGGGAGAGTGCGGGGGAAAAGGACAGAATGTTTATTGGAATATCTTGTAACTCCGAACAATGTGTTGACTGGAAATAACGAACTATTAATAGGCACGGCCTGGCTATATTAATAATAATATATATATATATATAATATTATAAGGGTTACGCGCGAGGGCCCCCCCCACACACACACACAAGCGTGGTGCCTCCGGCGCCGTCCTCGTTCATCATCTCAGTAAAACTCACACAGATAACTTATCAATTCACTAAAGCTATCTATTCCACAAACAATTGAAATAACCATTCGGTGCGTCTACAAAATTTGCGAGACATAATTTCACTTCTATGCACCCTTACTTCAAAGTCTTTCTGTGCCCAGGACTGTAAAACACACACAGGCATTTATTTCATTTAAGCTATATTTTCTGATGTATAACATTTTTGCATAATTAATTCTAAGTTAAGGACTGTAAAACAGTTGAATGTTATGATGGTGTACAAACTGCTGCAAGGTCATGGTTTTCTCTAATTTTAATAGAATACCGGATGTTTTAAAGGGTTGCGGTGGCCTTGAAGTTAAAATATATTTCTTAACATGTAAAAACAAATGGGAGCAGGCATCCATAACTATTATTTCTTCAAAGAAAGATACATATATTGACCGCAATGACAGCTCGTGTTATGGTACGTCTTTACATTCAGCAAAAAATACTACTTGAACTCGCAATAGATCGTCTCTACAATCTGGTTTTAAGAATGCTCCCATATAATTCATAGTTCAATGCTGCAGATGCTTGTGTAGATTAGTTCATGAATTATTTACTGTCAAATGGTGAGTTTTACTTACATGGTATTAAAATGTAACAATGTGTTTGTTGAGTATAATCTAGATTAAATGTGTTGGATTGTATTTCATTATGTGTTTTAAAATTATGTCAGATTCAGAATTGTCTTTTGTTTGTTTGAAACATGATGTGTCAGATTCAGAATTCTCATGAGTGTTTGAAACATGATATGTCCGATTCAGAATTCTCATGAACCTCAAACGAGAAAGAGAAACAAGTTGCAGCAACTGTCAAGCAAACTTTCATTTCAAATTAAGCAAGCCCAGCAAGAAAACTTATTATGTAAATGTTTAATTCTTTTCCAAGCAAGATTTGGTCAAAATATGAAGAAAAAACATTGCAAGTTCAAGGGACACACCATCCAACTACAAGTACACACAATATAAAACAAGGCACACAGATTTTTATTTGATTCCATTGGTAATTAGACCATTTTGCAGTTTTTTAAAAAAAAAGCCAAAGTTATCATATGAAACATAAGATAATTCACAACAAGCCAACCAGCTGGTCCAAATATTCAATTTTAACAAAACGTGTGTGTATTGTAAGGATTTATTCTGTTTTTAAGGTTGGAGCAATCAAAACACTGCCACATATCCCAGCTTTAAATCCTGCACTCATATTTTATGAAACAATACATTCATAAAACTCAAACAAGACACAATAAACAAGGATGTGTTGATTACAAGCCCGCCCCGCCGCGGCAAGCAGGGGATTTTCCGATGTCTTGTGACGTATCCCATTCTTTGGGTGTCTTGGCCTGAAAATTAATTAAAATGGTTCCACAATTATTCTGATGTTTCATACTAATAAAATGAGACCTTTAAGGTAGAGGAGCTAAGATACAAATTATGGAATCCTATGTTGGCCTCAACAAATGTAAAATAAATTTCTGTTTAAAAGAATTGGGGAAAAAAAAACCTTCACATATTACATTTGCGACATCAATAGAGATTATTTTTTAATATGAACACCAGCAGTAAAGTTAATACTTACGACTATAGATAATGCATGAATGGAATTGTCAATTTCTTCTTGAATAGCTTTGTGAACAAGTTGATGTTTCTGAATTGGTTGGAGATCATTTATAAACATTCATCAGTTAGTAACACATTTTATTTAATAGGCTATGAAACTTGCATTCATGTCAAAGCTGACCCAAATAAATCTCAAGTTCCCTTTGTTTTTAAGTTCCTATTCATATTTTTCTGAGGCCTCGGGCATTTACCTCTCTTATCTCTAATTTTATTTGGTCCCAATACCAAGACATTGTTTTCATTTGGTCCCAATACCAAGACATTGTTTTCATTTGGTCCCAATACCAAGACATTGTTTTCATTTGGTCCCAATACCAAGACATTGTTTTCATTTGGTCTCAATACCAAGACATTGTTTTCATTTGGTCTCAATACCAAGACATTGTTTTCATTTGGTCTCAATACCAAGACATTGTTTTCATTTGGTCCCAATACCAAGACATTGTTTTCATTTGGTCCAATACCAAGACATTGTTTTACCATGGTATTTGTCAGTCCTTTCATTTTACAACTGATGAAGGTTTCTCGCTGACATACATACGTTAGTTTGACTGTTTGAAATACAAAATATCTGGTATTTTTAAAATACAGATATATATCAATTGCTCACAGCTCGCATCTTCTAATATATAAGATGGTACAAAATATATATTTTCTAGCTTACTGATTACTGGTTATTCCTCAATATCATTCAATAAATGGTGATAACTGTAATATTCCAAAACCTATATAGTATATTTGATTTTTTAATTTTTTATCCCATACCATGTTGTTTAAAAATGGAATATATAAGAAAGCAGCTACTTGAAATAAAACTTCTTTTCAAACATTTTTTTCAAGTTCTTGGGGGGAAATTTAAAATCTGCACACTGGTGGCCCCTGCAAGTAGTGTGGAGATGGATTTATCAAAACCATTAAGTAATATTTTCAAACTTACTTCAATACGTTTTACATTTTCAAAAGCAGAAGAAACAATCACAACTTTAAAATGAGACTCAGTTCCTGAAACAAGAATGCAAGCAAATACAAAATTTAATTTTAATGTCATGGGTTATGCTACATTTCATTTGTTTAAAAACCTTTACTAATTATTTCACTATTATAAAAGTGTTGGACTGCGATAAAGTTTTTAAGTACATTTACCCCAGTTTTCTTACGTGTGTGTGCAAACACGGTTGTAAATAAAATCAAAGTGTAATGTATAGAATGGACAGCAAACATAATGTTAATGTATGGAGTAGATATGGAAGTTTAGCTCTACAAGTACAAGTAGTATAATATTAAAATAAAATTCTTAAGCACTAACATTCATAGTTAAGCTCTAAGTAGAAAAAAAAAAAGAAACATTTCATTTAAGGTTTTAAATAATAAAAAATTGCAGAGCACATCAAAATAAATTGCAAAAAAAACAAAACAATATTAAAACTTAACAAAAAATAACTTAAAAGCACTGCTTGAACAGTTTAAAAAATTATATTCACTCACCTTTAGGAACATTGTGCATGTAGCTTTCATTGATCACATCCAAGTATTCAGGCTGACAAAATAATTTAGGAATGGTCAAAAGTTAATGAAACTAAATCTATGTCAGTTATTCATAATAAATTTATTGTTGATGTTTGTCAATTGCTAAAACACACAGATTAAAATGTATTTTTCCTGTTAATATTTAGACCAAATTATGTAATCAAATACTAATATAATAAAATATTGTCAAGTAAACATTTAAACTTTAGTAAAAATCAGAATTAAATGTTCAAAAGAGTGAAGAATATACTTTTTCAAAGAAGATTGCACTTACTTTTAAAGCTTCTGTTAGCTTCTTACGTATAATATTTTCAACAGGTTTCTGAAAAAATAAATCTTTTAATGATAATTATTCGCACTAATCAGATAATTATTTATAGATACCCGTTAATATACACACAAAAAAGGTAGAGTTTTTTTTGGAATTTTATCTAATGGCTATAATATGTAAAATAAACTCACATCATCCCCCATTGCAGCTGTTACAAATCCTGCTTGTCTATTAACAAGTTTACAATAAAGTGATGATTTTGAGAAATCCTGTGTATACACTTGATGACTTAAAATACCAATAAACCTTTTCAGGCTACCAGCCATGTACCCTGCAAACATATTAATTTAATTGAGTCAAATATCTATTAATGTAAAGTCAGTAAAGGGTAGTAAATAAATTTACATTCGCACATTTAAAAAAATATTTTTTTTATCCAAGATCACATTTTTGCAGTGCTACAGACCTGTTACCCTCAAACTCTTAAAATCTTCAATATCATGACAAAAATCATTCAATGCATTATCTTAATCGTAAACAAATAAACATAAAGTATATATAATGTATACACCTCAAAATCGTACAATGTATGCCAAAATCGTAAGAGTAAACAGGTCTGGTCCTATTCTCAAACAACATTATTTTTTATTTCTCAAGTAACTACAGCCTTCATCCACTGTTAATTTAGGAGCATCCTTGCGGTTTAAAATTGGCTAGCAATAGAGAAGAGCCCAAAGAGACCTGGCCCCGATGAAGATAGCTTTTACAGAAGCAGCTGATGGATGTGAAATGCCTTGGCTAATAACTCAAGCATCATTCGATGCATGAAAGTTAAATGAATTTTCGATCTGGTTTCTGGCTAAGATTTTCAACACTGCTTCAAAAGAGACCTGAAAAGATGAACTTTTTTTTGTCTTAAACTTAGAAAAACACAATAGTCCTACACAATCACAGAGCTTAATGATTGATACAAGCAAATTTTTATTAAAATTTATTTTAAAATAAAAGTAAATGCATTTGCCTAATTAATTTGATCTTTTCTGTGGTATGCATATTAAAAAAATTTTGGCTGCTGGAGGTGTCTTGGCTGCAGGGGGACTAAAGATATTAAGGGGCCCAAAGTTGGGATTTGGAAAAAAACTAAAATATCCCCATCAACTTTGAATTCAAAGGGCAAAAAAGTTAAAAAGTTGCAAGGGGCCTCCAAAATCATACTCTGGCCACCACTCACTGCTATATTCTTACTCCCATGTTAAAAATCTTGTAAAAGTAAAATCTACTAAAATACACCTACTAGTTATGGACAAAATCGCTGGTCAGCAACCTGATTCTCCAGAGTCACATGCAACTAATTAGACTAATCTAACTCTTAGTTTGAAAATTATTAAATATCTGTAATTTAGCATTTCAGCATCGGCTATTCAAAAATTGCATTTTTTGGCTCAGTAGTGCTCAGTAGTGGACAGCGGATAAAAGGCTATTGGGTTTTTACTGGCATTGAAAGAAAGGATGGGCAATGTTTTCTTGTTTAAGTGCCAGAGTTGGTGCATAACAGGATATACTCTACCAGGTTCACAAATTACCTTAGATCAGTGGTTCTCAACCTTTCTAGTGCCGCGACCCCTTAATACTGTTTCTCGTGTCGTGGCGACCACCAAGCCACACAATTATTTTCGTTGCTACTTCATAACTGTAATGATATATGTTTTCAGATGGTCTTAGGGCGACCCCTGGAAAAGGGTCCCGCGACCCCCAAAGGGGTCGCGACCCACAGGTTGAGAACCGCTGCCTTAGATGCATGGGAGGCTTATGCAAACATAAATCAGACTAGACACAGAGTCTATGAACACTCTGTTGTAGTCCATCAACAAAACTTTGTTGACCCAAATGACGTTTGTCACTGGTGCCCCCAAAGCAGAATGAAGAAAATTTATATTTGCGCGCGAAGCGCAAACTGATAAGAAAGCTTGGCAACAGACGGGCTCTTATCACTTCTGAATCCCTTCATTGTTACTGGGGGACGGACTATGATAAACTCAAACACTGTTTGCTTAGGGTGGCAATGAGTCCAGGTTTTCCCAGACATGTCCTCTTTATAGGCCTCTGTCCAGGCAGCTTTCCAGGAAGATGGCTTTTGTCCTGGTTTTATCCATTTCCATCCCTCCATACCTTCTTACCAGTGGCGACGCCATCATATTTAACATGGCGGGTCCCTTGCAGGTCTTAAAAAAATTAGGCGGGTCCCAAAAAAATGTATTAAAAATAAAATTTATTCGTGATATTTTTGCGTACGTAATATATGGCTGGCCTCTTAGAAGTTAAAAACTTAAATTTTATATATATTACATTTTATTTTTACGTTATATTGACTTTTGTTGTCGATAAAAATTTAAACATATAAAGGCATTTAAAATAGTTCTCTTACATGTGATGTAGTTTACGCTTAATGAGCATATATACAATATTAGTAACTAATAAAAATTTACCAGGTCATTTGCCAGGTCCCAAGTTTTTTTACCAGGTCCTGGGACCCGGCGGTGTAGCGTTCCCACTGCTTCTTACTTACATTTTTTCCCATGTTATATGATATTCTGTTCCATGAAATAAACACCCACCAGAAACATATAGTTCCATGTTAAGGGTTACTAAGGTAACAATGCGAAACATAACACATAGCGGTAACGCAATTTCATGATAATTGATAAATAATTAATTTGTGTAAGTGTTTATTATTTACAACAGAACCACTGAAAACCCAATACCCTGGTTTTCGTGTAGGTCGATACAACCAGGGAGTTGAATGCTTGACATGTGACAGCGAAACTTTAAAGTCGCATGTCAAAATGCTGAAGCATGTTTATGAGTGTTCTCTGAAAAAACTTCACCTACAACAGTAACCAAAATTTTCTTAACACCTGGTTCAAAAAGCAATGAATCTGTTTCCACAGCTGAAGACATAATTTTTTTTTCACCTGATTCTGATATTGCAAGCAAAAATCAGTCAGTGTAATGTAATGTCATGTGTGCTGAACACTCAATTAATTATATACAAGTGAGAAGTTTATAAATGAAACTATTTACATTAATAATAATAACAATATTTCATGTAGTTTAACTTACTTTCACTTGTACAACACTTAACATTTACTACTGGTCGATAACAATACAGGATTTGGTAAAAAATGTGGGCAATGTGGGTACAAAAATGTGAGTGTGCTCTGTTTCATCTGAGGACTTTAGTCTGTCTTATAAAAGTCTTATACTTACAGCTTATATTTATATTATATTATTAATTATAGTTACCCTAAGTCTTACTATGCGCTGAAATGAATGTGTACAGTAAAATGAAAAATGTAATAACATGTTTCCTTACTAACTTTTAATTAATGATCTAATCAGTCTAATCATTTACTTTGATTAATAAAAATTAATAACTAGTTTTTACTAGTAGTAGTATTTTAGTATTAGTATAGTTAAGTATAGTAAGTAACTATTTTTAGTTTTTAGACTATACTATACTATAGTCTATAGGCTACTAAACTGTCTAAACTAAAATTAATTAAACTACACAATCCACCCCTGGCCTGCCTTCATGCAGATGGATTTTTTTTAAAAAGTTGCCGACTCCTGGACTAAACAAAACAAAAGTCATACCTAATTCTTAATTTAGAAAGAATGAATTTTTTATGTATCATTCGTTTTCATTTATGACCGTGAATACAAATATATTTTAACGCTCTTGAATATTAAAGATTAAGGATGTTAAAAATAGTAAGAGTACCCTCCCTTTAATTGCCAGGTTTTTTGTTATATTTATTAAATTTAAATTTATGTTAAATTTGATGTGTAGTCTTTCTTTTTACTATTATAATTATGCAAAATTAAAAAAAAAAAGAAAGCAATGCAATATATTAATTTTATTTTATAAAAAATATTTATATAATAGATTAAAAATCGTAAAAACTACAACTGGGTCTAGCATATAAATGTATTATCATTAAATGCAATCTGATTTTTTGCCACATTGACCATTGAATAAAAATAATAGAGGAAAATAGAATGGCGAAAGCGTCGTATCGAAACCCATGAGTAGACTTCATCGCCTTCTCTGCTGTGTTATATGAAAACTTTCTTGATCACTCGATGACTCATATTTATTAAGAATGTCTTCAAGCACCGAAGTACCACAAGATGATGGGAATAATATTTCGAAGACGCCCAGTGTTCCTGTGGTTAATCAGGCTCAGCAGCAGTCTCAGACTGCTTCAGAAATAACAAACAAAACAAACAATCTACAGAGAATCGCTCAAAAGAAAATGCTAGTACGCAGCTACCCAAGGAATAAAAAGCTAGAAAAATTAGCAGTTTATTCTAGCTGCAAGGTAGTCATCAATTTTTGTATTCAGAGATTATTTGGGAGGGTTGAAATGACTGGGGAGGGTTGAAATGACTGGGTAGGGCAAAATGTAAATCAAGTAAATAGGCTGTTTGTTTGACTTGGAGTGAATGTGAATCATTGGTTTTTGAGAGCACAATTTGTTATTGAGTAAATTTACCCATTCTGCACAAATTAATTCCCACAGCCAGGCCACCTTCTTGGTTGCCAAGACAGCTCATGTCATGGTAACCAAGATGGTGGCCGTGTAAAAATACAAGACAAAGTAGTGCTAACACACATCTGCTAAAATGGGGAGGGGAAAGAGAGAGAATGTGCTTTTTTAGCTGATTACAGAGAGAATCAAAATGTTAAAATGTAATAAAATAATTTCAGCGGGTAAATTAATAATGTGGCAACTATAGCAACTTTATTGTATCCCTCTAGATATGCAGCAAAAATTCTCGACATGAAATCACTCTCTTTCCTGCTGTAATTTCAGCTGGTACATTAAATTTCGTGGCAAAAATAGCAACTTTATTGTATCCCTCTAATTATGCCGCAAGAAGTTTCAATGACCTGCAGTCGCTCCTTCCCTCAACTAAAATTAAAACATGTGTGCTACAGTTACACCCTGTGATGTCAAAAAAGTGTAAAATTGAAGAATTTCATAGAATAAACTTTTACACTCTTTATTGCAGGTTCCACCAAAAAGAAAATACAAAAGTTGTTAGCAAATCAATAACATACAATACAGTACTATAGTAATTTTTCCAAAACCTCAGAAAATGTATATATTATAATTAACAGCCCAAAGAAAATATTATATTATATATTTTTAAAAAATATAAAAATTTAACTCCAGTAACAATTCAGAAATTAACATAAGGGAGAGAATCCTACATAGAAGCTCAAAGTGGTGCAGATTGCATAAATTGACCTGTTATTATTGTAAAGGCACAATAATTTTAATTTCTTAAACGTCCGTGATTGTAGTCCACCGTATGTAAAAACCCACAACTGAGTCTTGCCACATATCAGCGGCATACAATAAAATATCTACATACATCCCAAATTATGTGTAGGCTTAGGCCTATGTGAGGAAGGAAGCAACGAGTTCTACCCATCGCTTATTAAGTTTAAGACGCTTCTCACCCTTCCCATCAATTGCCAACATTATTATTAGCATTCCTTCATTTTGCTGGTACACTAGTACATGGTATAGGATAGCATCATTGTCTTAGATTAGGTAGACTTTGTGATATAAAAATCCCTTTCAATCTGTAGTAATAAAATTTAGGCCTAGTGGTAAGTTCCTAGAATTTCATTTTTAATTTTAAAAATATTAACATTAATTAATGATGTAAAATACAATACTAGGGAAAAAGGGGACATTTAGTTAGACTATATAGAAAAAGAAATTATTTATTTATTTAGTTCAGGCTTCATAATGGACACAAGTCACCACTCCATCTACCTCATATATACACTTATTCAAATTCAGGATTAATGTAGTCATTCAGTATTCTTTTTCAATCTCTTGTTTTGAAAATAAATTTCAGTCTGAAGGTTGCAAATGTAACGGCTGGAAGAATCCTAATCCACCACCTCAGCAACCTGTAGCTGACGCTTCCCAGCCCTTAGCAAGTTTAACTGATCCATGTAAAAGCTGCAGACACCCTCTTGGTAAATATAGTGTTATAGAGAGCTTGTTTACATAATATTTCTCGTGCGTGCCCTCTGATTGACCCCACATGAGACGCTGTGTTCACAAAGGGGTGTGGCTTAGGCCTTTGATGTATTCTTGTTTATGCCGCCAATAATTAATCTGTTCCAAGTAGTGTTTTGTAGAATGAATCTGATGGTTCTAGAAATGCCATGTAGCTTGTAGAAGGCAGGGCTTAGGCGTCGGTAGACCCACCTATATAAGGGATTGACAGGCACGGGCGAGGAGGGAGATTTTCAGATAGATTTTCTTAACATTAATGTGTTTTATTCTTTGTGTATTTGTGAGCTTATATGTGTTTATTTCGCATTATTTATTGGCACATTATTCTAACTGTGTTAACTGTGTACCGGTACAAGATTTACCATACTGTAAGTTGAAGATTGTAATTATATTTTCTTTTCTTTTGTAATTATCTTAAGACATAATAAATCTTAATTAATTGTAACTAGAAACTGTTTGGGTCGTATATTTAATATTGTTGATTCTATGGTATCGTCCTTTGTTAGGCACTGCTTACAACGAGCCAATTAAAATTAAAATAGGAGATTAATTTCTCCCAATACAAGTCAGTGCGTAACAATAGCATAACATGATGTTTTATAAACACTTTAAAAAAAAAGTATAATTATATCAGCTTTTATACTGACTAAACACTGCGATTTATGGAGAAATTCTTTGAAAGATAAGTATTACTCTCTGGTTGACAGAATGTGGGGGGTATAAAAATTAAAGAAAAACAGCAGAAACAGCTTGATTTGCAAGGAATACGAAAGAGACAACCATGTTTTATTTTTTATCATTTAGGAGCCCATGTTTCACATTTAGAGAACACAGATGAAGAAGAACTGAATAGACTCCTCCGTATTGTTGTAGATGTGGAGAATTTATTTGTTTGTGTTCATCGAGAAGAAGACTCAGAAGCTAAACAAGTTTACTTTTATTTGTTCAAGGTAATACGATTGTGGTATAACTACGGTGAAAAATCAAAATTATATTGTTAAGGAATGATTATTTTTACTATTAGTGAATAATAAGAAACTTTTTACCATTTATTTTATGAGTCATTTATCCAACCCTCATTCTCATGAATATGCCTTTTACTTTTTATTTAGCTACAATCTGTCATCATTTTACTCAATACTGAATATGACTATCATTTAGAATGCTTTCCTATAGGAAAGATATTTTTATAAAACAAAAGTTATATTCTTTGTATAAATTATAAACATTTTATTTTTAAACTTGCAGCTCCTTAGGAAATGTATTTTAAACATGAGCACCCCATCTATTGAAGGTTCATTGGGGACACCTCCATTTGAGAAACCTAGTATTGCCAAAGTAAGTGCAAATTATATTTTTCTGTTGAATAAAAATGTTTTTAAAACCCTACAATTTAGCATCATTTACATAAACATGAATATGTACAATGTAATCGAAACATATTTCCATTTCTTGGATCAATAAAATAATCTTATCTTATGTTACATGTATTTGTCTTTCCTTCAAGGGCGTTACTAACTTTGTAGTATATAAATTTGGAACATTGGCTCAGAAAGAATGGCAGACAATGTATGACTTGGCTAAAATGTTTTTGCATTGTCTAAATCACTGGAAGTTATGGCCCCCTGCTAGCCGTGGCCAGCAACTTGATGAGAAAGATGAGAATGATTATAAATTGAACTACACAAGGTGTGCTATTTTAAATTTATTTTAAATTCATAAGGTTTATCTTAAAATTTGTCCCAAAGTGATATGTTTGTTATTATTGATTCTTTAAAATTTATTGAACCACATGCTCAACATTTTTTGTTGTTGATTCTTCATTTCATCTCATTGATAGGTGGCTTTGCTTCTGCCACGTACCCGCCTTCTGTGATAGTTTGCCTCGTCATGAGACAACCTTGATTTTTGGTCGCACTCTACTGAGGTCAGTTTTTCAGACAATGAGAAGGCAGCTATTGGACAAGTTTAGAGCAGAGAAAGATAAGATGCCACCTGACAAAAAGACACTGGTCCTGACACATTTTCCCAGGTAGGCGTTAAGAGTTATGAGCTTATATACATCAAAATTAAAATTATCATGAAACATCTATAATTATGGGCTAAATAGAAAGAAACATTACTAAATGAATGAAATGTTTAAATCAGGCTATTACTAATGGTTCCTACTGAATTTAAGGAATTAATAGTCTAAATTCCGTGTTTGAAATAAAAATAAGAAATTTGATATTATTGGATAGTAGATAGAGAATTTTGTTTTGTGCTAGAAGACCACAATTATATTCATTTTCCTAAGAAATAAGTTCAATTAAATAAATGTCAGATATGCATAATTAGATATTCAACTATGCTTTCTTTCATCATGATTAGAATGCTTCTATTTCACTGATTTTCTGCCAGGTTTCTCACAATGCTGGAGCAGGAAGTCTATGGAAATAGTTCACCCATTTGGGATCCAGATTTTGTTCAAATCACATCCAATCTGCCGCCACCAAGTCCTGCTGGTAACTTAATAAAATATTTCAGTGATGTGTTGGTTTTTCAAGGCTTAATGAGATAACATGTTGTTGATTCAGAAAGTTGATTAAGACTAATTTCCTTAACTAATCAAACAAAACAGCTACTTTTACTCCATTCTGTTTTTAAAAAAAAAACTGTTTTCTCTATAAATTTCAGCAGAAGTAAAAACCTTGCTAACAATACTTAAAATTAATCTATTATAAAAGAATTGATGAACTTGCTACAATTTGCTCTAACATTTTGCCAGAGGCAGCTCTTTAATGACTATCACCCTTCCTGGGGAAACTATTCTTTTTGATATGTCAGTTTTATGGTGATTTTGTTTTTCTGTAGTTTTTGTTGATTTAATTTCTATTTTTGACATTTTATATATATTTTATTTTTGTTTTCTGTTTGCTTGAGACAAATTTTTGTATGATGTTCTATGTCCATTTGGTTGAGATGTTCTATAAAAATCCATGGAAAAAAAACAAAAAACCCAAACCAATTTTTCACTGACAGTCAGTCCAGGGGGGGCAGCAGGTGTCAGTGGTCTGAGCCGTTTCACTTCCTCCACAGTTGGGAGTGATGCATATGGTGCTTTAAATATTAGTCCTGGTCTGCTGACCAGCGGGCGACGTGCATCACGATCTCAAGAAGCCGCAGGTAATATATTGCTGTAGAAGGAAATGAAACTTGGGTATAATGTATCTGCTGTTACTGTGCCTGGTACTAAAAGCCAGGGATTTTAAATTTTCTCATCACTGCATTAAATTTTAGCTTGGTCACCAGTTCTAGAGTATGTGGATCTCCTTTATAAGAGCATTTGAAATCCCCAACATAATAAGCTATATTGTTAAACAGCCTTATAATTTTCTTTGCACAGAGAAAAGAAAAGCAGACGAGGCTGGTCTTAGCGATGGTGCTAAGAGACCAAGAATTGAAGGGGATGTATCAAAGGAAACTTTAGAAGAAGTGCTTTCAGAGCTCAGTACAGATGGAGAGAGTGATGGCACTATGGTAGGCCCTGAGGTAAGCATTAAATTATCAAGTAAAAAAGAAGTTTTGATTTTATCATCCTTGTAATATAAACAAGAGAAAAAGAGCACCAGTTACTAAAATGTTCATTCTCACTGAAGGTGCAAAATTGGAAAAGTTATTCAACAGTTTCTTTAATCTTTATTTCTGACTGTTTAATCTATTCAGACATTATGTCCAACGCATGCAGCAAGAGATGAGCAAGCCAGGCAGGAAGAGAAAGATGGAAAAATAGACTTTCATATTATTAATAACTCGCTGAGTCATCGGCCCACCAATCAAGTTTTTCTATGGCTAATTGAAGTTCAGAACCTTTTTTCTCACCAGTTGCCTCGAATGCCCAAGGAATATATCACACGTCTAGTCTTTGATCCGTAAGGCCTTTTAATTTTTATTGTATAGATTAACCAGATCTCATAATTTTAGACTTGTTAAATTAGAAATCAAATTTACTCTTGTATTAAGTTGTATATAAAATATTTCAAAAATTAGTCTCAGGCTGCTTGAAGTGTAACAAAAAAATATAACATCTCCTCACAGGAAACACAAGTGCCTGGTGCTAGTTAAACACAACCATGTGATAGGAGGCATTTGCTTTAGAATGTTTCCCACCCAGTGCTTCACTGAGATTGTGTTTTGTGCTGTGACTTCTAGTGAACAAGTTAAGGTAATAACCTATCCCTGAGAGGGTTTAGACATATTCAATCAATTATAGACAGAAAGTAAAGGTGTAGGCCAACACTTGTGACGGCTCACTTCATAACCATACTTTTTAAAAAAAAAAAGAAAGAAATTTGAAAATGAATGTTTTTGAGAAAAAGGTAAATCACTAAATTTTATAATTATTCTTATTTATAAAATTTAAAACAAACATTTTATTTTTGTGTAACAGAGATAATAAATGAGATGTGATATATTTTATAATTGTTTACTGAAGTCATTTGCTTTATGTCCAACAGGGTTATGGTACAACACTTATGAACCATCTCAAAGATTACCATCTCTTACACAATATTACACACTTCCTGACATTTGCTGATGAATTTGCTACAGGTTATTTTAAAAAGCAGGTAAGTTTTATTATCAAAAAACATCATTCTCTATGTGAGTCGATTTAAAAATATAAATATTTGAGTTTTTTAAATCAATTATTTAACCTGCCTCTTGACCAAGAGATAAGTTCAATTCTGTGGAATAGAAATGAAATGTACATGAGTCCAGTGAGAGTCTTCCTTTCAGAATAAAATATGGACAATTTACAGCTATAATACTGTAATGGCTTTTTCTACTACGAAAGTAACAAAATCCCAAGGAAAATCATTTGATCACTTAGGAGTATAGTTAATTAGTTTGAACCTGTCTCTGTTCATAGACAACTGTGCCAGTCTAACTGGCCAGGTGACAGAATTTGAAGGTGTCAGTACTGTCTGTCAAGACACACTGTTAACAAACATTGCGCATTTGGTATATAGGCATTAACCTTTTCATTACCGATGATGCCGACGCGACATCACGATCACCCACTTCAAATTACCAAGGACCTCACATTGTCAACATAACAAAGAGGCTAAGAACTTTTCTGAAATACCAAGGACGTCACGTCGTCATATTTCAATGCTATATATTTCTTTATTCGTTACTCTATAGAGAAGTTAATAAGCAAATCGGATAGAGAATGAAATAATGTCGGAAGTTTCATCTTTAAGTTTTAAATTGCCGAGTCAGCAAAAATCGATGCCAAAACCAGCGTTAAGGAAAGGGTTAAAAAAACGTTTGAAGCCATTAGTTTCAATCTTTTATAGTAAGTTTCAGTCAATAGTAGCATTTTTTAAAAGATTTAAATTTCACAATGTTTGAAAATGGCCATAATTTTTTACGGTTACATCTAGTTATAAACTAATTAGATCAGGGGGTGGGGGGATTCCCTGGGGGGGGGGGGTCAGTCATAAGATCTGTAGGGAGGCTAAATGGTTTTTGTTTGGAGTGTAGATTTAGGAGGGTGTCGGGACTAAATGAGGGGCGGTGGTGGATTATGTCATAAAACTTTTTTATAAATAATATAAAAAATGTATTAATTAAAAATTATCTGATCATGAACGGCCTTGAAAAAGATCCATGAATAAACACTTGTCAAATATAATATTACAAGTACAAGGGGCTGTTAACAACAAGAAATATTTACTTAGTGGGATGTAAACGGTGCACTGCGCAAAAGTAGTGAATGAACTTTATAGAGGAGCATAATAATTTTTCTACTCATTCACTCGACGCAGAATAAGAAATTAAATCATAAAGCTTATTGACTATGGGGATTGTGGAAATTATTTTGGATTGTTAAATATTTATAAAATAGAAATCAAGTGCTGACAGGTTGAATCTAACTTACCCGGTATGTCTTTCTTTTCATGAAACAGAAGTCAAATAAAAATGCCTTTTTTTATAAGAGAGGGTGGTGCAACTGTGCATAAGTTCCGTGACCACTTAAAAATTATCGAAAACATCTTAATCAAGGCCAGGTCGCTACAGTCAGACCCAGAAGAATTAGAAGAAGAAAAAAGAGGGAGGGGGGCATGTTTCACTGAGGTTAGTGTTATCCAGTGCTGTAAACCCATGGTGACACCAGTGACGTAGGATGGGGTGGTCCAATGCTTATCTTCAATTTTTTTTTATAAAGGGTTGGTCTTCATTTTTTACGCAAAAAGAGGCAAGCCATAATTTTATTTTAACACAATTACTACACATTATTATGAGATACTGTAACTCTAATCAGCTAAATTCTATACAATGTATTTATTTAGTCTTTTATTCTGCCAGTTAAATATAAATACTGAATGGGGAAAAAAGGAGCCAAGTAGAAAAAAACAAGACGTCATCTAGGGCTAAAGCCATAATCGGGTGGAGTTTGAAAGATATTTTCTTTTGGTTATAAGTGGGATGACATGAAATGCATGCACTATTTCTTGCTTCTAAACTATATAAAAACAAAATCACTCAGAAGATTGTTATTATTCTAAGTATTTTAATACATTAAAAATACTAAAGACAATATATTTTACAACCAAATCCCAAAGGCAAAAATGTATTTTTAAAAATGTGCTTCAAAACGTATAAAAGAATGTTTAGATAAACATGAGTTTGTTTAGATTCCATGCTTCTTACATTTCGATCTAGGGCTTCTCTAAGGATATCAAACTTCCAAGATCACAGTATTTAGGGTACATTAAAGATTATGAAGGAGCAACTCTGATGGGATGTGAATTATGTCCAAGAATTAATTACACAGACTTTTCTAGAGTTATTCGCAAACAGAAAGAGGTAAAAATATGAAAATTTGGTTGGACACCTGAAGGTGTATTTTAAAACAATAATATTTTGCTATAGAGTTAGTTGTAAATTGATTCTTCAGCTTTTATTAAGTTTTTTTTATCTATAAATAAAATTAGTTCTTCTCTAACAGATAGTGAAGAAATTGGCAGCCAGGAAAAGCCTAGAGACAGAGAAAATCTATAGTGGAGTCAGTTTATTTAAAGAAGGTGTCAAACTTCCCATCCCCCTAGAGTCCATTCCAGGTCTGTTGGAGTCAGGGTGGAAGCCTCCAATCAAGTAGGTTACAGTGCATCTGTACTATAAAACAAATTCTGACAATATGCTTTAAATGCCATCAAAAATAATTGCAAGGACATATCTAAGCATAGACAAAGTTCAAAGTAATATTAGTTGATGTGTAATTAATTGCTTCAAATCTCACTCAAGAGACTAGTGAAATCAAATTTTGGTTTGGATAAATTATAAAATGATAATATTTTTTTTCTGAGAAATTTCCTTTGTTTTTTAATTGTCAGACTGTTTGAACTAAGCTATGTTATTACTATTATTTTTTAAATGCAGTGTATTAGTACTAGTACTATCTGATTTTAGAATGATTTTTTGTTTTTTTAAAATTATTTTGTTAATATTAATAACTTAAGATATAAATTGTTCTTTCTTTTTTTTATTTGAATGACCACATTATGTTTTTAATAAACAGGAAAGAAAAAGAATCTCAAATAGACCCTGATCAACTGTACAACATGTTGAGAACTATTCTACAGCAAGTTAAGGTGGGTTATCCTTGTACCATCTCTCAAGTCTAATGCTAATTACTAGCTTCAATCAGTTTTATTCTCAAGTTATTGTGATCAAAGATGAGAACAATGTCAGACCTTGTTATAGTGACAGTAGGGAAGAATTAAATTGAAATAGTTTGTTTCAGTAAAACAATTTTTTTTATTGAGCCACATGCCTTTCTGGAAACAGCACTTTGTATGGGTCATATCTAACAATGCTACGCCTTGAGGCAAGAATGATAAATTACAAGTTATTCCTTAATATTAATAAGCACTGTTGATCTAAAATGTTGATTGAAAAAAAGCAAATACGAGTTCTACTTTTTGAAGTAGCCCAAGTTTGACAAAATTATTTGAGCTCAAGTATATTATGTGTATGGCATAATCTCCACAACAGAGTCATGCCAGTGCCTGGCCTTTTCTCAAACCTGTGGACAAGTCAGAAGCTCCAGATTATTATGACCATATCAAGTTTCCAATGGGTAGGACATTTTGACTTACTGTAGTTTATCATGTTATTAATAACTCCTTATCATTTTTTTCAACTTGCTAAAACAGTTACCATTTTATATATTCTCATTTTTGGCCCATCTTAAAATATGCCTGAGCAATTTATAAGTAGTTATTTGTATTCATTTGAAAAAAATGTTGAGTAAGGTGTTCAATAAATGACCCTGTCATCATATCATAAAGACGGGGAAAAGTCAGTTTTTTTTATAACAACATTTCTTCTTTCTTCTAATACTTAAATGTTTTGTTTTATATTTTTTTGGCCAACCATTTAATTTTTTTTCGAAGCAATTAATTTTTTTTTCAAACTACATTTTAACAGATCTCCGCACCATGTCTGAAAGACTTAAATCAAGGTATTATGTCCACAAGCACCTATTTGTTGCAGACATGAATCGAATTGTAACAAATTGCAGATCTTATAACGAGCCAGACACGGAGTACTATAAATGTGCCAACACAATAGAGAAATATTATATAACTAAAATGAAGGAAGCTGGACTAATGGATAAGTGAAAGGTTTCTGCTTCTGGCGTCCACGTTGAAGTGAAAAGTTTTTGGATCTGATATCCATTGATCCCAACACAGACATTTATGTTTAAATTTGCTATTCTTTATTTAGCTGTTGCTCGTCAAACTGGCTGGTAGACAAGTTTGCTGCTGGACAGAACCAATAAATATCTTTGACAAATCTGCTCAAAGCTGAGTCAGGGTAGGATTTATGATGAATCTTCATGAAAAGTCACAATGAAATAGTGTTTTAAGAAATGTGTTTATATTAGTGAGATTGAAAGAACACTTCTTTACATAACTCTGTAAACAAACTTGCTCATTAATAAAAGAAAGAAGAATACATTTTTGTGTCGGTGATATCTCAAGTGCCACTAAATTCTGAGACTTGATTCATTTAAAATTATTAGGCTTTACCGGTACTAGTTACAAGGTTTTTACACTGACATGCTTTATTTAGAATGGTAGCAGTCTTGAACCAAGATAAATTGTTTGTTGTAACTTAAGTTTAGTTTGACAAAACGTTAGATGCAAAAAATGCACTTGACAGAGGAAATATTTTGGTTTCAATCATTGATGAATTATACTGTGGATAATTTGATTGTGACAAAGCAAAGGTCAATTCGATGTTGCCTTAGTTTCAACACTCAGACTCTTTCACATATTTAAACTTTAAATGATAATTTGGAGAATCGTACTAGTCTCTGCATGAAAGTAAGCCATGTAATAATCTGTGTTGTTATTGAATTTATTTGGTGGGAGAGCAAAGGCTAATGTTGTCTAAGTCTAATTACTAATACATGATTTATTTATTCCCACTGTCCTGTCATTGTCTCAAATAAATACTATTTTTATTGTTTTTGTATCTTTCTACATTCATGATGTAAGAATAAAATGAATATCGCAAAAGTGAATCAATTTTTGTATTGTGTGATTGTTGAACAGGTAGTCCCATAGTTTCTCAGTTAAAATTTATTAAGATCAAATGGTAGGCCGATTAAATTTACTTCTAAAATATAAACTTCTTGGGCATTGAATGTCTTTTGCTTTTTTTTTTTACCCACACAAGCTTGCCTGAAAATAAAATTCTTCTACAACACCATGAAATATTAGATAAATATCTTTAATAAATCTGTGATGTAAATATAATTTACAGAAAGCATTGGGAATGTGGATTATGGTTAATATTCCAAGAATTCATTCATATAAAATTCAGTGGACATAATTAATCTAAGTTGTTATATTCCATTATTATATAACAATTTAAGGGGTAAATGGATTTGTTTTCTTCAAAATCAGAAATAAATTCCTAATTTACAATTCTTACTTCTTCAGTTTAACTAAAATAAACTACCACAAATGACATCCGAAAAACATTGGTCTAATGGGTGCGAATGGCACCACTGCGTGTCAGGGGCCATTTTGACTAAATGCTATTCGGATATCATTTGTGGTAGTTTATTTTTTTAGTTAAACTGAAGAAGTAAGTTTACAAACATATTATAGTCCATTTAATTATCTTTGATACTTCATTTTGTCTTACAAACAATAAAATTTTAAATAGTTTTTTAATCCCAACCTCTCACTTCTGGTACCCGGGTACGAATAGACGCAGCCTTTACAATTAATCATACATTTTTTATTCAACTACAAAGGTCTGGTAAGGGGTCGTTAGCAAATTATGTCTTTGATGGGGGGGGGAGAGCGGAGGGGGGTAAAAAATTTGTGACACAAAAACTGTTGTGGCCATTTTACATTCCGCTAATACTACATCTTAATCCATAATGGGAAAATGTTAGAGAGTAAAGTAGTCTTAGCTTAGTTATGAAAATTTTATGTATGATTTGATTTTCTTAGGTGTGACTTAACACTGGGGGGAGGGGGGTTCTAAAAAGGTCTTTTTTTTTTTTTTTGCGAGACGTAATTTATGAATGAGCCTTAATTCCTTAAATACACATTAATAACAAAGAATTGAAAATTTGTTCAGTAATATATTTAATACCAAGGTAAAAATATAAAACTATGAAAGTTGCTTAAGCATGTGTTGCAGTAAACAATATTATGCATTGAATGAAAAATCTACATTAAGTGTATCTTTCAAAATTTCACAAATTTTTGCTGTCCACATACCACTGGTCATCATAATATTGTCATAATCAACAAATGAAAGAGGAGAGAGGAAAAATATTTACAATTTTTTTCTTTTAAAGTAAGCAAATGCTAAATAATTTTTTTATTAATACATTATTTCATGACATTGAAATTTTATGGGTTTTATTTTCACAAGAAATAAACTTGCAGGAAGTCAGATCAAAGAAAATAATTACATAATGTGATGCAGTTAACTCTTATGACCAAGTGTGGTGATGGCATGGTCATGACTTGTATGTTATGTAATGGAATGTTTATTTAAGAATTAATTCCATCATAAACAGTGAACTATTTTCATGTCATACACCATCTATAGAAAAGAACAAAATTATCCAACACACAGTATAACGGCCAACTTACATTTTAAAAAAAAATTATGCAACATATTGTATAAATTTCGATGAAGATTTAAGCAATTGTAAAAAATGAAAGTCAGCCGACACAATACACACTGCTGGTAAGGAACAAATGAGGTCATAAAAAAAGGAAATAAGGCTCTTAGAAACAAGGCTCCCAGCTAACCCAAATATTGTTATTTCCAAGCATGTTGGCGTCAGTAGCCTGGTACTAATGATGTAATGGCCATGTAAAAAAAAAGAAAGTTGAGGCTATTAGAACCAAGGCTCCCAGCCAACCCATGTACGTCCAAGTATGTTGGGGTCAGTAGCCTGATCAACGAGTGCTGCAACCTGCTCCTCTACTGTCAAGCCATTTGCAGGAAATAATGATCTGCCATCTTCTTTCTTGCGTCCATTCAGCACTTCCACCATATGTCTACAGGCTTCTGGTCTTCTGGAGTGGCCCAAATGAAGCTCATCTCTGAAAAATGAATGACTCAGCACAATTATTCAATGCTTGGTTATAAGAGAGCAGTCTCATTCAGTTGATTAATTGCTTCATAACAATTTAATTCAATCCAATTTTTGTCTTTTTTTAGTTGTACAAGGTGTGTCACATAAAACTGGTGCAACTAAACCATATTGTACAAATCTCAAACCTGATCCAAACTACAAGACTCCCTTGATTTTGTTACATGCTATAGATTAGCCAGACACTGGGTAGAGACATACCCCAACCACCAGACACAGCTATTTCATTCCATTTCTTATTATGCAGAGACAAAATGGTTTTATGAGGCCCACCCCATATCTTAAGTTTCAGCACTTTTAAATGCCATTTGTCTTTGGTTTAAAAAAAAAAAAAGGTGTTAAGTTTTGAAAGTACAATGTAATTATATGAATTGTTTTAAATGTGTCCTAAAAACATTACAAAATTTACTTCATGATAGAAGCTGGGTGGTCTCCCCTAAGTTTTCTGCGAGCAAACTTTATTTTTTCCTTGGGGTACCATTGATCATCATTGTCTTTAGAATCTGTTGCTGAGAAACAAATATACCTTTGACAAGCTGAGGTTTTCTTTTTCACGTTCAAACATTTATCAATAAAATCTATCAGAACTTATTTTATCATTTCAAGGTATGCACCTGATATAATAATTATTACAAATAATGTACATTTGCTTCTTCAATAGATTAAAACAAATATTTTTATTTTGACCTAAAAATAAATAGAACATTTATCTTTGTATATTTTGGTACTGGTAAACAATGCTTTGACACAACTGTACAAATTTGAAAGATAAAGTCTCGTCAGAATAAGCAGATAAGAAAGTCTTGTCGGAATAAGCAAATAAGAAAGTCTTGTCAGAATAAGCAGATAAGAAAGTCTTGTCAGAATAAATTTATAAGAAAGTCTTGTCAGAATAAATTTATAAGAAAGTCTTGTCAGAATAAGCAAATAAGAAAGTCTTGTCAGAATAAGCAGATAAGAAAGTCTTGTCAGAATAAATTTATAAGGAAGTCTTGTCAGAATAAGCAAATAAGAAAGTCTTGTCAGAATAAATTTATAAGGAAGTCTTGTCAGAATAAGCAAATAAGAAAGTCTTGTCAGAATAAATTTATAAGAAAGTCTTGTCAGAATAAGCAAATAAGAAAGTCTTGTCAGAATAAATTTATAAGGAAGTCTTGTCAGAATAAGCAAATAAGAAAGTCTTGTCAGAATAAATTTATAAGGAAGTCTTGTCAGAATAAGCAAATAAGAAAGTCTTGTCAGAATAAATTTATAAGGAAGTCTTGTCAGAATAAGCAGATAAAGTCTTGTCAGAATAAGCAGATAAGAAAGTCTTGTCAGAATAAGTAATATACCTAATTTCATCTCTCAGAGATAAAGAGGAACCTGGAGAAATTTCGGTCAAATATTTTATAAATTCTAGGCGAACAAAGCTTCTGCTAAATGTTTTAAAATGCTTAAAAAAAAAAACAATAAAAAAAGCCTGACTTTACCTTGTTTCTCTCTTGTCTCATGCAACTGTCTTTCAGCAAAGTTCTAAAAAAAACAAAACAAAAAGTGTGCATCATTTTGTGACAATAAAACTAAATGACAGAACAAATAGTTTTGACTTTAAGAGGGATTATTTAGATTTTTCAGCAGCCTTTGAAGTTCCCTGGTAAATTCTGATAGATTTGGGGAACATATGAATTAAGATATCTTTCAGTGTTAACTTTGAGAGAAAGAAATTGCCCTGATTTAGCTTATCTCAGATATCTTATAAAACTTATACCTCTCTTTAAATAAATCTGCAATACAAACTCAAATTAATGTAAACACTTGCACTTCAATTCATTTTTAAAATTCAAAGATTAATTATCATAATGTAAATAAATTGTGTTATGTTGTAATGAAAGGAAAACAATTACATTAATTTACTGAAATTTAACCAAATTTTTTTTTAATAAAAATTTACAGGTAATAATATGGTTAAATGACTGCAAAAATTATTTTAAAATTAACACTAACATTTCTGAGAATACTTGTTTTATATCAATGATGACGTTTTGAGAATCTCTATAATACAAAAACAATGGTCATAAAGTGTTTACTCACCAACCAGTCAAGATGTGGCTCCTTGACAAAGACGTCCATGGTGCACAGCAACAAGTCAGAGTCAGCTCTCAAAGCTCGCAAAACATGTTTCATTGCACTCTCCATCTGACCTTTGACTTGTAAGGGTAGATTTAAATTTGTCAGTTGACGAGTAAGCCGGAATGGAATGAGTTCAGGTACTGGAAGGAACTGGAAAAAGATACTAAATAGAATTTATGCAAACAACTTGACAATACTGATCACTTTTAGTCTTAAGAAAGAAGAGAATAATTACATGCCGAGTGAGTTGAAATAACCACACATGTGACGGTGGTGTAGACTTCACAGGATGAAATCACAAGGCCTGGGATTTTTTCTTTTTCTTCAGGACTATAAGTTGGTTCCTTGGACAGTTAATCACCTCTCTCCACGCACCTGGATACCCCAAGGGAACACAATATATGGATGATGCATCTTGGCACCAGTTGTGTCACAGGAGTTGTCAGAATGTTTCATTTAATGTATCCACCTGAGGGACTCCTCCACCGGGTTTTGATTCAGTTTCCTTGTCTAAGATGAGTTGCCATCCAAGCTGAACGGGCCCCATCCACCCAGGGTGATGGCGATATTTTTGCTTGACTTGGTCTTAGCTGGGGATTCAACTCCAGACCACAAGCTTGGGATTGACCCAGTTTACACGACTTGACCACCCAAAAACATTTATTTCCTCTAATTTTAGTAGGAATTTTAAACTATCTTGGCAAATAAAATGCTATCATCAACAAAAATGAGAGGAGTTGCAGTAGCAAAAATTGTTTCTCTATTATTATTATTTTTTTTAAAACTGCTGCAGGTGAGAGGGTATGGTACAGATATTTAAATTTCAAGAAATTCTGTGTTGTATGATGACTGACATTGAAGCCCTCAAGATTTTCACAGATTTTGTTAAGGGGATGTCTGATAAAAGAAAATTTTCCCTTCCAATATCTTAATCTAATATCCACAATAACAGAGAGTTAGGCATGTTCCCTGATGTCCTATTATTCTCACCAATTCCACCAATATCTATAATTGAAGTGAAAAGAGCATGAACATATTACAGTCCCACCTGAGTAGCACTACCAAACGCATGTCCGAAATCTATTCCAATCATTTGACCTGTCTTGAGGTGGACCATAAAATTGGACAAGTGCCTGTCTCCAATCCCCAACAGGTACTGGCAGATACAGATGGTGGCATGGGACTTGATCAGGGCTGACCTCAGGGCATGGAAGGCTTCAGGTGAGGAGCTCATTTTCTGGATGGCACGTCTAAAGGTAATAATTACAGTATTACAGACCATTTTACCCTCAAACTCTTAAAATCGTACACTATCATTGCAAAATTGTTCAATACATTATCTAAAAAGTGAAAATTAAACATACAGTATGTATAATGTATATGTATATACAGTATATACACCTCAATATCGTAAATTGTACGCCAAAATCGTAAGAGTAAATAGGTCTGGTATTAGACCCAGAAATTTTATCTGATTAGATATGTAAAAGGGTAGAGGAAAACCTGAAGAAGGACAATAACAGAAAGTGAACTTTTCGCCCAAAAAGCTTTCAACACTAATTCAGTTCAAGACGGAGACAAACACTCTTAGCTGTTGAATAGATAAATAGTCTACAGGTGATAAGTAGAAAAAAATTAACTATATCCGAGATCACATCTCAAGCTAATTAGAAAAACAACCAAAAGAAGGAGATTTTAAATAAGAAAAAAAAAAAAAGAATCTTGTCATTCCAACCTGGACAAGTCCCAAGGTACCTTCCCTTCCTTCTGCCTGAACTCCTTGACTGTTTCTGTGTAGCTGTATCTCATGTAAACTGCATCATAAATTACTTGCCATCTGCCCTGGTCCTTTGTGCTGACCAGTTTGGAGATCCATCGGTTGTGCTGCCTGCTTGGACCTTGGCTGTGATGAAGGTTCATGAACATTTTTATTCAAATACAAAGATTCACAGGTGATCTAATATAAGCTTAGTTGTATTACTATTACTAATGTAGTTTTCTGTTGTAATAAGTGTTTCTCTATACTTTTAGTATGTAAGAGCTAATGTTTTACAACTATTCAAAACATCTTAAAGATTTGTAACCCTTTGCTGTGTAAAAATCTAGATTGTGCAGTTTTTATCTCTTAATGGTGCTGTGTGCAAGTGAATGAAGAGCAAAAGTTGAGAACCTCTAATTTCATTGAGAAGTCAAATGAAATTTTTGAGCAGTCTACTTAAAACCGGACAGAATAAATATACATGTTGACTGACTCACTCGCTCTCCAGGAATTTGTGCTCCTCGTCTGTGAGTGCCTCATATAAAAAATGTTTCAGGGGTTTGGTGTGCTGCATCCATTCAATGAGTCCAACTCTGAAATTATAAGATATATATAAATGTTATTGACATTAACTTGAGAGGTATGAAGTTGACTAAAGAAAAACAGGCAGAAATGTTTTTTTTTGATATTTTGTCTTTCAACATAAAATTAATATTTGAAAATATATGAGACAAACAGTCAACACTCAGTAGGCAAACCTTGGCGTCATAGAGATGACCTGATAGGTTTTCAGCTGGAGTTTTCTCTGCCGACACGCTGGGTCAGAGTTCATGACCTTGTTCATGACAAAGAACAGAGTTTCAATGCGTTGATCCAACCTCAGGTCCTCCCCGCTCTTCACAAGGTAAGGGTAGTCTTTCTCATCGTTACCCCGAATCATGATGCGTTTTGGTTTCCTCAAAGATGCCATCACAAGCACCTGGTCACGGAGAAAACCACATGGTAGAGACTTACTGCACAAGAAGGTTGGACAAACATTGAGGTCAAAGTCACTTTAATTCTGGAGTGCTTAGGATTTTTGACCAAGACAGATATAAAGTTATGAACATTTTAGAAATATAGCTATATATAGAAATACAGTTACATATGTAGATACAGGTAAATTAAGCCTTAGACTTTCTAGGAACATCATTTTGTCATAAGTCCAGATAACTATTAGAGTATATTTCAATATCCCCCACCCCCCGCTTATTGTATATATTTTGTATAGCATTCAAAATAAGTCATTACCCTTTCATCAAAGCCAGAAATTTTCACATGATACTCTGGCAATGGTTTCTTCTGGCCTGTATATTGACCTGATGGGTAGAGTGCAAACAACAGCATTGTAAAGAGAAGGATAGTTTATGTTATGTCACATGGTGTTAATAGATCAAAGAAATAGGCCTACCGTTGAGGTATGAATAAATTTGAAGTCAGTTAATATTAGTTGAAACTAATTTCTTTCTAATACAAGGAAGTTAGTACTGTTAAACATAAAAATTTTTCAATTATAATTTTGACTCGTATATATATATATAGATAGATAGATAGATGTATAGATATATATTACATTTAAAATAAATGCAGACAATGTTTCCACAGAAAAACTATAAAAAAATTCCTCTGATGCATTTAATGACTGTTTATTAGGAAAAAATAATTAGAATTAGACATTAGAATTTTGACCTGGAATTTCTAAATCACCAAACTTATTGGAATTAAATTCAGCAAGCCAAGGGGAGTAATCCTTGAGCTTTGTTGGTGGATTGAGTACCCCTCTCTTGCCTTCAAAAAAAGCCCTCAGTTTGGCATCAGCTTCTTGAAAGTTCTGTAAATTTATATATAAATAATTTAAAGCTAAAATATGCACATAAAATATAAAGCTAAACTACAAAGCTAAAAGGATTTCTGTTTTACAAAATGTATTGAAATCAATATTAGAAGCTTAGTTACCAGTTTCATTTGCTGAAATGGAATAACCAAAAAAATGTTCAAGATTTGTTTTACATTCAAATCAATTTTTTTCTTTTAAACTGAAAAGCAAGATTTCTGATTATTATTATCTGAAAAATGGTTTCAAGTACAAACTACTTAATAACCTAAAGCTGAAGTTTCAGATGAACATTGCCATTGGCAGATTTATTCATTCCTTTTAAATTATTTAGTAGACAGATTGGTAAATGAGTTTTACCTTGAGCTTCATGGAAGTTAGTTTTTCTCCATTTGAACCAAAAAACTTTTCAAATTCAACTTTGAAATTCTGTTAAAAAAAATAATAAAAAATTGTATATATATATATATATATATATATTTAAAAAAAACACTAAAAAAAAATATATATACAACAAACAATTTGTTTAAAAAGCCTGTTTTAAAATAATTCAGAATAGGGTTTTCCAACCATTTCTATACTGTACTACCCTAAAGCATTATTAAACTTAGTATCACAAATCCATTAGAATATTGTTTGACTAAGACTCGAATCCCTTTAAAAAAATAAGATTATATTTTGAAATTGAAAAAATTGACTTTTAAAAAAAAATTGAATTGAAAAGAGAAATGTAGAACTTAGAAAACAAACTTGTGACTTATTACATATTATTAGTAAAAGTTTCATTAAGAGTGTTATAAATGTCTGTAACTTAAAGGTTTGGGGAACCCTGATTTAAGTGTGTGAATATTTCTGTAATAAATTTCAAGTATATAATTTCATTGCCCAACTCTAATGAAAACATCAAACGTAATTTATTTTATTCTCATGAAGTTTATTTTTTAATAAAAGAAAAAAATTTTTAAGAGTCCAGTATGACACCATGGGTTATCAAAAACAGAGAGGAGCTAAAGTTAATAATTTCTACACTCACCTCTAATGCAAACAACAAACATAATTTTTTTGTATTCTCCTGAAGTCTATTCTTCAAAAAAAAAAATACAATTTTAAAGAGTCCATAAAGACACCATGAGCTAACACAAACATAGAGAAGCTCATGCAGATGTTCAATAATAAATGAACTGAAACTGACAAAACAAAACATTTCATCTCTCACTTTTGCAAAGCCCTTCCTGTATTCTCCCATGCCTACTGAAGATTGTGTAGCACTAAGGCTTGTCTGAGTCACATCAGATGATGATTGTGACAATGTGTTGACATCAAGTAGCTCCCTGTAGATTTCTTTGTATTTTCTGGTTATTTCCTCCTTAGAAACCTTTGCTTTGCCCAGTAGTTTTTTCATGTCTGTGCACCAGTCCTTAAATAAAGAAGTAACATGATCCATTTCGGTTGCACAGAATATTGAAAAAACATGTATTGAGATTTTGTCCTCCTTATACCAGACCTGTTTACCCTCAATCTCTTAAAATCGTACAATAGCATCACAAAATCGTTCAATACATTATCTTAATAGTAAAAAAAATAAACTTTTAGTATATATAATGTATAAACCTCAAAATCGTACATTGTACGCCAAAATCTTAAGAGTAATCAGGTCTGTTATGCAATAAATTTACAGCAATAAAATAGTACATTTAACAAAGAATAAATCAATTTTCAGAAGCTGCATTGTTTTCTGTCAAAAGACATATGCAGTACAGAAGCATGATAACCCATTTCTACCAAGAAATGTTAATAATAGAATTCCAATACAATTTAATGTTAAAATCATCTCTAGCCCCCCCTCCCTCCCACTCTCTAATAGTCTTCTTTTCTTAGGTCAAAGTGACCCATAGTGTCCAGCAATATCTTGGCTACTGATGCTGTTTTTTTATTATTTTATAAATTTGACAACAAGAAAATAATTCCATCTAGGAATCTAACCCTGAAAAAATATATTCTATGACTTAAAAGAAACAACAAATTTCCATTTATTTTGATCAATAAAATATCTTATCAATAAAAGTATCTCAGCTTATCTTAACGTTTTACTGAAGATATAGTTTACCTTAAAAATCACATCAGGCTGTCCAAACTGTTCTAATGCACTGATGAACTTGTTGACTAACACATTGTCTGTCTTTTTAGTTAATCTAGATAGAATATTATAAAATATCACAAGTATAACAAATAGTATTACATCTGATAGAAACAATAGTGAAATCAAACTTTCTTAATTGCAAAACGATTTACCCCACAACTACCTCTGATATTATGACTGCAACCATTCAAAGAAGGCTTCACTTACTCAGCCACTTTATCCAGCCTTTTTTTGTCTCCACTCTTAAAGTTGAAGCCATCAGAACTCATGCGCAGAGGATATATCAAAGCCTGTAAACAAAACATTTTAAGAAGTTGATAAAAAGGTGAGAGAGAACACACATGGTTTCTTCCACAATATTTTACCCACATTAGATCAACGGCAAAATTTCTGATCTATATATAAAAAAAAATGGTTTACTGATTCCTACATAGATGTTTTTACAAAGAGCATCTAAATATTGAATCTTTGCTCCCTCATAAATGTTAGTGGCCCTTATATGTTAAATATGCAAAATTCACTATATTAAATTGGCATTTCAGTAATGCTGAAGGGAAAAAAAGAAATGCTGAAGGGAAAAAAAGAAATTTAAAATTGTGTGTGTGGGGGGGGGGGGGTGCACGCAGGGAGTGATGTAAAGACACAAACCGAAATATAACACATTTGAAATCAACAAAGCAGATTTTCAAAATGCTCACCTGAGGATAGTCATCAGCTATATGGGTCAGTATTGGAGCCACAACAACACACTCTGGCTTGTCCAGCAGGGCGGTCATCTGACTAACCCACATCAGAAACATCCAACATGGAACTTCTTCTGCCTGCAAGAAAGAAGGGAAAGAAATTAGAAAGTTGGAGACTGTTGAAAGAGATAAACTTAGGAAGCACATCTCATAACCACACAAATTTTTCAGTATTTAATTGTTCAATAAATTAATTGTTTTGGTAATGTTAAGTAAAAGGTAAATAAATGAAGAAGTGCGTCCAATCTGTGTGAAGGAAATAGTGGAAAAAAAAGTTTATGGTAACTTGAAATATAAAGAGCCTTCTTCAGCACACAGGACAAGTTAAAGGAAGAAGGCTAAATATTTCCTTTGCTATTGTACTTCTTCAATCTTTGAGCATATTTTTACAGTTAGGTACCTTTTTCATGAAAACATCGCGGACTTCAGTATGATGTTCTGCCAGTTGCAGCAATCGAGGGAACCTTTCTCTAGCCTCCTCCACCCCACCTTTCATAGCATTAAGCAGACACACAACAACAGTCTCTGGGAAAGTCGTCAAGTCACAGCCTTGTGGAAATGTTTCTGTGAGGAAGAAAAAATGTTCAATTGTTACTTATTTAGATACTTTCCTTTGAATGAAGGGAGCAACAGCTTGGGTGTATTGTTATCCTTTTCTAAGAATCAGTTTGTGGATTGTGCTTGGCCTGGCCGATATTTACAACTATGCAAAGTATTATGTTCCAACATTTTGCATGTAATATGCTTTTATATATAAATATTATATAATTTATAATGTGCCAACAAATTAAATTTAAAAAAAGAAGAGGTAAAACTTGATAGATAACTTTTTTTTTTAAATAATTTTTTTTAACGTTAACTTGCCAATTTGCTCTCTCATGATTAAATACTTGTCACAAAACTTGGCAAGCTCTAAGTTGGCTTCATCTGATGTCATGACTTGTCTCCCCTTTTCATGTCCCTTGGTAAAGCCATTTTGACTGACAGCAATTTTCATGGATTTGAAGCCATTTGATATTAGTTGGCCGATGAGCTAGGAAATGAAATATGAAAACAGTGTTATGAACATTATAAGCACACTACCAATAGACATCTATGTCGCAAACCATGCAAGAAGTATTGCTCCTTATTAATGCAGTAAAACATCCCTGTACAATAGGGGTCCTTGAACTGGGTTTAACAACACCAAATGGGGTGAAAATGAAAATCTTTTGCTCAATGAAGTCTCACTAGACATATATAAAATATACAAATTGTGTTACTCATTAAATAAAAGAAATTATTTTAGTCCTTGCAGCACTGCATCTGGTCAGAGCAATAAAGGAACACACCCAAAAATGTTACAGTTAGTATTGGCCGGGCATCTGGCATAAGATCATTCCCAGTCTTGTAAAAGTCATTTTGGTCTAGTCCCATCTTACTTTATGTTGTGCTAACAAAAATTGTCAAGGATTTTGTTAATTTATCTTTTGATTGCCTTTCTTTGATGCTTCAATAAAAATTGAACTATTATCTATGTAGGCAGATTCAAATCAACCATTTTAAATTAAAATAGTTCATGATTTTCCCCATGTCCAATCAAGAGGGTAATGTCAGCTTAAACAAATATTATATTTTGGGGTATTGTTAAAAAAAGTTCTGTAACCCCTGCTATACACAATAATAACCAAGAGAAATAATTTATAATCAAACTTAAGAATCACGTAATTCTGCACGTATGGCACACATATGGTACTCGTATGGCGCTTGTATGACACTTGTATGGCTCATTGAAACCTAAATCTTCTTATGATATTTAAAGAGCAACCAATTTACCTTTTCTTTGATGTCTCCAGTGTTTGTCACTGGTGCCTGAGAAATTAGTTTGTCAACTGTTCCCTTCTTGAGGCTCGATAAATTTTCAATTTTCAACAAACCCATTGCCAAAACTTTGTAGCCTTGACCTGTCAAAACATGATGTCTCAGTCCAAGGTCGGGTTTTTTCTGTAACACAGGACTGTCCTGGAGTTCTCCTTATGGGGTGAAATAAAATGGTAATCCAGTTAAAGAAAATCAAATATTTGGACCAAGCTATGAATTGTGATAGGTTAGAATACTAATATTCCTGTGTATTGTACATGAATATAGCTTATAAGGAAGAAATTTTTATTTTAAAACCTTTTATTGTTGTTGGAAGTCATGTCTATCTCCTTTGCATTCACTACAACGTTTTGCTCAGGAATTTAAGGAATATTTTATTGAGAATTCTTATCATTCTGAGAAAAATAAAAAAAATAATCATAAAAACTGGGGACCATTCTATTTATCCAAACTCACTGAGCAGGTCAAGGGTGGTCACAATATTTGTAAATGTTTCATCCTCCCAGGGTGGAGCACTGCCAGTGGCCTTGGAGTGGTGGGCCACCGCATACAGATGGCTCCATTCAACAAATGGCTCTTTACTGGCTACATCTCTGCTGGCCTGTAGAAATGAAGGATGCAACATTTGCAACCAGAGCCAAGTGAAATAAACTGAGATGAACTGAATTTTTTTACATAAACGCTCTTTGGTTATAACTACTGGAAATAAATTGAGGACAGCTCACCGCCTGTGTGTCTCGGAGGAGTCTGAGGGTCAGCGAGGAATTATTCTGTCTCTGGCAACTTTCGGCCATTGCAAGACGCAGAGAAATTTTCATCAGCTGAATCTGATCAGGGACAGAGTCCTGAGTTATGGAATCATTCATGTTGGTCTCCCCCGTCAGTTTCTCAATGATTTGATTCAAATAAACAGTTCTGCCATGACACAAATGAATATCAGGTGAAACTGGTTTTAAAAGATCTGTTCAACTTCTTATTGCTAAGTAAGAAAATTTTAATCCTGGTAGTATATTAAAAAAAAAATACAATAATCTTTTGAGTACACAACCATTCAACAAAGAAAATTATTTCAACAGAGGCAAGGGTAAGATAGTCAATAATCATCATGAGGAATTATTGTAAAAAAAACAAACAACAAATAACAGATCCAGATTCATCTCTGAACTTTTATGTCGAGAATCTGATCAGTTACAACTGCTGAACATTCTCACCTGTTGGTGACCACATCATCCCAGGTTGTCACAGGATCAAGAAGTAGGTGTGGAAACCTGCCATCCCATCCATTCATCAACGCAGGAAGAGATGACTGGAGATCTTATGAGGAATTTAATATCAAGCAGTTGGTGTTTCAAAATCCATTTTAAACAGATATGACAGACATAACATCTAAATCATAGACTAAGCATGTCAATAAATCTCTAATTTAGTTGAGTCAAAACAAACATTGAACGTTCTCTGATTTTATTTAGTGCAGAGGTCTTCAAATACTTTTGTTACAATTCTTACAGCTGTGAATTCAACAATTCTTACAGTTATGAATTCTACAATTCTTACAGCTGTGAATTCTACAATTATTACAGCTATGAATTCTACAATTCTTACAGCTATGAATTCTACAACTCCTACAGCTATGACTTCTACAATTATTACAGCTATGAATTCTACAATTATACAGCTATGAATTCTACAATTCTTACAGCTATGAAATCTACAATTATTACAGCTATGAATTCTACAATTCTTACACCTATGAATTCATTCTACAATAATTTAAGCTATGAATATTTAAATTCATTCCTCTATGAACTTGTCAAGCTAAAAATCTAATAAAAATACTGATAATTCACTTAAGGTGACTCACTGTTTGAACCCAGGAAATCTAGAAATTCTTGTAGCTCGAACAAGCCTTGCAGTTTGTGGAGGCTGTCTCTACGACTAGACACCATCAAGGTTGTTGTGTTACTCCACTCCTGTACATATTAAATGGTCAGCATTTTTTTCATTAACAAGTCAAGTTAAGATTTTTAATGAAATTAAGTAAAGCATTTATACACGAGACAAAAAATGAATAAGAACGGAAAGCTCTAATTTATATTTTTAAGTGGCGCAACAATTTCATAACAAACACATTTCTAGTATCGCATATATGTCTAAAAAAAGCCTACAACCTGCAGGAAGCTTTCAAAGGCCATCCCAGTGTAATGCCTTGACCTGTCATAACACTTTTGCCACAAGTACAACAGGGCAAGCTCAGTACTGTAGCGGCTCTATAAGACATTCAAATAAAGTCACCGTCAGTTAAAAATCTACCCGAGCCGAGTGATTACCGTATATACTCGTGTGTAAGTCGAGAAATTTTAGTCCTAAACTTCACTCTGAAATGCAGAGTTGGCTTATCCATGGGTCAGTGGTGCTAGTTTCAATAGACTTGTGTACACTGAATGAGGGGTAATGTCCAGTTACCGGTAGTGCTTGTGTACTTATTGGCAGCTGTATGTTGACCCAAATACCGGGCACAGACACACAGACAAAAACAGCTGTTGATGCTTGACAGAAATCTGCTACCAAGACACATGCCCCATTGCTGACTGCTGAGTCCGTCAGCCTCTATGGTCAGGAGGAGAGAGAACTGATACAAATCGCGGGGATGTCACTTGATACCACTGGCTGTGAGAGAGTGTTGGCCTAATGACTCCGACCAAAATTGAGTAAACAGTGCAGCGATTGCTGCTAAGTAAAATCTGACAAAATTATAAAAATCACAGAATTTCATAGCTCCTAGTTTTACCCTTGACTTATCCACGAGTCATTAGTAAAAAAAATCTGCCATCGACTTATAGACAAGTATATACAGTAGATTAACTTATAAAAGTGTATCACTCCATTTGCTCACCATAAATAAAATGCCCATATCATAATAATTGATTACCAGGTATTGCTGAATAAAATAAAAATAAATGTCGATTGGTTCTTATAAAATTAACACTTAAAATACAGTTTTAAAAAAAAATCAAATGAAGTTTGAACATTTTACACCAGGGAAGAGGGAAAATCAGCATTGAGAAAGTGTTTAATATGACAACCTACTTCTAAGTGCTGCTTTTTGTGAGGATCCGTCATAGAAGTGTCAATAAATGTCAACAAAGGCTGTTGGTTGAGATCGCCAGACTGTAACAGTTTCAGCTTGCTGCGCAACACATAGGGCAGGTAATGTTCCTAGGAATTGTTTAAAACAGATAAATAGATTAAGTTTACTGGCCCATTACAAGTTAGGTGTTATCTTTAAGTAAAGTTAACTGAAAAATTCAGGTGTTATCTTTAAGTAAAATTAACTGAAAAACTTAGGTGTTATCTTTAAGTAAAATAAACTGAAAAACTCAGGTGTTATCTTTAAGAAAAATTAACTGAAAAACTTAGGTGTTATCTTTAAGTAAAGCTAACTGAAAAACTCAGGTGTTATCTTTAAGCAAAGCTAGCTGAAAAACTCAGGTGTTATCTTTAAGTAAAATTAACTGAAAAACTCAGGTGTTATCTTTAAGTAAAGTTAACTGAAAAACTCAGGTGTTATCTTTAAGTAAAATTAACTGAAAAACTTAGGTGTTATCTTTAAGTAAAATTAACTGAAAAACTCAGGTGTTATCTTTAAGTAAAGTTAACTGAAAAACTCAGGTGATATCTTTAAGTAAAATTAACTGAAAAACTCAGGTGTTATCTTTAAGTAAAGTTAACTGAAAAACTTAGGTGTTATCTTTAAGTAAAGTTAACTGAAAAATTCAGGTGTTATCTTTAAGTAAAGTTAACTGAAAAACTCAGGTGATATCTTTAAGTAAAATTAACTGAAAAACTCAGGTGTTATCTTTAAGTAAAGCTAACTGAAAAACTCAGGTGTTATCTTTAAGTAAAATTAACTGAAAAACTTAGGTGTTATCTTTAAGTAAAGTTAACTGTATCAAATACTTCCCATTGAAACTTTATATTGATTTGACCAATGAACTAGAAACAGAACAGTTCATTATTATTAAACAGGAATTGAGTCTGTTTAACAAAATCTCTTTAACATAATTTTCTGTTGTTTTCCATTTCCCCATAATGTACCGATAATTAAACAATGTTTTCTTACTCTTCAACCGTACACTTTCTTTTACTATAAAACCATTTCCTGGTACTTAATGCTCATATCAGCACAATCAAATGTAGGCTTACTAGACAATATTAAGTGAATAGGATGAGGACATATGCCTTACAGACTGGCTTCATAGTAGACTCTTTTATTATAACATGACAATTAAATGTGAAGCTTTTCACAAACTAAAAATCATGATGATACAGCTTGAAAATTACATTTTTTAGGCCAAATGTTATTTTTGTTAAAAAAATCCATAATTTTCTCACTGACAAGCTAAAAATGAATTTATAACAGGTACATTTAAAAAAAAGTTAATAACTCATTAGGTAATTATTTGCCAAGAAATCCTTATTTTAAAAATTCAAGTCTATTACTAGCCCACCTGGTAGAAACCATCTTCCCAGACACGATCAAGGATAGGGTTATCAGAGTTATCCACTCCTTTGGCTGAGATTGTCTCCAGGTCTTTCCACTGACAAAGGCTGTCTAAACACTGAAAAAAGATGGTAATTTAAAAAAACAGCATATTTCTTAATTACATCAATTTCTTACATTTGTTAAAAAAAAAAAGTCTACGATGATGTGAGGACATTTTCTTTATTTTCAATTAGATAAGATTTGTATTGATCCAAATAAATGGAACAAATTTTTTTTGTTACATTTAAACATATTCATTCTCAGCACATAAATAAATAAAGACATATTTTAACCAAGATAACATCTTGCATTTATAACAATTTAAACAAAAGACATCTAAAGTATTTCTATAGCATAGAAATCAGCCATCAATGAACTCCCTTAATATAGGGCTAAACAGAGCAAAATTGAGTGAGCTTTTTCTCCAACTTTTCACCACTCCACACTGTATATATAGACCTATAGTTTGATGGGAAAATCTTTTTAAAACTTTCATTTGATTTATACCAGGGGTCTTCAAACTACAGCCAGCGGACCAGATCCCATCCACCAGGGGTCTTCCAACTACAGCCAGTGGGCAAGATCTCATCCGCCAGGGGGTCTTCAAAATACAGCCAGAGGGCCAGATCCCATCCACCAGGGGTCTTCCAACTACAGCTAGCGGGCTAAATCCCATCCACAAGGGGTGTTCCAACTACAGCCTGTGGGCCAGACCCATCCACCAGAGGCCTTAACTCGGCCGCCTGGCTTCCGTAAAGGACCCGGGCAGCAATAACAAACATGAAATCAGACGTTGATCCTCTTACTAGGCAAAAGCGAACCCGCACGTCCTACTGAATACTAATAAGTTAATTTTGATTAAAATTGTTTTCTTTTTAAATACTGTATATACTTTTTTTTCATGTTTTTTCCGCTACAAATAAGATACATGAAGCCTGCATAGGAATTCGTTCATATTGTTTTCAAACTATAGTCTGCCCCCCCCCCTTCCCCCCACACTGTGGCCTCTTGTTTAAAAAGTTTGAGAATCCCTGATTTACCAAATTAGATACAAGCCAACAAAGTGGTGATCAAATGCTCAAGTAATGGAAATTTCAACCACAGTAATGAATTACTTAACTTAACATAATGGTTTCTAAAGTACCAACAGCACAAGTTACTTTTGACCAGTTCTATGTTGTGACTGTAACACTTGACCATAAACGCCAGTCAATATAAAGAAAAAAACAACAACAATGGTCGCTGCCTAGTACCAGGAATTGAGGATAGACAATAAATAATCTAAGTTAGCTTACCTCCATTCTGCTGTCATCCCAAAAATCAACCTCAGCTTCTAGAGGGTCTCCGTCAGGCCAGTCAACTTTAGTTATGGCCTAAAGGAAACAAGACAGTCATTGAGATGAGAAGGACATCACGTTGATAACAAATCTATGAGGGAAAGAAGCTCAGTATACATTTATAGAGACATTATGGGAGGGTGAGAGATTGGGGGGGGGGAGGATTGAATGGTATTGAGGAGGGAGTTGGGACAGGTGGGGGGAAGAGCAGAGCCTCTGTTCTCAGGGAGAACTTGTCTGCAAAGAGATTAGGGGATGGTAAGGGCATTTAAGATGGAATGGCAGGTGATCCATTTTTGACAGGGGATAGTGACTAGTAAGCAAAAATTATTCTACAAACTGCTTTTAAAGCAATGAAGTTTATAGTAAACCTGGTTCACAGTTTGTTTACAGCTGGACGTTATGATCCTGGCATACCAGTTTGGTAGTACAAGCTGTCCATTAACAAAGTGGTTGCCAACTTCAACAGCAGCAATTATTACCCTGACTTGCAAATTAGTTTATTTCAACAAGTTCCAATAGCAGCAGTTAATTTTGAACATTTCAAGACATAAGAACAGTACTAATGGCTCAACAAATTCCATGATAATCGTGAAAACTAGAGCTGATTTAATTTTGCCTGTTATAATGGAAATTGTTGCCAGCGGTTGTTGATGTTAAAAATGATCATTACCTTCTCATAGAGGTGATTGGCCGTTTTGAAATCACACCTGGCCTCTGCCTCAATGGCGTTCCTTGTCTCCTCCCTTGTGCTCAGCTTGTCACTGAAGATTCCTTGGATCACATCAAAGTCATGGAGTGACTTGTAAAGCCTGAAACAAAATGACTTCATTTTTTTTAAATAGTCATTCGAAAATTGTGTAACTTAAAAGCTTAAACTCAAAGCATCAGTTGGGATGAACTGAACAATTCATGCATTTAAGTATCACCTTTTGTTAAACATAGCTTATAACAATTATGATTCTATTAATGTACAAATAACGTTTTATTTAACTTAAAAATCATTATTTTTTTATTTTACGTGTCTTAAATTTTATAACATAAAATCACATAATACATGACCATTTATTTTGTTCTTATGTCATTCAGTTGGCCAAAGTATGAGAATAGTAAAATAAAGACAGCTATTAAACCAGAATATATGTGAGTTGTTTTTTATGTTATTATGTAGATGACTAAGGAATACAAGGTATCCCTGATAAATTTCAACGTTTCTAATTTTAAAACTTGCTCCTTACCGAGACAACTGGACCCATTCAGAAAAGTCATCTGGCTGTGTGGTGCGACTTTGTCTTGCTCGCTTGCTAGTAGACTCTGCTTGTCTGGCATCTGACTGAATCAGCTGCTCTTCCAGAATCATGATGCCTGAAGAAGGGCAGGTGTGAAGAAGGGCAGGTTTGAATAAAGGGAAGCATGTGGTGTCAAGAAATGACATTTCAGTTGTCCAAGCAAATTAAAGATACGGCAACAGATATGAATATGAATGCTAATGGGAGATAAATAACATGGTAAATATTTCTTACATAATATACAGAGTTTTGGGACTTGGGAGAAACTGGCCAATCAGGAAAATGGGATTGAAGAATGGAGTTTGTTTTGAGAAGACTGAACAGAGAAAACTGTTGATGTTGTATTGAAAATTTATAGTTTGTTGTTACAAATATCAAGTAAAGAAGATTATATTATCCAGAAGTTAGCAAAATAATTTCATATGATATAATTTCCAAGTGTTTTCGGATGTTTGTGAAATGTCTTTCTTATTGTGAATGTGGATGATAAAATATGAGACACCGTTAGAACCACCTCGCCTCTAGTGTTATTTACAACGAAATTGATACTTCAGGAAATCATGGTTAATTTCAAATCTCCACTTTTTTTGTTCTACTTGTACTTTCTATCATGAAAATAAGAATAGCGATTGAAGAGAAAACAATTCATGTTCAGAAAAAAATTCATGTAAAGACACATGGGTGACATAAAGGCATATTTGCCTACCCTGTATTACTACAATGGAATTCAGTTGTTTCTTAATTGGTTTTAAACAACAGAAAGCTGAAGCTGACAACAAAGTGGAATCAAAATATCCACATGGCATTAAATAATAAACCTGAGGTACATGGAAGTGACTGTTGTAATGTCCTGCTTAAACAGTTAAGCTAACCACAGTGAATCAACTGGTCAAGTTACCAAGTGTTTGCTGGTTGCTGGTGATGGCACAGGTGCCCAGTTCCCCAGCCGGTACCTTCAGGCGTGACCTCAGCTCATACAGAATGGTCTGGGTGAAAAGAAAGCAAAACAGATAAATGTCTATTTTTAAAAATCATCTGGCAAAATCTGGTAAAATCAATCTTGGGTTTGGGTTTCAAACACATTACAATTGAAACTAATAAGATGGTTTCAGAATTTTAAAACTGCAAGGAAAATATCCATCAAGACAGCAGTCTTGTGTAGCTCGGTTAACATGAGATCCAGCAGGCCAGAGATATAACTGAGAACTGAACAGAAACTCTTAGTGCACCCAAGGTCTAGAAAAATAAGTATAGAATTAATAGGAGACAACTGAAGTTGATGTTGTCTTTTAGGGACACATTCCATTTCAGCTCCAGTAAAGGGAGGCAACCATTTGGACCTCATACACCTAAAAATATAGCTCTCATGAGAAGAGATCATCAATGCTGCACATTTAGTGCCACCGACGATCACCTACCATTATAGCTCCCATGAAGGGAGGGAAATAATGTACAGAGTCCCGTAGAATGGTTTCTATACTTGAGTTGATTTGCTTGACCAATTCCTCTATTTCCCTCTCTGTCTTCACTTTATCCATATCGTGGAAAATGGCTTGAAACAGTGAGCTGAACAAAAGTCTGGCGATCGTGCTGTCATGCTGTTAGAAATTAAAAGTCATCCAGTCGAAAAGAAATAAGATGTTATAAATAAAATGCATCATTTTGGTTTCACAAGTCCTCTTACATCCTATAGTAATATCATTCCCATGTTCCAAGCAAAATTTTAAAATAATATAATCTTCACATCGTAATGTGTTATATAATATTATAAAGGTGAAGGAGGCCTGCGAAGGTTTACTCTGAGACTTTAATGAACCAATTCATTCACAAATTATGTTAATGAGAAAAGTCTCACATGGGCAAGAGCTTGTAGAGGTGCTATAATATACTGATACTTGATCTGAATATCTGGCAAGTCGCCAATACGATACTTCCTGTACAGGGTCACTTGGTTTTCCCTACGGGCCTTCTGTTCTTTTAGTACTTCCTGTGCAAAAGAAATTTTTTATTAAATTATTTTTGTTTAAAGCTACACTTGTATTTACTAAAAAATAATCGTGGTTCAAATGCCTCACAACTCTGAAGCCCTCCATTTTGTTACAGGGAAGTTAATGACGTAAAGTGGTTTGAGTTTCAAGTGATGGTTTGGTGTTGGCTGCTAACCTCTTTCATCATGTTGCGCTGAATGTTACGCCTCATGTGGAAAACACTTTGCGAGGACTGATCCTGGATGAATCTTCGTTTCAGTCTCCAAACATCTTTCACTGACGTTACAAAACCTGAAGACGTACAAGATGAGGACAAGATAAGGTTAGCGTTCTAAACATTTGGACATCATCAACGGCATAATATTATTTTCTTCTTCATAAACATCAATTATTTTCTGTAATGATAAATAAGTCTAGTTTAAAAACCAAGACAACTTTGTCCCAACCCTTTGAGCTTCTTCTCATGGTCCTTATATTTTCCTTCCCCTGGGATCTCATAAATGAAAAAAATTATGTGATTGAAAATGATCTGATAGTAAAATGATAATTATTTTATTTATTCCTTCAACCTGGGCACATATTTTAAACACATGGACTATAAGCGTGGGATGTGGGGGCTCAAAGGGTTAATAATAAGCACAGAACTAAATGACGGGCAGTGTACCATCAGTCTCATCAACAGATGCAGATGGCTTGTTGTCCCCTGATGCTGCAGTCTTCAGTTTCAATGTTTTCTGTGCACCGTAACCCTGACCCACATTGACATCTCTTCTCTGGACTCTGCTGGATGACCTTGATGAAGCATCCCCTTCATTTAGTCTAAACAGAAGCTGAGTGCCCCCAGCGATAGTTCCTGTCTCATCATAGGTGTCAAGGCTGCTCTGTGTCAACCAATTGAATGCCCTACCAGAACCTAAAAACAAGTTGAAGAGGTCCAAAATACAGATATTATTCAAATTATTGTATAATTTCACTGGTCCTAGCATGATATCTTTAGAACAGACTGGTCCTAGCCTGATATCTTTAGAATAGACTGGTCCTAGCATGATATCTTTAGAACAGACTGGTCCTAGCATGCTATCTTTAGAACATACTGGTCCTAGCATGATATCTTTAGAACACACTGGTCCTAGCATACTATCTTTAGAACACACTGGTCCTAGCATGCTATCTTTAGAACAGGTCCTAGCCTGATATCTTTAGAATAGACTGGTCCTAACATGATATCTTTAGACCAAACTCAACTTAAAAGTTCTCTAAAAAAAAAGAAAAAAGGTCACACCATTAAATGATATAATCACATCTTTCATATATGCAGTACAAATTACATAGGAATCTCATATCTGTAATCCTGTATTATTTAGTTCTCTAACAAAATCTGATAACTTCATAGACTGGATACAATTACAGATACAGGTTAAACTCTCTGAGCTGAGAACAGAACCAGTAGATAGAATTCAGCAGTAAATATGGTTGCATTATCTGTTTCATCCCAGTTCTGTCCCACCTGCCATGTCCATGGTTGCAGTAAACTGAACTACGTCCTGTGTTGCCCTCAGGCCGCCGTCGAGACTGTCCTCCCCTGTGTCCATGGGCTGAGTGACAAGTGTGCTAGCAAACAGTGGTGTCATGACAGCGTGCCGCTGTCTCCAAGAGGAATGAACTGAGTACTCCTGATAAGGTCACAAGATTTTTTTTTTATAGAAAAATTCCATATTCAGATATAACTAAGGCAAAAAAACAACAAGAAAAAAAAATGAAAGTAAGTGAAGCCAAAAATATCCATCTCCATAAATATCTATTATTGTATCTGACTGAGAAAAATTTAAGACCATCAAATATCTTCGCTCTAATATTCCATGACCTGGAAGAAATTTTGAATTAAATCAAAGAATTTAAGCCATTTACCCTCTTGTATTATTAAAAGTTATTCATTGATTTCAATTTCTGTTATGACGGCTAAAAAAGAAAAGCTCAAATCTAAAAACAATAAAACTTACTCAGACTGATTGTGTTGTTTAATCCACTTAAGATTTATAGCATTCTAACCCACTGAAAGATTCCAATAACATGAGGATGTGGCTTATACATTTTAAGACATGTTTAAATTAAACTCAATAGAACCAGGTGTTACCTGAAAAGTGCATTCACTAAGGGCATGTTCAAATATCTCTCTCTGATAGTCGGGAGACTTGGAGGTGGCCTGAAGCAACAGATTGGTGGCATAAGCCAGGTAATGTGGCTCGGTGTTTGGGGAATACATAGCCTCCAACATGGAGATGGTGCGCTCAAGTGTGCCCTCGGGGAGTCGAGTGTCACTGCTCCAAAAATTCTGGCAAGTCAGCCTGGCGATGATTATTGACAATCAACTTTAAGATGAAGATCTGGTAATTCTTATTTATACTTGTGGAGATGTGCAGTTATGAAGAGTTCATCAATTGTTTTTTAATTAATAAATAAGTGAGCTAAGAATCCTGACTTTTCTACTGATACTAGATTATAAAAATGAAAATTTCATAATACTTCCTTCAGATAAAGATTAAATTATACTTATCTCATACTGACACTGAATACCAACATAAAAACCACATCATTCTTGAGACATCTATGTGCCAGATAAAGGCAAAAGATAACAGAACACACATGTGCCCACATACTGTTTAGGTCTATGTGCAATGCCATATATGCATGCATTGCTCACCTGCATGGGAGATCCTCGTCACACAGACCTTTCAATAAAGCCTCTTTGGTCAAGATCATCACCTGGCCATTGATGTCATTCTCCAGATCTCTGAGTAGTTCAAGTAAAATATCACAGAAATTATTCATACATCTATCCATTTACAAGCAAAACTATTATTAAAAGAACAACAACTCTATGACCACTTCCTCTTATCATCTTGTTACAACACTCTTTGCAACATAAACACTTCCACACAAAAGTTGTCTGTAACTGAATCTACTATTATGCAGGTTGTTACAGATCCCTTGCTGAGGTCCCAGAGGGGTCCCTTACCTGGTTCTGTTGCCTAGCTCACAAGACTGTAGCACCCATGAGAGTAAATGCCAACACTTGCTATACAATAAATGCACCCCTGGTTCATATCAACACTAGCTCTATAGTAAATACAGTTCATCTACTTAAGGAAAATCCTTATGAATCATAGCCATTTACTAAACACACACAGGAATACTGCTCCATTGGATAACTGCGAGAACACACACTGTGAGAACACGCACTATGAGAATACACACTGTGAGAACACACACTATGAGAACACGCACTGTGAGAATACACAATGAGAACTTTCAACACTCTACAGAACCCACCTATGAGAACTCACTTGAACTAACTGCAGTGGTACCTCGACTTACGAACTTAATTCTTTCCTGACTGCGGTTCTTTTCTTGAAAAGTTGATATTTCGAAACCCAATTTCCCATTAATTCTTACAGGAAAACAATTAATCCGTTCTCAGGTGAAAAATATTTAATAATCCCATAAGTACCAATTATTATTATGTTCTTAGATCTGTCTGCATTGGAAGACCTCAAGCTAAGAAACCATACTCTTATTGTCCACCATATTTAAGCATTTTTACCGGACGAACCTCAGCATACACATACATACACACAGACCCCTTCCTCCAGAATGCACATGCACCTGTCATTCCATCATACGTTCTATAGAAATCACAAAAAGAAACAGTACACATAGTTCATACAAAACTAAATAAAATCTTCACCAATTGTATTGTTTGATTACACAAATAATAAAATAATTTTTTTTTTAAAAAGCAAATATTTACATGAAGCATGCACACACCACTCATTGGTCACACACACCACCAATTGATCATACACACCACCAATTTGTTACACACATCACCAATTGGTCACACACACACCACTTATTATTGCACACACCACTCATTATGGCACATACCACTCATTTGTCGCACACACCACTTGTTGGTTGAACAGACCACATGTTGTGTCATATTCCAGATAAATGATACATAAACACCAAAGGGCATCTGCGCAAACGCATTGCATCGTGGTTCGTATGTCGATTCTGGGTTCGTATGCAGAGGTCAATATGGCATATCAAAAAAGTTTGTATGTAGAGCAGTTTGTAAGTCCAGGTACCACTGTATTCTTCTCACTGTCACATTATTTATACACACAACACTTACTTATTCTCATCTCCACTTTCAGCCAATCATATATTGAGAAACTGATACCACTAATGCTCTAAACTCACAATCCAAAAATGTTCACACTAAATACCATAATTCCCATAAATTGACGTAAGCATATCCCAAAGCTATTAAAAAAATAAATACAACTTTAATATTTATAAGTGAGTATTGGACAGAGTGTATAAATAACTTAAAATATCAGGTCAATAGAAATGATCTTCAAACAATTACAAAATCTCACCAATCTCACTAACTCTCACCAAACTCACCTATAATTGTCATAAGCCCACATTAAAATATCCAGAATAATTTTTCTGCAAGATGGATTCCTTTTGCCTGAGTAGCGTGTCATGGCTTGTAGCAGATGCAATAGTTCAGCCCCTGTCAGCTTGACCATCAGGGCTCTCACAATCTTAAGAGAAACTATTTGGGTCTCTTCATCCCTGAAAAAAATTATCAGTAAAAAGAGAAGCATAAGAAATACTTTCAGATTTAGGAGCTGTACCATTATGATGTGATTTATGGCACAAATCGGACTAAATATATTTTTTTTTACATGTTGAATAGGGTTACTGACATAGACCTGAACATAAGATGTCTACACATTTTTATGCAGTTTGGCATAAATTTGACTGTGACACATTTTTTTAAAATCTTCTAACAAAAATGACATAGCATAGAGTGCAGGTTTTGCCAAACAACAACTAAACAAAATCAAATATAATATATATAATATATAAAAACAAAACATAATCAAAGAACCCCTAAAAACAGAGTTTTTCTTATACATCCTTTACAAAATGTAATACTGAGCAATGGGGGGTGGGGCAGAAAATTTGATAATGCATGCATACAAGTAAGGCACTTTATAAGAATCCCAAATAGTGCACAACACACCAAGCCCCCCCCCCACCCCACCCCAGCTCACAACCGCACATTTTTTGCAGGCCCCTGAACTCCATTAATATTCTAATGACCCACTCAGAACTTTTTCAGAAAAACAAAAGAAAATAATATGCACCAAACGCACTTGCGATACTTAAAAAAAATATTTTAAAAATCATTCAATGCAGTAATCTGGAATTCTCCTTCATGTTCCCCTTGAAATATTGAGGTTGGGGCTGAAAATTTGAAAAAAAAAGTGTTTTCATTAGCAGCAAGTCCATATGCCAAATTTGAGCTCTATAGGTTGAAGGGAAGTGCTTCAACTGGCTGTCTGAAAATTTTGGCAGCCACCCACAAACAAAAGCCAAGTTAATATAAAGGATTTTAATTAAAAAAATGCTAGTTTAATGTGGCTGTTATTCTCTCACTAAAGCAACATGTATTTGGTGACCTCTGACCTGTGAGTCAAGAAATCTGCCAGTCCTTGGCTGTTCATCTCCTGATAAGCATTCTCCATGTGATCCACATGGCCTAGGATGACCTCCAGGCACTGAGCTCTAGCATGGGCATGCAGCTTGGGAAGCAGGTACAAGAGTTTGCTGGTGAATCTGTCAATTTATAAAGAAAATGTTTTTTTTCTATGCACTTTTCTGCTGAATCATTTGCCAATCTTAATCTCTGACAGATGAAGTGTTAAGAAACTAAAATGTTTTGAAGCTTTGATCAAACTAATCTGTCATTTCAATTCAGCCGGCTTAGATTTACCTAGCCGTGAATGGGGGATAGCTCAAATGGATCCCATGGACACAGGTGATGAATATATCCACCCTGCTGTTGGCCAGGCCAGTCAAATGTGTTGTGGTGGTCTCATGGAATGTTCCATCAGTTTCCTTATCAACATCAGCAAGGTGACGGAATATCAGACCAACAACCTCAGCTGTTGCAGCATAAACCAATTTCAGGCCATGGTTCATCAGGTTTGACAGTGTGCTGAGGTATCTGAAACAAAGAACATGACAGCAGCTTTGATATAAATGATGATATTGAAGGGAGTGAATGATGTGATCCCTACAGAGAGTTAGAGCTCTTTGCCTCCAAATGTGAATACAGCTAAATGTGCAGTTTCTCATTTGATGAGATCGTAAGACCTCGAAGCTCAGTTTGGCTGACAAAAAATGTCTCAGTAGGACTGATAAGTGAGAAATTAAAAAGTAATTTAGCAAAAAAAAAATAAGAAGATTTGAAACCAATGCCAAAATATGAAATTAAAATTTGAAAGAATGTGTTGTCATCGGCAATGAGTCTATGTTCCAAGCTTCAGCTTGATAGGTTGACGGGAAGTGGGTCAATTACATGTTCGAAGATTATGCAAGCCACGAACAAAAGCAAAGTTATTATAAAAGGATTTAAAAAAGATGCTGTATGATGAGAATTTAAAAAAAGATGAACAATGTTTTAGAAGTACTCTGAAATCATAAAATTTTTTACTAATTGAATAACTGTCTTCATTATAAACCTTACCTGTCTTTGTCAACTGGGGCAGAGGGTCCGTAAGGAGGAAACTTGCATGCAAGTAAGACACCAACAACCTGTACACCTGTTGTGGACTCCAGAGCTTTTGATTTGGCATTTTTCAACATGTTGTAAATAGCACTGCAATCAAATGTTGGGCGGAAAATATTAGAAAACATCTGAATGATAGTAACAAGTGTGGAAGTGTCAATGATATCATTATATATCTTTCTTTTTTTTTGTAGACTCCATCTCAAACTTTAATATTACTTAAACGCCGACAAGACCTAGTTATATTAGAGCTTACTCATATGGTAGATCTACTCTATCGTGCCAGCATTCAAGAACAATTTTGAGCAACTGTAGATTATTCCTGTAAATGTTGCGAGATGAGTGGTAGATGTTTTCTACTATCAGGCGGACTATACAAGAAGCCATTGCTCGTTCCTCAACTGAGTCCTGTGTGATACAGAAGATAAGTTACAAGTCATTTATGAAGACAATACAAGCATTTTCGTTGTTATATTTTTCATGGAAATTTTTTCTTCTTTATATGATTTGATAAAGTGATTGTTTATCATGATTTTTTGCATAGAATGAGCTAATTTTTTTTTTTACAATTTTACTTTCATTGGCAACAACTTGATAAAAGTATGAAGTATCACAGCGTCATGTTAATGAGCGGATATGTTAAGTCATACAGAGAAGTAAGTGTGATAATCTATAACTTCACCCCTGGGATGGCTGCCGTGTGCCATGTGATCATGGTGATGACAACATCAACTACAAAGTAGTTCAGGCCACCTTTGTTGACAGCAGGCGTGAGAATCAGCTGACATAGAGGGCGCAACCAGAACTTGGCATACGGCTGAAAGATCTATGGAACAAACCATTCAACTGAGCTTATTAAAGCTAGTATCTAGAAAATAGTATCCGGAAACTTGTTTGAAGTCAAATCTTACGTCATTTGAACGCATTATTTTATTTTACTAAATAGTATAGTGCGTTCAAAAAGAAATTTGACGAAAATTTTAACGTGTGAACTGAAAAAAAAATTCAACCAAATTTCGATCAATTTCCTTCGTTCAATTTTCTGTCGACTAAATTTCTTTCAAACAAATTTCCGGTAACCCCCAAAAATATGGATTACGATGGCTATAATAACAAATCAAAATATAAGGTCCATTTAACACTTCAAGTAACTTTCAAAATTGCACCTTTTTTTTTCTCTTTCTTTTTTATTATCGAGCACGTTTATTAAGAGAAAATCTGTATTTGTTTTAAAAATAAGAGAAAGATTGTGGTCAAAAGATTAGCTTTTGTTTTTTTAGGCTATGTCAGTTTGTGTAAAGAAGTTAAGAGATGCACACAAAAACCAACACAAATTGGTACCTGACCACAGTTCATAACCAGTTTGGCTATGAATAGTTTGATGTTTAAATGTGTACTAGAATTTATCATCTTCTCCTGTAAGTACGGCATCCAAGCTGGCATCTCTGCTGGTAGGGCTCCCTTTAAAATAATTAGCAATTTTATTCATTCAGATATTTTTGTAACTCAAATGTTTTTAATATTTTAAAGAGCTGACATTCTCATCAAAAGAGCTTAAATTGAAATTTTATCTCTAACATTATCAATTTTGTATTCAAATTATGAATTATTGTTTTAATTATTTTTGTGTCATCCAAACATTACCTATTAAATCTCAGGTGTGATATTGTTGGCTGCTATGTGTTATAGAACTGCTTACCTTTGGAATCTCAGGCGTAACATTGCTGGCTGCCATGTGTTTTAAGAGTGCTATCAGTGGTGCCATGCACTCATGTCGATTCAGCTCATCCATGTCCAGCTCTATAAACTCATCTGACACTGACATATACACAGACTGAAATATTCAAAATATGAACAGACAGATCTCTCAGGCTACTGAAAATCTTAAAAGTCTTTTCTCATTAAGAATAAATCAATATAATTCTCTAGGTAAGTATTGTGTAATGGTGAATTCAATAGTGCTGGAAATAAAATTCCAGATAACTAAGCTAAAAGAGATTCTTAAAAATACTGCAAGTGCATTTGGTACATAATATATTATTTTGTTTTATGGAAATAGAATCAATTTAAATATGATGTAATAAATTAATCTGAGTTGTGAAAGGGGGTGGAACATTAAAATATTAACATAGTTCAGGGCCGTAAACAAGTGTGTGGTGGCATACCCACGGAGGAGGAGGGTAGCAGTAAGTTGGATTCTCATAAAGTGCTTTTCTTTAATACATTTTTTTGTCAAGTAACTTAGTAGAAGGGAAGTTAACTTATAACCACCACCATTGTTTGGCCCTAAGCTATAACTATTAATTATATAATTTATTACACTAGTATTTAATAAAATGCACTTAAAATAATGTTTTGAAAGAAATCTCAATTTGAACTTATGATTTATTTCCTTTTTTTTTTTGTTCATGTGTATTAGTGTTATTTATAAAGAGGAATTATATAAACCCAAATTGAGTTTCTATAGCTACAATATACAGGATTCAAAACGTTAATGCTTTCATTAAAACTGTTCATTTTAGAATAACCTGGTGACAATCTGAAAAAAATTTCCTTTTTTAAATCTGCATTAATTTACAATATTTAATATTGAAGAGCCTAACAAATTTGCCTGATATCAGATTCAATGATCTAACTTACCGGATCATCTTCTGAGCTTGCTCGGCTGGTAATTTTTATGCTTCCCTGACCATAAGATCCACTCTGAAAGATTCGTTCCAATAAATTTTGTTTTAGATTTCATCATTATTACAATAACAAGGGCTTAATTATAATCTATTCCAACAGCTACGTCCCCACATAAACTTTATTGTCAAAATGTGAATATTTAAAAAAAAAAACAACAGATGTTAAAGCTCAAGTTAAGTGAATTTAATTCTAAGTCACAACCTGTCCAATATTTGACATGTTGAAGTCATACTGATTTAAGTCATCCGTCAAGCTGCTGTCAGCCAGATACTGTGTGGCAAGGTGAAGTGATGGTGTCACCTCCCCCACTGTTCTGTTCAGGTCACCCCTCTTTTCTCTTGCTTCATGGCGAATGGATACAAATCTTTTATGCCTTTCAATGGGATCCTGTGGTTGGGGAAAATTTTTGGTCCATTCTTCAAATCTGGTATTAATAAGCTATCAATATAATCTATTTTTTCCAAATTATTATTTTTTTTACAACGTGATAGCAATTTTACTGGCAAGCTAATGTTAGTATTACATAATCATTAAAGCTCATGTTGATTAAAAAAAAAAGAAGAAAGATGCCTAATAGTAATTTATTCCAGACTAGATGATAACAAAACAAAATTTAGAGTTACCTTTAAATCGACTTCAAACTCAAAAACACGATCCAAATCTACGATGTTGTCCAGCAAAAACTGACCCTTAAAGCAGAGATTTGGATAAAAAGGAATTCTAATCAAATTTAAATTTGCATTTTAATGGAAGGGTGCTATATTAAATAGTAAAATAATTGTGTGAAATATTGATACTATATAAAACATCTTATAATTCTTTGGCAATTATAAAAAAAATAAATAAGTAACTAAGAAGTGTTCACATTCACATGTAGGAACTCATTTTTTTATTTAATAAGATCATAAAAAAAATTTAAAAATTTCTAAAAATAAAGTTCTCTATAGGCAAAATTCACCCTGGCCACATTATCCTGAAAGAGAAATCCTTTATAAAACTTGATGTCAGTCTGGACGCAAGAGATGATGGACACAAGCAGGTTGTAAGCATAGCAGTGATACTGGCGTCTCAGGTTCACCAACATCGTTTCACCTCTAGTATCTTCACTTTTAGCATCATTAGCACATCTGAAAGGAAATATTTTAACAACCTCACCTCAGTAATTTGTTTTAACCTCTCATGTTTGATGCAATAAATTTATATGAAACTAATTTTTGTATGTTTGATTTAACAAAAATATTAGACTAACTTTGCAAAAAAAATTTCAGATTAGCTTTCAATGTTTGATGTAACAAAAATTTCAGATTAACTTTGTATGTTTGATTTGACAAAAATTTCTGACTAACTTTTTATGTTTGATGTAATGAAAATTTCAAACTAACTTTGTATCAGTGACTTAGGAAGTGGGCCGCAGAGTGGTTTTCTTTCAAAGGCTGCCCTTTTTGTTTTATATGGAGGAATGCAATTTTTGGCCATCTGCAGTTTTCTTTTCTTTTGAGGGTGTGGGAGGGGAGAGGGTGGGGGTGAGTGTGTTTGTTCCTTGTTTGTTGGCGGCAAAATGTTTGCCACTTTGTATGTTTGATGTAACACAAATTTTAAACTAACTTTGTTATTTTCTGAGTCATTTCTTTGCCCGTTTCATCTTTCCCATTACAGAACTTGCGATTGATGACAGAAGACTTGGAGTTGACCTCATCTTTACTCATGCAGCCATACATCCCCTCCAGGAGCTGGAAGCTGCAGATTTTGCAGGTCAGCTGAGTCTCCAGGAGATTTTCTGAAGTCTTTTTTTTTTAATAAAGTAATTAGTTTAAGCCAAAGATGTGTTCATGAAGTAAATGAATATCAATGTCAAACTTATAGCTATGAAAAACAACTTTTAAATCAATAACTTGAAAACAGAAAATTTAAATAATTTTAAATTTACACAGCCCAAAACAGAAGAGGCATGGTTGCACAACATTTCTACAAATATAATTTTAAGGTGAGACAACGGACAAAATTTTTTAGACTATTTGCGGTGGGAAACTAACACTATCACTGATGAATCTGATGCTAGGGAGGCATATGGCTAAGTGAGCAAACTCCAGCAGAAGACCCTAGTAGAAGTGACCAGAGAGCTGACCAGAAAATGACTGAAGCTGAAGTCTGTTGTATTATATCATCAAAATAAAGCACAACATTGTTACATGGTAAAGCATTGTAGTCTAAAACATAGCTACCAGGAAAACAAGCTAGTAAACTATCTGTTGCTTGTTCATGGAAATTTTGGTCTTTTTGACGTGGCTCTGAGGTATTTCACACTTTGAAACTTTGAATTAATTTGGAAATTGTTTCCTCGTCCAGTTCATGCACTTGATATCTCCTCAGTGATTTTTTTTTCCACATGACACAACTGTCATGGTTGCTGTTCTGCTATGTTGATCATTGAGTAAGCCAAGGGTACATCCAATTATAAAGAACAAGAATACATTAAAGGACATAGCATATTATATAAGTTACCGTGGTCAGTTTCACATCTATGTAATTGATCAGTTCATGAATTTGATTACAGAAAAACTCCTTCATGGTTGCAGGGGAGACTTTTCTCAGCATGGGCAGACACACGCTCTCGATGGCTGCTCTACGTATCTCAGATGTGAATGATGTGTTTAGAAATATGCCAAGTGGAACCTCGATGGCTGGTCTTTGCTGGTCTAATGGAAGTCTTGATCAAAAGATTTTAAAAAAAAATTAAATTTAAAAATATCTAAATTAAAATATTTAAACACGAAATGACCATCACGAAAACAGACTTACAAAATGACATACGATGTTAAGGCAAAGTCAAGCCCATAATTTATAGCAAGCTTATGTTCATTTGTTATGTAGGGTTAAATGATGGATCCAGAAAGAAAATAACCAGAAAGAGCAATCATTATTTGGAGGGTAGGGTGGGGCTTGTGGAATGCGTGGTGGGGGTTGTGGCATGGGTGAATGAGTAGCATCATACTTAATAGGGTAGGGTGGGGCTTGTGACATGCATGATGGAGTAGCATCATACACATGAGGCAAATTGATTGATTAAGACAAAAGTTTATTTAGCTGGCTTAATTTCTACACTTACAAGGGGGCAGGCAACTACAAGGGGGCGGACAACTACAAGCGGCAGACAACTATAACAACAAATCCCATGCCAGATGTTCCCTTCCTGTATCCATCACTTTCAATTTATTCCACCTCACAAAATGACTCAATAATTCATAGGATTTGAAACACTTTTACAGTTTTTACCTCTGAACAAATCTGCTGATGGCCAATTGGATGGCCTCTTCATGTGGATGTTTTCCCTCCTTGCAGTAAACACTTATCAACATCTCCAGCAACATCAAACTTCCTGTCATCTCCATCGCCATCAATATCTGAAGCATTATATAACAGAATGAATTGCTTAATGTCGTTATATTCAAGAAATAATTTCTTTAGAACAAAATCTTGCACATACACTAAAGACTCCACTCAGTATGATTAGTAGCTTCAGCGGAGCTAATATCATTGTATGGATGGACAGCAATTACCTTATCAATAGACATAATGTAATCTTTGAACTTGGGAGTCCCAGCTTCAAACTCAGAGCTCTTCAGGGGAAAATTGTCAGCTATGAATCTGTTCAGAGTATCTCTAGAAGGAGAAGTGAACAATTTTTAAAAGACATTCCAAACCCTTCTTTTTTAAATCCTTTATATTAGCTTTGCTTTTATTCATGGCTGGCTGGCTGGCAAAATCTTCCGACAGCTAACTGACCCACTTCCCACCAACCTATCCAGGAGAAACTTGGAACATACCCTCTTTACAACACATTCTATTAAATTTTCAGCCTCACCGCCCCAAAAATCAGTTTTTCTTGTTTTTCAAGGGGAATATGAAAAAAATGTGAAGGGTCATTAGAACATTTCTATAGTTCAGGGGTGTGAAAAAAATGTGCGGTAGTGATCCTTGAGGGGGGGGGGGAGGGAGCACTAATTGGGATTCTTATAAAGTGCATATATTGTAAAATACAGTTATTTCAAGATTTTATTCTCAACCTTAAAACTCAACTATAAGCATTTTATCACAATCACTTAAAACAAGGGCTTGCAGTCAGTCTCAAGGAATGGTCTCTGGTAGTCCGTTGAAGTCTGTGGGTTAAGTCTGTCTGGGCTTCAGTGGAATATGTCTTACATGGCCCTCAAAAGGTAGGTCATAGAGATAGTCACACCATTAAAGGAAACCCAGAAATGTCTGGGATTTGTCTGATCTGGCTTGTGTTGCAGTCAGATCAATCAACATTTGTCTGATCTTACTTGTGTGGTACTGCGGTCACAGATCAGTGAACATTTGTCAAGGCAATAGCAAGACTTCTCTAAAAATGTAGCACCAGTCTTCTCTAAGACCATAAAAAGTCTTCTCTAAAACTGTCAAACTAGTCTTTTCTAATATGTCTTTTCAACACCAGTCTTGAGAAAATAAATCCAAATGAAACATATAATCTAATTAAACTGAACAAAGACTTTTGTTCACACTTACTTGAGTTCCTCTTCTGGCCTCCCTTTTAGTAAAGCGAAGAAAGCCAACAAATTCAGAGCCTGGTTCTGTGATTATTGAGGGGAAAAAAACATATTCAATAGTACATGTTTAAAATATGTACATCTGTATACTTTTAAAACATGTACAATCGTATACTTTAAAAATATGTACAAATGTATTCCTTTAAAATGTGTAAAATTGTATGCCTTTAAAACATGTACAAGTGTATACCTATCACTGTATTGAACACATAACTTAACCAGTACTATATGGTAAATTTCTTCTTCTTCTATATCTTAAGGGCCCACGATCAATTTATTGATCATTTTGGCTCCTATGCATGTAGATGGGATTTGCAATGTTTCTGTTACTGGTGGTGATGAGGAAATTATGCACTAGGGGTTTGAAGGCTTGAGGCAATAGACACAAATGTGTCTAGTGTTGTCTAGTATATGGTACACTAACTTAACAAGCACTATATGGTACACTTAACAACTTAACCAGCACTTTATGGAACACCAAACTTAACCAGCAATGTATGGAACACCTAACTTAACTAGCACTATATGGTACACTTAACCAACACTGTAGGGAATACCTAACTTAACCAGCAATGTATGGTACACTTAACTTAACTAGCACTGTATGGAACACTTGACACACTTGACTTAACCAACACTATAAGGTAAACTTAACTTAACCAACACTATATGGTACACTTAACTTAACCAACACTATATGGTACACTTAACTTAACAAGCACTATATGGTACACTTAACAACTTAACCAGCACTTTATGGAACACCTAACTTAACCAGCAATGTATGGAACACCTAACTTAACCAGCACTGTATGGAACACCTAACTTAACCAGCACTGTATGGAAAACAGTGAGTTTTTCTACGGATGGAAGAAGACTTGTGTAACTTTAACAGTTTTGTGTAGTGGTATATAGGCACACATAGCCAATAAATAAGAAAATCTGAATCCCTGAATTGTTTGTTGATACTTGGAACAAGAGTCAGCTCTGTAGGAGCTGGAAATAAAGGGGTTCTAGACCCTTGAAAAATTGTTCTGTGGCTAGTACAGAGGGGACCGACCCCTAGACAACGTACGTCACGTCACAGTACACCTAACTTAATTAGCACTATGTGGTACTCTTGCTTAACTAAGGATTCATTAATAGATACACCACTAACTTTTAACAGTTCAAATCTCAATTGAACATTTCTGAAACATTGATTATTTTATAACTGACTTATTTCTGTTTACAAATACAGTAAAGCTAGGGTCTAAAAAAATAATTAAATATGGACCTCTTCATGTATATTTTAACTTAATGTCCTAATCCAACTACTTCATGCTAATGCAAAATTGTAAGCAAAAAAATCAAAAATCATTTACTGTCAAAATTCATCCTGTTTAAAAGAAATCATGACAGATTCTTGATAAGCTTGGAAGTCATACAAAAATATCAATAATTTTTAAATTTAACATTTTAAGTGACCAAAAGAGCTTCTAAAATTGTTACTCATAACATAGTCTTAATGCTCAATAAATGAAAAAAACTCATAAAAGATTTAAGAACCTTAAAACTCATTGTGGTCCTGACATCTTTGAGCATCAGCTGATACATACTAAACACAGAAGCAAATGACTTGTGACCAGAATCAGTAGCACACTGTGAAAAAATAAATTATTAAAAAAAAAATTAAACAGAAGAAATTTTAATTTCAAAGTGATGCTCAAAAGAATAACTTTATATTACTCTCCAATTTTAGTCTGGCTTTCTTTTCTGGCACAAATTTTTACAGGTTCAAGAAATATTTGACCAACCATTATTACGGTATAAACGGAAAATGACATGTTTTTTACAGTATAGAAATTAAATTAATTCACAAGTACAAATGAATGAGTGGAGGTGGTCACGTCAATATACAACTTTTAATTGTAACATGGACACATGTTTGGCTTAGTGAGGATAAATTGTAACATGGACACATGTTTGGCTTAGTGAGGATAAATTGTAACATGGACACATGTTTGGCTTAGTGAAGATAAATTGTAACATGGACACATGTTTGGCTTAGTGAGGATAAATTGTAACATGGACACATGTTTGGCTTAGTGAGGATAAATTGTAACATGGACACATGTTTGGCTTAGTGAGGATAAATTGTAACATGGACACATGTTTGGCTGAGTGAGGATAAATTGTAACATGGACACATATTTGGCTTAGTGACGATACATTGTAACACGGACACATGTTTGGCTTAGTGAGGATAAATTGTAACATGGACACATGTTTGGCTTAGTGAGGATAAATTGTAACATGGACACATGTTTGGCTTAGTGAGGATAAATTGTAACATGGACACATGTTTGGCTTAGTGAGGATAAATTGTAACATGGACACATGTTTGGCTTAGTGAGGATAAATTGTAACATGGACACATGTTTGGCTTAGTGAGGATAAATTGTAACATGGACACATGTTTGGCTTAGTGAGGATAAATTGTAACATGGACACATGTTTGGCTTAGTGAGGATAAATTGTAACATGGACACATGTTTGGCTTAGTGAGGATAAATTGTAACATGGACACATGTTTGGCTTAGTGAGGATAAATTGTAACATGGACACATGTTTGGCTTAGTGAGGATAAATTGTAACATGGACACATGTTTGGCTTAGTGAGGATAAATTGTAACATGGACACATGTTTGGCTTAGTGAGGATAAATTGTAACATGGACACATGTTTGGCTTAGTGAGGATAAATTGTAACATGGACACATGTTTGGCTTAGTGAGGATAAATTGTAACATGGACACATGTTTGGCTTAGTGAGGATAAATTGTAACATGGACACATGTTTGGCTTAGTGAGGATAAATTGTAACATGGACACATGTTTGGCTTAGTGAGGATAAATTGTAACATGGACACATGTTTGGCTTAGTGAGGATAAATTGTAACATGGACACATGTTTGGCTTAGTGAGGATAAATTGTAACATGGACACATGTTTGACTTAGTGAGGATAAATTGTAACATGGACACATGTTTGGCTTAGTGAGGATAAATTGTAACATGGACACATGTTTGGCTTAGTGAGGATACATTGTAACATGGACACATGTTTGGCTTAGTGAGGATAAATTGTAACATGGACACATGTTTGGCTGAGTGAGGATAAATTGTAACATGGACACATGTTTGGCTGAATGAGGATACATTGTAACATGGACACATGTTTTGCTTAGTGAGGATAAATTGTAACATGGACACATGTTTGGCTTAGTGAGAATAAATTATAACATGGACACATGTTTGGCTTAGTGAGGATAAATTGTAACATGGACACATATTTGGCTTAGTGAGGATAAATTTTAACATGGACACATGTTTGGCTTAGTGAGGATAAATTGTAACACGGACACATATTTGGCTTAGTGAGGATAAATTGTAACACGGACACATATTTGGCTTAGTGAGGATAAATTGTAACATGGACACATGTTTGGCTTAGTGAGGATAAATTGTAACATGGACACATGTTTCATTACCTTGCTGTCAATGAGTAGTAGCTTAGTGAGGATAAGCAGAGCCAGACTTTGAGTGTTTGTAGTAGCTCTATCACCCCACCAGGGACTTAGCTTATCCCAGTGGTCAAGGATGTCTTGACACAGGCGGACTCCATCCCTTGGACATTTAATAACAATGAGTTGATTAGAATAACCTTGTTACAATTGACTTGTTTAGGATTGCATTGTTACAATTGACTTGTTTAGGATTGCATTGTTACAATTGATTTGTTTAGGATTGCATTGTTACAACTGACTTGTTTAGGATTGCATTGTTACAATTTAATTGTTTAGGATTGCATTGTTACAATTTACTTGTTTAGGATTGCATTGTTTCAAGAAGTTATCTGATCTTTGACCCATTAAACAGACCTATCAAAAACTCTATTGATATTACACAAACTACATTTTGCTCAACAAAATTATTTAAAGCAAGATGAATTTGTAAGACTTTAACAATACATCCCACCCACTTCATCACAGTAACTTAAAATGAGCTCCATCAGGGTAAATTTTTTCCCCTTAAAGTAAGGACCCAAAGATATAGAAATTCTATTGTTCCCCGGTGTGTCATAATACGCCAAAGTGAGTCCATGGCCATTATAAAATCAAACAATCAGTTTTAAATGTTTACGGCATATGACGGCTAGTTTTTGTGCTTCCGAAATACTTTAAATAAATTTTTTAAAAATATTATTCAAAATGTTTATCTATTTGCAGAAAATGGAGATGTACAATGTAATCAAAACACATTTCCATTTTTTTTTTTATATCAATAAATCTTATCTCATCTTATCTTTAAAAACAACCATTTTCATTGATGGCATGTATAAAGTATGCCTAGGGTTTTGAAAGAAATCCAAGATACTCTCAAGTTATATTTTGCTAGTCTTACAACTAATGGCTCTGAAACAATTACTGTGACATTTTGTTTAAAATATGAAAAGAAAGACAGAATGAGATGTAAACCCTCAAAACTGGGAAAATGAGAACACATGGTTTAATTTTGAAATACCTTTTTCGAAGTGACCTGTCCCTGGTCACAAGATCAAGAACCGCTACCAACACATTCCCAATACAAGGGCTGTCACATTCTGTCCTCCTGAGTAGGGATGCAAGGATATTTCGACCTGATGTGGCAAGGAAGGCGGCAATGGTTGACCCCAGAATGGTGAAAAAATAATCACCATGATTTACTTCCATTCTCTTTGAGTGACCTTGAACTTTTGATTTGTCCAGGAGTTTTGCTACCAGCAAGTCAGGCTGATTATCATTTTGTGGAAGAAAGACTTCATTAAAATAGAATCAAATTAGGTGTTTCTTACACCTGTGAACAGCCATGAGAAAAATCAAACCAAGAGACCTGGGACACTACAAAAAAGTAGGATCTGAGGCAAACAACTTTGACCCTGCAGGCAGATCCTACAGGTATGACGAAAGATTCAATGATCCTTGCCTCAATCACAAGTCAGAAAAAATTGAGTGCGATTATCAAATATCATTTGGCGTAATTAAGCATTAGGTTTTAATTTAAACAGGTTTATTTTTTAAAAATTATTTTCTACACACAAATTAAAATCATCAGAAAAATATTCTCAGTATAACCTACATGTGCCATTTCAGATCAATTCATTTTACTTACTGGTAAATCAAGCTCCAGTGACAGCATCAGCAGAGACTTTGCCAGATTTATTGCTGGTTGGCTGAGGTTGACACGACCTAGCTCATCACCCTGCCTGTCAACAATGCCCTGGTTGGAATTCAATTTTAGACAATTAAAACGGAGGGAACAACTTTTTGGAACTAAACAATATTCCCTTTAAAAATAATCATCTGCTGCAACTAAAAAAAAAAAAAAAAGGAATGTCCAATCTTTTCTTCATGTTATAAAATGCTTCCACCAATAAATCACTTGTTTACTGCTTGCAAATACTCTCAAAGCCATGATTCAATGCCACAAAAAGCATGCTGCTATCAATAACTTCTCCAAATGCCTCAAACAAATGTCTAATCACAAAGTCTAACTGAGCAAATTTTAGTCAAATCTAATTGGCTTTAGGTCTCGGTGCTTATTGTTTTCATTTTTAAAATGATTTCCATGTTATAATGTTAAGCACAGAGATCAACTGCCAATGCATACATTTTCCCATTTCATTTTTAATGATCTCAATGCTATAGGTGATAATGTATGCATTTGTAGTAGGTCTCTGTGCTTATTATTTTCATTTTTTAATGATGTCAATGTTATAAATGACAATGTAATGCATAGTACTCTGCCGCAGTCCCAGCAGAAATTCACCTCAAAAACATTATCCAACAGTTTAGAAGCCAAGCTGCTCCTGGCCACTGGTTTGGGCAAGTGTTCCTCCAGGAGTTTTGTACTGTGGAGCTGCCTGTACCCTTCCACCATCTGAGCTAGTTGTGTGTGATCTGTGTCAGAGTATGCTAAGTTGATGGGCAGTGATGCAGACAGGTTGCTGTTGTTGGGACAATTCAAGAGTTAACATTACCGAAAACAGGAGTCAAGTAACCCTTCTTAATTATCTCAACATCTTACTTCTCAGTTCCCCCTTGTGGAAATATTAAGAGTTTTTTTTCTTTTAAAAAAGATAAGCTTTCATATAATAATATTAAAAATAACTTGTAGATTATAACACAATGCATACTTTGCGTAATATCACTTACCATTCACTGGCCAGATGATGAGTCAATGCATGATTCAGCTGCTTCTGCTGGCTATCGGGCAGGTGTTTGTTCATAACTTGTAAAACTGTATTCATCTAGAGTGGGTGAGATATTAAATAGAATCAATAGCAGTGATTAGAAACCTGTAAATAAAAATTGAAAATGAAAAAAATAATTTTTCCCCCCATATCATGTCTTATATATATTACGTTTCTGGTGTGACTCTTGGACTGCTTCCTGAAGGACTGCTTCCTAATCAGCAAATTTGGTATTGAAAGTATATTACAAATAATTCTAAATGTTTGAAAGAAAGTATGGTTCAATAATGATTTTAATATCGCGCAAAATTCCCGATAACTACGTTAAATAATATTAATATATATATATTTTTTTAAAATAACGCATTGCGTTTGGTGCATAATATTTTCTTTTCGGAAAATGAAATCATCTCAATTTAAATATGGTGTGATGAATATTAGGTTTAAAAGTGGTTGAGACATCAGAATATTAATATAGTGAAATAAAAAGTGTGCAGTGACGTATCATGGGGGGAAGGGGTGTAGCACAAATTGGGATTCTTAAACGTGGGTTACTTGAGTTCATGTATAGTCAAGTAACTTTAGTAGATGGGAAGTTCACGCATTGCTGTCGCCAATGTTTGGTGAGTTATAAATAGTCTTATATAATATTCTTGTATCAAAATTACGTAAGAAACACTATGGCAACAAGAATAAACATAGTTTTTTTTAATACAAACAAAATCTTAATAAATTTTATTTCAACTCAATTTTTGTTTTGTTTAATTCCTACAAGACTTAAGAAAGAATCATTTCTATTCTAATACTCTATCAAAACATCAGGCAGAGATGCCAGCCTCTCCCCCCCCCCTGCCTCAACAAACTGCATTGCAGACAGCTCCAGTCATCAGACCAAACAGTGGTAAGCCTCAAGAGGAATTAAGAGGAACTCGGAATAAAACCTTTCAATGACACCCCTTTCAATGACACCCCTTTCAATGACACCACTTTCAATAACACCCTTTTTAACTGACCCCCCCCCCCTTTAATAACACCCCTTATCAATAACACCCCTTTCAATAACACTCCCTTTGAATGACACCCCTTTGAATGACACCCCTTTCAATGACACCACTTTGAATGACACCCCTTTCAATGAAAACCCTTTCAATAACACTCCTTTTCAATGACACCTCTTTCATTAGTACACCTTTCAATGACACTGCTTTCAACAAAACTCCTTTCAAAAACACCCCCATTAATGACACCCCTTTCAATAAAACTCCATTTCAATGACACCCCACACAACAGTAAAAGTAATTCTAAACCAGAGTATTGTGTCACCTCCTTAGGGAGCTGCAACATGATCTCAGTGTCTGACATGTTGAAGCCTAAGGCACTTGGCTTCACAACACAGAAACACAACAGTTGCCACAGGTTGTCCTTCCATAAATCTGTTGGTACCACCTGGTAGAAATAGACCATGGGTTTGTAAAAAATCTCTGCTTCTGTTTTAGCTGAGAACCGCTGGGACGAATAGGGATAAAGCCAACTCAAAATTTACAACTAAATATGAAAGTACTCTTTAACTGAAAAGTTGTATGTTAAAATAAAGACTGACAAATGCACGTAAACAAAATGCAATGTTCCTGAAAATTTTCTAAAAATAGATTTTTAAGTTATATTTGTTTACAATTTTAAATGCTTAGTAATTAATGTTTAATGGGATTATTGAGTTAACTTATTTTTTTAGCAGTTTCTACTTGATTGCATGAAACGGGAAAGTTTAATATTTATAAGGACACCAATCTGTGAAGTAAAACAAAATTACTTTGAAAGATAACAAGATGGGGAAAACATGGTTTAAAATTGAATAAGGCATAACAATGAATACCTCTGGAACATCTTTAGGAAATTTGGCCAGTAAAATTGAGAAGAAATTCCAAATTCTTATGATTACTGTGCACTTCAACCTTAGTGAGTAAACGTAAGTATAAAGTAATATATGTATTAGAAAAGAATCTTAAGTTTTCGGATGTTACACCTCTACAGTTCAAAACAAAAAAATAGTTAAGCTGCAAAATGAAACTTGTTTGTGTAGATTTAATTTCTTCTGCAACATTAAACAAAATTATAACAATTGGTTATGACCATCAAAATGCAATGTATATTTTTGCCATTAATTGTATCACAATTACAAAATAAATTACATAAATTAAAATGAGGAAAATGACTGAAGGTAAGGAGGTGCAAGGGAAAAGAGGTGGGAGGAAAATGTAAGGGGGGGGGAGTTAGAGGTGAGAGTGGAAGGAGTTGGGAGAGCAAAGAGGTGGAGTGAAAAGAGGGTGGAATGGAAAAGAGGTGTGAGGCTAATGCAGCGGGGGGTTGGAGGTGACAGTGGAAGGAGCTGGGAAGGCAAAGAGGTGGGAGGGAAAAGAGAGAGGAATTGAAAAGAGGTGGGAGGGAAAAGAGGGAGGAATGGAAAAGAGGTGGGAGGGAAAAGAGAGAGGAATGGAAAAGAGGTGGGAGGGAAAAGAGGGAGGAATGGAAAAGAGGTGGGAGGGAAAAGAGAGAGGAATGGAAAAGAGGTGGGAAGGAAAAGAGAGAGGAATGGAAAAGAGGTGGGAGGGAAAAGAGAGAGGAATGGAAAAGAGGTGGGAGGGAAAAGAGGGAGGAATGAAAAAGAGGTGGGAGGGGAAAGAGAGAGGAATGTAAAAGAGGTGGGAGGGAAAAGAGGGAGGAATGAAAAAGAGGTGGGAGGGAAAAGAGAGAGGAATGGAAAAGAGGTGGGAAGGAAAAGAGAGAGGAATGGAAAAGAGGTGGGAGGGAAAAGAGAGAGGAATGGAAAAGAGGTGGGGAGGAAAAGAGAGAGGAATGGAAAAGAGGTGGGAGGGAAAAGAGAGAGGAATGGAAAAGAGGTGGGAGGGAAAAGAGAGAGGAATGGAAAAGAGGTGGGAGGGAAAAGAGAGAGGAATGGAAAAGAGGTGGGNGGGGGGGGGGAGAAGAGAGAGGAATGGAAAAGAGGTGGGAGGGAAAAGAGAGAGGAATGGAAAAGAGGTGGGAGGGAAAAGAGGGAGGAATGGAAAAGAGGTGGGAGGGAAATGCAGAGGGTGGGTTGGAGGTGACAGAGATAGGTGTGGGACCGCAAAGAGGTGGGAGGGAAGACATGACAAGAGAGAGTGAAAGTACCTGCTGTACTCGTCTTTCTCCCATGGAGTAAACACGGAAGATTCCCTCTGGGGAAATAGGCAAGCAGCAGACTCAACATCAGAAAGAGACAGCTTTTCCAGGAAGAAGCTTAGGCTCTTAAACAGGCAACTCATCTCTGAGCCTTGGCCTAATTTTTTAAATTTTAAAAGAAAAAGACCTTTCAACTTACTGGGTGCATAAAATAGTACGAGATTAAAAAATTGACAGCTTGTCTCTGTGTTAAAATTAAAATAGTTGGTGTGTCTGGGTTAAAAATTAAAATAGCTGGTGTGTCTCTGTGTTAAAATTAAAATAGCTGTTGCGCCTATGTTAAAAGTAAAATAGTTGTTGGGTCTTCAAATCACATTATGAGTTATGGATATAAATTTGAAGTCAGCTTTTTAAAACAAACATTTCATTGTAGGGTTTGCTGAGTAATTTTGAATTATGCGTGTCTTATTTCCAATTATGTGTATCTAAATTCCAAATACTTGTATCTAATTTCATATTATTTGTATCTAATTTCATATTATGTGTATCCAATTTTAAATAAAATTTTATGTAACTTCAAATTATGTTTTTTCTAATTCTAATAATTAAATCTATTAGCTCCAATTGATATGTATCAGCTAATTACCTTTGAAAATCTGTGTGGGGACCATAAGGCCCTCACCAAACACCCAGCAGTAGCAATCCAGGGCAGCAAGGAAATAATCAAACCATTTCCTGGCAGTGGACAGCGTGAAAGTCTCAAAGCCTTCAGTCATGATCGGCTTAGACAGGAGGCAGTGAGATTCACTTGACGCATGACCTCCACCTTCGAATCTGCCCAAATTTCAAAATAATTGTTTCTATTAACTTGCTGTGCAGGGTGAACATTGAATTAGAAGCTCGAAATAATATTTATTTAGCCTGGTTTGGATATTAAAAAGAAAAGTGTAAAGAAACCACTTTCATCAGTGGCTTAGTGAGCCTGGAGATGTTAACAACCTATATATTTCATTTTAAATGTTTTTCATAAGAATAATAAAAAAAATTCATGAGGAGATTCAACTTCTAAAATTTTAAATTTCAACCAAAATCATGGGGTATGTCCAGTTTTGGTAAGACAGAGTAGCTTGCTCATGGACACCGCCTACTTTTTTCAAATCTGGTTGGTTCAAAAATAATGCTTTTGTTTCTAAACTCCATTCCAGAATGTTGATTATGTCCCAATTAAAACATACCTTATTATATATTTTATTAAAAAAAATATGATCTCTTAGGATCTGAATAACTTATTTCCTTTCATTTCATGTTATTGTCATCAAACCAGTGTTAACTCAGTCAACCATGAAAGTGGATACGATATGAACTGTTACTCAGTCAACCATGAAAGCGGATACTATATGAACTAACACATTTTACTTTTTTCTCTGAAAAAATTAATAGTTTTTCCTACGTGCTCATACCCCATATTGTAAATTCCCTTTAAATATATCGTGCTGATTTTAGTAGGAGACCAGTTAGTTGTAAATATAGTTTTTCCATCAAACTAAGCTTTTCAAAAGTTACTATAGTTTTACATCAATTTAAAACAATGCAGGAGGTAAGATATGTTAAATCATAAGAAACAGTATTGGAAACTTCTGTGAATTATACTGAAGTTATCTCATGGAAGAGGTATGGCTATATAAAATACAACATACAACATACAAATTAGAGTATTTTAAACAGATTGAGATATCAATCATAATTAGTTTGTGTGTTCAACAAACTAAAGTAGTGTGAATAAATTGTTGTCAAGTAATAAGGTAAAACCATTTGGTTTTTTTCATCTTAATTCAACCAACTGGAAAGAAAGTTTTTTTTATGTTCCATGTTCAACCCAGAATGGCTACTAGAAAAATGTCAATGATAAAATTGGGAATAAACAGTCCACCAAATTTTAGTTCAATAAGGCAGGTAATGACAGTTTACCTTTTCAAAAAATAGGAGGCTCCTTCTGCTTTGTGCAAGATGTCAAAAAAGTTTCCTGGCGACTTAACTCCTGGAAAATAAACAAGTAAGAAACTCACTGACTGTTTGTGTTAGTTAGCCCCCTTACTACTGTGATGTTAGCCCCACCACATATCTGCAAAGTTTGACTACTTTCCATGGTACACCACACAATAGAATTAGAGGTTTTCAAGGGAAATAAACAAGTAAAGAAACTCAGTTCTATTTGTGTCTGGAAAGCTTTCCCGCACGTGGGACCCACGCTGATTTGGGTCTTGGTAGGATTCCGCTTTTCCTCGCAGTCCGCTTTCTTCGGGCGTGAGTGGTGCGCTTATTCTCAGAGGATTATGCTCCAATGGTGAGTCTGCCACAACAGTTTGTATGGTCCACTACAAGTGTCTCCCATGAATCAAGGTCAGTTTCCAAAGTACCTGAAGTATTTTTTCTGCCCACCAGCTGAGCATTTCCCAATGGAGAGTTCACTGAACATCAGTCGTTTGAGAAGCCTGCTGTGTGGCATTCTGGCAACATTCCCTGCCCATCTGGTGTGTCCTTTCTTTAGGAGCGAGTGGATGCTGATAAAATCAGCTAGTTGTAGGAAATTGTATCAGCGATTCTGTCCTGCCACCTTATGCCAAGAAGTTTACTACTGTGATGTAAGCGCTACCACATTTCTGCAAAGTTTGACCACTCTCCATGATACACGACAAAACAGTATTGGAGAGGTTAAAAATTCAAAGGAAATAAACATATTTATATTGTTCCTTGTATGAACCAACCATAATCATAATTCAGGGTTTCTTTGGCAATACTATTAAAATAAAACAAGATAGCAAAGGATAATAAAATATGATATTCTAAAATGTATCAATTCAAGATTACCTTAGAATTATTTTAAGTAATTTAAAGATATGTTTTAAAAGGTGATTTCTCCCCAAGATTTCCTCCTACTACTAATATTACTCCATTTTATACTATAAAAAAGCTGGCATGTACCTGGCAGCAAAGTGCAAAGATTAAAGACAAGCTTCATGCAGATATGTCTACACTCTGTCTGAGGGTTGCCACATTGTCTTGTCAGCCAACGAACAGCGTGTTCTAACTTTCTGCTTCTCCAAGAGCTGAATTAAAAGTAGATACATTTTTTGGAATCTCTAATATCTTACTCTCAGACCGACATTCCTTCCCGCAAAAGTTGACACGCAGCAGGATAATAAATGCTAAATAATTTTTTAATAAATATTTCTGCTGCATCTGTTATTTTCATAAAATGCAGTTTTAAGAAATCTATTGCATGACTACTCAAGGCAACTTAATCTTTCATATAATACAGAGTTATTTTCTACCTCTGATTCTGTTCATTCAGCTAACTTGTTTCTTCTCTTTCATTCAGTTACTTTGGTTCCACCATGGTTCTTTGGCTTATTTTAAAACTGTTCTTACCTTGGTTCTGGGCGAATTTTCGGACCTGGGTCTTTCTTCAGCATCTCAGCTTTCCCTTTGATAATTCTTTCCAAGTGTTCTAAGGCTTTAATGCTTTGTTCCTGTGTACCTGTTAACAAAGTTTATTTTAAGTTTAAGATTTTAAACATTAACAAAGTCATTCCTTGATGCCATCAAAAGTTTGAGAATTTTCAATTTTTTATAAGAATTAGCAAAAGTATGCTTTTGTAAAAATCTGATTAAAAAAACAAAACTTCTTCTTAGAAGAATCCACACTTAAAGAGTCTGATGTTTAAATCAAAATGTTGCGATTAGACTTTAGCAGTACCTAAAGACTTGTCATCCTCATGAGCCATGGACAAGCTGTCTACAAAATGGGACAGAGTGTCAAATGTGAACCTGTCTATGAGAGCATCTTCTTCCCTGGAGTTAGAAAATTTGTTTTTGGAATCATTGAAGAAGAATTTATACAACCAGTTATTTGCATGGTTGATAATGTCATGAAAGCTTGGAAAGTAACACAAAACCATTTTGACTAAAGAATATATAAAGCAACTGAAATCTGAAAAAATGTGTTTGATGTTTGTCAAAGACTTTTATTTTTGTTACCTGAAGACCATGTATATATTATTGAATGCTAAAGCTGCTCCAAGCCTTTTGAAAGCACTTGGATGTGAAGAATAACTATGGATTCTCTTGAACACTGACTTGGCATTGATTGGATTTTTCTCGGCCGCCTGAAAACAAAACTCATTATTTTTTAAACAACAAGAACTTATGTCTATTAAAAAAATCGAACTTAACAGCTAAATGTTGGTTGTTTAAAAATAAGGACTTGGAAACTTAGAGCGGTCAGGATTAAAAACTATCTACCTTTTTTGATATTTGTTTCAGAGACCACTTGAGAAATTCTCTGAGGCACTTAGCACTGAAGTCTCTGAGAGCTGTGTCAGTCGACTGGATTAAGCCATCCTAGAAATTTTTTTAAAACAACGGAGAGATGGTTATTAGAATGTTTCTATGTACCAAATAGGCACCAAATAAATAGAAGTAAGAGATGACACAGTTATCTTATTTGTAATCTGTAAATGTTTCATATCTGTGCATGGTATCTTCTGTGCACTGATAGACAGTTGCTCCACTTACAAATATACAGTCCAGGAGTGCCATGGTCTCAGGGCTTTCGGCCATCTTGTTGTTGGTGAACCAATGGATCAGCTGCATCATCAAAGGTTCAAAGAGATCTTTACAAACCTAAAAAAGGTCATTGGGAAATAAATCTAACATGATTTTTTTATAAGCAAATCAATTAATGAGCAATGACATCTAGAAATTTGACCTTATTCTTATTTAACTATCATATCAATGTCCCAGTTTCCTAAAATGTTCTTGTAAGAGTGCAGAAATAAAATGCAACCAAGTTAAACAAAGTAAATTATTGTCATATCGTATCATAATTAATAATAGTGATAAAAGTTTATCCCAGAGTTCTTTACCTGCTCCACATCACAGGCCAAGCTCAACAGCGAGGGAAACAGTTTCTGATACAATCTCTCCATGGGGTACTTCTTCTGTGTCTCCCCAGGCAGATGAGCGCCCCTGCCCAATGCATACAGCACTAGGGAGTGGAGCAGCTCACAAGCCGCCACTTTAGTTTGTCTGTCACTCGACTGCTGAGCCAATTTCACAACTTGAGGGAGGAATGGATCTGAAAGGCAATTTTAGCAGTTAATAAAATTACACCTTGAAAAATGAAACAAAACAAAAAAAACTCAAAATTTTCTTAATTTTAAAGAAAAGCCCTTTACAAGGGGGAGGTTTCAGTTATTTACTTCATATTATCATATAAGCTTACTTTGGTGCATAAGTAAGTAAGTTACTATAGTGCATACGTAAGTAAATAAGTAAATAAGTTTCCATGGTACATAAGAAAGTTACTATGGTGCACTTATCACTTTATATTCCATTCAGTGCCTTCAATAAAATATTAATGTTTAGATTAATAGAGCGCTTCAATAAAGTAGGGATAATTAGTTGAGCAAAAACCTGAATGGAACAAAAATTTATTGGAATCTAATGTTATACATTACTAAAGCCTTATGAACCACTGAGGCATGGGATCCAATGATTAGAGGAGGATTGGTCATCAATAAGGATGAGTGGTATTCTATTAGTGCAATGGAAAATTGTAGAGATGAGCAGAATTGTGACGATAAACTCCTCAAAGAAATACCACACCTCGACGTAATTGAAATACTATTATATTTCCAGTTTTTAATTACATTTCCTCTGACGCTCATCTGTAATTTTAAATTTGTTGCTGTGTGCTGGAGCCTGCAGCCAATCCTTTTCTTTTTCATTTGTTTAAGTTGCATTATTTTTTTTTACTATTAATATAATTGAGCACTGTCTATCATCTTAAGTTAAATTTACACAGTGCTTAGCTGTTGAAAAGGGATTTTAGCAAAAATGTTCAATTTTTTAATGTAGTCTTAGATTAAGTTTGAACCTACTTTTTTTTATTAAAACTTACACTCTGTGTCCTTAAATATCTAAGATCAACCATGTTAATGTATGTTAGTTAATGGCTTTGAAAGCCATCTTTTCATACATGGAGGACGACATAAATGATGATGAAATAAAGAAATTGCTAACATACTCAAATAAATAATTGAGGATAAATTTTAGAAAAATTGCAAATAATTTTTTGAATGACAATTTTGTTTGAATTAAATTTGTTAAAATCCTTTCACTAGTTTCAGACTCTAAGAGATAAGCAGTTCTCATAAGAATGATGTGGTTAACATCGCATCAAAATTATTTTTTGCCTTAAAAGTCTGAGGGCAAATTGCTAATTAGGAATATGGATTATTTGCGATATAACTAACAGCAAAAATTACGTTTGAGCAGCTCACCAAAGTAAATTGAAGGCTTCATGTCAAAGAAAGGTACATCAAATTTCAAATGATTCTGTGTGTCCCATGAAATGGCTTCTTTGCTTATCTCATCATCCGAGTGAGCCAACAAGGCATGGTTTATTTGGCCACCCAGCGATCCCAAGTAGTGCAGGATCCGAAGTTTGATCTTAGACAACTGACTTGGCAAACCCTGCAGTTATTAAATTGATTAGTACATGTCTGACCTCTACTTACTTTGCCTGATTCTGATCTTAGAATATGATTTTATTACTAATACGAATATATTTCAAGGTCTCAACTCTAAAACTACTTAAAATCCAGTAAAATAAATCAGTCTTAGGCTCCTTGAATAAAAAAAATTAATCACCACTTCAAGGACAAACAATATATCATTCTGCCACTAAATATATTTGTACTTAAATGTTGAAGTCTACTTTATATCATATATATATATATATATATATTATATATATATTTCTAAGTGATTTCCTTGATAAAATATTTTAGTTTGTATCCAGCCTGTTTCTTCACAAATGAAGAAATGTCTTCCAAATACATGTTATTCTTATTATTTCCTAGAATGCATTTCCATCCTCAAGGAAGGAAAAAACATATTTTTTTAGTGATGACGTTTTTAAACATAGAAAAGTGAAATAGTGACAAGATCACGAGCATGCAAGAACTTACTTCAGCATCTGACTTATTCCCTCTCACAAGTCTTACTGGAACCTTGACTTTGGATTTCTTTGATTGAACCAAGACTGTTGACTCTGAACTCATTTCTTCAGAATCTAAGAATACAAGTTACGATAATTTTCAAATAAAATTTTAATTTAGTTGAAATCAGTACGACACTTTGAGGTAAGTTGTGACTTAAGTTTTAAAAAAAAAAATCACTGTTCATGGGCTAAAATGATTCTGTACATTATATTACCAAATATTTGCGCATTTTTCCCTGTTGTCATTTAACTTATATTATCCTTTATACGATTTGGTGGTGGTTGTACTCACTACTTTTAAGCATACGGCACAACGAACTGGTCCTTTTCTTACACATATTTACCTACACAGAATTTCTGCTAAAGACTTTTATTCCCTTCTGTTACATATATTTTAAAATGCCATATAAAAACTTCTTTTCCCAAATTAATCAGATGGTTTCAGTAATTGAAAACTAGAAAAACAACCTTTTCCATCTGTCCTTAGGTAAGCATCCAAGCAGGGCAGAATCTCAGAGTAGTATGGCTCTATCAAAGAAGCAGGAAGTTGTTGGGACCAGCATTCCAAAGCCCCAAGTCCGATGTTGGCCAGTGGGAGATAACTCAAACCAATTGTGAAGGTTGTCTATAAATATTAAAATAAAAAAAAATAAAAAATGTTCGGTGAAAAAACTGATAGCATCCATGACAGACTGCACATTTTTGACGAGTTACCATAGTTTCGCATCGCTGAAAGACTGAACATTTTGCCCTGTAAACAAAGTTTCGCATTGATGACAGACTGCACATTTTTGGCCTGCAACCAAAGTTGGCATCAAGACAGACTGCACATTTTTGGTCTGCAACCAAAGTTTTGCATCAAGACAGACTGCAAAATTTGGCCTGCAACCAAAGTTTTGCATCAAGACAGACTGCAAAATTTGGCCTGCAACCAAAGTTTCAAATCAAGACAGACTGCACATTTTTGGCCTTCAACCAAAGTTTCCACAAATAAAACATTAAAATAAATTTTGCTACCTGAATAGCAGGTATAATGTCTGCCATCTGATCTGCTATGACCTCCTTTGGCAGTGATAGAATCAAAGTAAGACAAGCTGCCAACAAGTCGTCTCTGTACTGCTTCATTCTCAACAGGACCTGGAGTTACAATCAGGTATTCAACTGATAGACATTGGCAAAAAATATGTAACATGTATGCAAATATTCCTTATTAATGATGACCAAATCTAAAAAAATATTTCAATGAGGTGAAAATTAGAACTAGTTTATTTAAACAAACAACTGAACAGCACAAGTCAAAAGTAAAGAAAGGTTTTTCTAAAATTACATCAAACCTCTTTAGAAAACTTCTTGATCAGCTGATAGGCTGCTAGTTTTTCAGCTCTGTTTCCCAAGGAGCTTTGATCATCAAAGTCCATTGACTCGTTCACTGACTGAGAGTCAAAGAATTCACCACTGACCTCCTGCAAGAATACATACATGTTGTAGATATAGCAGCTGAAGCATTTCCTGTCATTTGCACAACAGGTTTTTCTTCTTGTAAAATCACATGCCTGCTAACAAACTTTAACCCCACTCATAAAATCTTTTCATTCAACTGAAAGTTGTACTTGCTTTCTGTATGAGATATAAGGTAGGAGAGGTGGGGGAAATGTGCCCATTATGAAATATCAAGCTATTTGTACTGTGTAATGATGCAGGTATTTCAAATCAAATTAAGCTTAAGAAGAAAACAATGCCCACCCCCCCAATCACACACACACACCTCTCTGCAACTTTAATTAACCACTCCTTCCTACTCAGGCCAATCAAAAAGATTTCTTAGAGGTCATTCATTTAGTGCGTAGACAAAAAAGTAAAATTTTCTATCCCCCTCAACTATGTTGCACGCATACTTTTTGGACGATGTGTACGCACAAGAAGCTTTTGACCCCCCCCCCCCACCCAAACAAAAAAGAACACCAACAAAAAATCTGTAGATAAATGTGACGTCACAGAAATAACAAGGAAATGTCTCACGGGTTTACACAGCCGACGGTTTTGTCAGCCCAGTGGTTCCCATAATATATGATGGGTGGTTCTGGGTGCCATGAGAATGGGGCAAAGAAGGCGCCACACTGGGCACCAACAACATGGGCACCAAAATCCTCTTTAGATTAGATGCTATTATTAAAGTAAGATATAACATCCCATATACTTCTTTCCGGCTTCGCCCCAGGTGCCACATTTCCTCGGCCTGGCCCTGTCCTGTGTTAGGTTTTCTTACAAGGGCGTCACGAAATATAACCTTTTTTATAATTTAATTTCCACATATAATCCAATGTGACATTTAGCAGGCGTGGTGCAAACACTTGAGTAACTACAGTTTGCAGTTGCAAGATTTTTACTCAACCCTTTACTTTATTTATTTCATGTATTTGATATTTGGAATTGCACTTTTTGGAATTTGAAAAAGAACGCCTGGGGAAAACCTAAATTTAGCATAGGCGAGGGGGGGGGGGGAGGAGGAAGATATGTCACACGCCTGTTGAATATACAGAGGACGAAATATTACTGTAATACTGCTACTACTGAGTACTATTTGAGCGATATCTAGCCATTTCATTTGTGAAAACACAAGGCAACATTATGAGGATAATTCCTACAAAACATTGCTTAATATTTTTTACAGCATTTGAGATATAAACATGCTATTTTTGTACAGTCAATATTTCAGGATCATTATTGTAGAATTTTAAAATAAATTTAGATACTTTCTGCCCCCTTCCCCCCTGCCATACGCACACGTATGCAAAAATCTATAAAATCAACAACCCCCGCCTCAGTGTGTGCATGCTAAATGGATGACTCTTACCACCTTCAAAACTGTACTATGGAAGGTTTTTGGGGGGAACACATGATTGGTAATTGTTATAAGATAAGAGTTGTATGATTTGAAAGAAGGACACTCATTTCAAAAATCATCTCTGATCTTGCCAAGCAGTAAAAAAAAAAAAAAAGTTTTGAACTGCTGATATCAAACCTTGAAATGTTTCAGCTTGTTTGCGATCGTCATGGTAACAGACAGCAGTTTGTAAGGTTTTTGGGGGGAAAACATGATTGGTAATTATTATAAGATAAGAGTTGTATGATTTGAAAGAAGGAAACTCATTTCAAAAATCATCTCTGATCTTGCCAAGCAGTAAAAAAAAAAAAAAAAAGTTTTGAACTGCTGATATCAAACCTTGAAATGTTTCAGCTTGTTTGCGATCGTCATGGTAACAGACAGCAGTTTGTAAAAACCACTGACCAGTGGGTACCTGGTGTTTTAGAAAAAAGAAATAATTTAAAAAAAAAGATAAAGTGAAAGTATCACTGCTATGAGCAGCTATTAAGCTGTATACGAAGGAGAAACTTCGAGCCAATAAATGTTCTAGTAAATTATTTTTTTCATTACAATAACTTTTTTATTTTGCTTTTGGAAAAATGAAACAAAAACTTTAAAATCAGTTACTTCACGCGTTTTTAATTAAACATTTGTATTTCCTTAGGACATCATTTGCCAAAAATAATCTGTGCACCACTGAAATAAATACCTGGTGGACAAAATGATGAGTGACTGTGTGAAAGTGAACACCCAGCTCTGAAATTTTGACCACTGGACAGAAACAAGCAGCTCTCTGTGTTGGATGATAAATAATAATGAGGAAGCAAAACAGGTGAACAACATGAATGTAAAAATATTTTCATACTTATTGGCAAATAAGAATTTCTGATTCAACGTTTAAGATTATACTTTGCATGCTGAGCAATGAAGAAGAAAAAAACCCCACTAAAGAAATCACAAAATGAAATCTTGACAAGGAAATGACAAAGAAAAGTAAAATCTACTTGTCTCTTAGTTCAGAGAGTTGGTCAAGTTATGAAACATATACATTTAATAAAAATAATAACATAAGACTGGAGTGAGAGCAAAGGGTTATCGTTTCATCCTCGTGTAAAGGAATTACCTGCAGAAGTCCACCAAGTTAATAAGGACCTGCTGATCTTTGGGTTTCTTAGCGACAAGCCCAAACACAGGATCGGCAGACAAAATATCTTTTTCATCAACGATCTCAGCTATACTTTCATTCTGTGATAAAGATTGGACTTAATTTTTCATATAGGGGAATTAAAAAACACAAAAAACATCTTGTCATTTGTACTGCCAGCATATATACTGTCTCAGTAATTGTCAAAATGCTAGATTACAAAGTTTTACACCAACCCCTGAATATCAATTTTTACACATTTTATTTTTAGTCTATCCATATTCAAAATAATTAATTCAAAGCTGGTAAGTGTATATTAGTCCATGTTTTTACTTTGAGATTATTTAATAAATAAACATCAACATCCTCCACTCACAGCATCATCAGACACAGTTGCCTCAAGGTCCAATTTATTCAAAATTTTGAGAATGGCTGACATAAGTTCATTGTAAATGACCTCAGTCAGCTGATTTCTGTCTCCTAAAGTGAAGTCATCTGCTGCCAAAGCCTGATAAAGAAAAGAATTAACCCATTTCATGCCATCTATTAAAACTTGAAACTAAAGATAGATTTGACTTGACTCTTCGCGGTCCAACTATTGAGAAATTCTGCTTTTACACCAGATAGGAAAGGGAAGGATTTTTTTTTTTTTTTTTTTTTTTTTTTTGTTGTAATATTGATTTTTTATTTATTTAAATAAAACAAGTATTATAGTAAAATGATTTAATTTATAAAAAAATAAGGTTTTAATATAATTAATCATAGTTTTTAAAATAAAATAATTTTTATACAAACACGACCGAGGCGAGTTTACTCGATTTTGTTTTCTTGTCGAGGACAGATAAAGATAGTTGCTTCAAAAAAATATTATTTTAAATTACAAAATTTACTCAGAAAACCATGAAATTAACTTAGATGAATCCTTAAGTGACTCTTCTGACGATTGGGATGCATGGGACTATGAAACAACATTGGATGAAGATGTGGATGTTTCTTTTCCTACATAAGTACAGTTTCAAACAATGTAAGTCTAGCCATACACTCGATTAGGCAACTAAAATTGTTAAATAATCTGAACAGCAAAATATATTTTGCAATTTATTAATAGTGTCCTAGTTTTGTAATGATAATTTTATTTTTCAATCATCTTTTGGCTTTAAAAATGAAATAAAAGTGTTTCTTTACATAATCAGCTGATCATACAGCTGGTAGTTTATTATATAGCTTTATATTTAAATAATTTTGTTCTCTAATCAGTGCAGATAATACATTGCCAATTGACTTGGAATAAAACATATGAAGATATTGAGCAGGTCCCCCTCAAGCCATACCTAAATTTATCCCTAAAAGAAAACCTGGTCTCAATATTGTGCATTCTGAAAGCAAACAACTAGAAATGGGATGCAAAAACTAAAAACTGCAGGTAAGGAATATTTGATATTATAATTGCAGTACCAATGAATAGGCTATATGCATAGGCCTAAGATTTAGATTTTATGCTTGATGATTATTTTTTTGTAAATTATTTCTTTTATTATAATATAATAAGTTATTTTCTTATTATATAATAATTTATATTATTACAACTGTGATACTATTGTTATATCTGTGTTATATCAATAAAATCCTTATTTTATGTCATGCTAATCTGCAATTTACAATTAATTAATTATCCACAGGAAATTTCTTCAAACAATCTTTCTCTGTCAGGAGATCATGTTGAAAATGTGTAGCAACACCAATGCTTATGCCAACCACATAAGAGAAGAAAAAGAAGTACCTCTTCACTACCTGGAAGAAAATAACACCTACAGAACACTTTTTTTTTCTTTACTTATGAACATGAGCCTAATTCCATGATGCGGAGTTACTGTCTCAAAAAGAAAGAGCATCAGACTGTAAGGGCAATTAAATGTTGAAATGTGATAAACATTTCTATCTAATTGATATAATTGTTGATTATTAGAATATCCCCTAAGCCTAGAGGACCCTTAGACTGTTTTTGTATTTGTTTAGGTCTGATTTAGTCATGTAAGCCATAGCTTTATTGTTATTATTTTTCTATTAATTATTATTTATAAAAATTGCAATATTTTGAAAACGAAATTATTCCAATTATTTGTTATAATACATTTTTAATGTATTTATATATTAAAAATAAACTTTTCAATATAAAAAAATAGGTTTTAAACTTTGTATTTGAATAATTTTGCACAATAAGGTCTTTTGTCAAAATTTAATTGCAAAAACACTATTTACGCATGGCTCACACAAAAAATTATTTAAAAAAACAGTAACAGTTGTATTTGTAAAAAAAAAATTTTGTGTGGATTTTTTAAACTTGATATCGAAAATTAAAAAACAATTTTAAACTATTTCTACTATTGTTTTTTTTTCTCCTCTTACAGTATGTTGTTTGAGTAAAAAAAAATGTTAAAATTTAAAATCTCTTTCTCACTTCAATCATGATTGTAAGAAAACACCCTATCATTTTCAAGCACACTTTATAAAATATGAATCTCCAATCATTTCAGAACAATTAAATATATAACATGATGGGTATTAATTAGCTAATCTTTTTATGGTATCCCATTATGTGAGATGACCTAAAAAACTAAAAAAAAAACTGCACAGAGTTAATTCTTCTTTGCAAAATACTGACAATAGAATTGTACTTTCAAGATGCCAGTTAACATTAATAAGCAGATGGCTCTCCTTTCTATATAAATATGGCACACTATTATTATTATAACCAATGGGCTTAATCAAGTTAGTGAAATTTATTTCTGTCCCTGAAACCCACAAGCAATTTGGAAATAACACAACTTATATAATGCTAAAGCTACTAAGTTTTATGTGTTAAAAAGATTATACTATTTATTTATTTTCTTTGAAAAATATTATATTTTTCAAAAAAATGTTCAATTCTAAATGTAAAATTAATTCAGCCAAACTTTGTTGACAAATTGAAGACTTTTCACTAAATTCGTTTTTCCAAAAGCTGACCTTTATTTTGGCACTTTCCAAAAGTCCTGTCCATAAAGCAATATAATCCTTAAAGGACACTTTCTTGGTTCCAAATTCATTCAAGTTCTCATCCACTTGGGCTGTCTCAGCCACTACAGGATTGGAGCATGTCCGTATCACACCTTGGTAAACTGGAAATTTAACAATCTATGATTATTCATGCAGTATTTAAAAAAAACTTAATTGCTTTATAGAAAATTTGTCAAAAAATAAAACACAAAAATTAAATGTATAGGCTGAGATAATACATTAAATGTTAGGCTATTAAATGCTTTTTCTTTTGTTTTTGTATTTGTCCGGCAATGGTGCAGACTTCGCAGGATAAAATCAAAAGGCCTGGGATTTTTCTTTAGCTGGTTCCCTAGACAGCAAATCACCTCTTTCTACACATCTGGATAACCCATGTGAACTTAATTTGCGAATGATACATTTTTGCATCAGAAGTGTCATAGGAGTTGCCGGAATTTTCATTGTGTCATTACCACCTACTGGACTCCATTTTCCAGTTTGAATCTACTGGACTCCATTTTCCAGTTTGAATTCAAAGTTTTACTTCTCTTAGATGAGTTGCCATCCAAGGTTAACAAGTCCCATCCACCCAGGTTGAGGTTTTGCTTGTTTAGGCTTTTGCTGGGGATTCAACTCCGGTCCACTAGATTGGGATTGACTCAGTTTAGACCAAAATATTAAATGTATAACCTAAGATACCATAATTTATTAAAGTTAAAGGATTAGATGAACCACTTAAAAAGAAAAGCCTTCTATGTGACCAATTTGGAAGAAACAGAAAACATTAAAATTAAAGCACACCAATGGAGGACAGAATTTGCTGAAAAATTGTTGGCTTCCCCATGAGTGTCAGCAACAGTATCAGAATGGACTTGTAACAGAGATGCTCTTGTTTTTTATTGACTTGGTAGATATTTTCTATTAGCAGAACCACAAGTCTTTCCAAGACAAGGCCATAAGGTAGAGAAACCTATCAAAAGGAAGGTATATAAAAATAGGATTTATTTTTGCCATTCAGTACAAACAAAGAAATGAATAGAGACTAATTCCATTTTTTAAACAGTTCAGTGAAAATTGTTTTCTAATTAAATTATTAAATGGTACAAATCAATTCTTACTCTTAACTACAAACAAGATAATGTAAAATATAGAAGTAAAATGTAAATTTTATACGATGTTCAGTGTCCAGTTAATATAAATCTGGTGCAAAACATGTATCATTTCCAAAACAATAAGCTCATAAAAAAAAAAAAAAACTTACAGAATCAACATGTTTAATAATGCTTGCTAAAGCAATCAGATAACTTGGAACAGACATTAGATTTTCCTCAAGGTTTGTCACTTGGCTATATACAAAACATAAAAATAAATATATTTTTTTAGTATGGGGTACGTCCAAATTTTTGTAAAACCGAGTATCTCGCCCCAGGACACAAATTAATTTATCAACTTCCTAATCCAGTTTGATGTTTCTAAATTCAATCACAACAAGTTGAGTTGGGCTAAGTAAAGCTGACCCGATAACATGGGCGCCCGCAGAAAACTTTCTAGGGGGGGGGGGGGCAAAAAATTGATTAACTTTCGGGGGGGGGCAAAAATTTTTTAGTAATGTTTTAATGTAGTTTTAATTTACTGTAGCGTATTTGTATGGTGAACGTATGGACAGGACATCAGCTTAGTTACTTTCTCTTTATTTTTTCTTTACTTTAATAAATTTTTTGTCTAAAATTTTTTTATCCAATCAATCCGGGGCGCCCATGCCCGATAATATATATAATTTTTTAAATGGCATATTTTCAATCAAATATAATATCTTTCCTTTCTGTTCATGGTTTCATCATCCAATCAATGTTTACGTATGGACTGAACAATGATACATAGCCAAACTGTGGCCACAAATAACAATATCGAAGTAGAGGAACCTCATTTGCTCTTTCCTCCTCGAAAATAAGTAGTTTTGTTCAAAGCGGTTGTATCTCATACAGTAATTTCCCCTTAATCTCTTATATATATATATATATATATATATATATATATTACGCTTCTGGTGTGAATCATGGACTGCTTCCTAATCAGCTAATTTGGTATTGAGAGTATATTACAAATAATTCTAAATGTTTGAAAGAAAGTACGGTTCAATAATGGGTTCAATAGAACTTAAAATATAATTCCAGATAACTATGCTAAATGATATTTTTTTAATATATATTACAACTGTGTTTGGCACATCATATTTTTTTTTCTTCAGAAAATGAAATCGTCTCAATTAAAGTATGGTGTAAAAAATATTCAGTTTAGAAGTGATTGGGACATCACAATATTTAATATAGGTCATGGGCATGAAATAAAAAGTGTGCAGTGACCAATCATTTGGGAAGGGGTGTAACAGAAATTGGGATTCTTAAATGTGCGCTACTTGAGTTCATGTTTTGTCAAGTAACTTTAGTAGATGGGAAGTTCATGCATTACTGTCGCTAATGTTTGGCGGGCTATATCTAGTCTTTAACTATAACACTTTTAACAACACAAGTTATCACTGGTGACGGCTTATGAGTATATTATGAAGAAAATTATTATTTTGCAAAGCCAACAAATTCTTTAAATATGTACCAAATAATTTCTCATGATATTAGACAATATATATGAGAGGGTAGCTGGTGTACACCTATTGCGCATCTCACAAGACGGCTTCCCAGAAATTTAGTATTGAAACATAGTATATTTTACTTCTTTGTGAGTTTAAGCACTATGATGTGATCAAATCATCTAGGACTTAACTTAACGATAAGCAGAAAAATTTCTCATCCTTTGCAATGGCAGGTTAAAAAAAAAAATTTAAATCTCCTTTCACATTTGTATATTTTTATTTCCTCTAACAATGTATCAGAATCTTTTGCTGCATAGATTACTTAGCTGTGTCTCTCAAAGGTCACGCAGCTCACATAAAACATTTTGCTAGTTAAACATACCTGAAGAACTGATGTTCACATTTTGTGATCATTTCACCAAACATGAACTGAGTGTCTGCTTCTGATAGGAAAGTTCTACATGGCTGAAACATAACAATGTTTACCATGATGGAACATTAGAATAAAAGATCTATGAAAATTTATTTCTTGACTGTTCTAGTTTGAACATAGAAGCTTTAAACATTTATTTTAGGCCAGTAATGTGGTTGAAGTATTTTAATATAATTTATATTTTTAGACTTCCTTTTATTGATATCTGTTAAGTTGTGTTTTTTTACATTTTTTATTGCCATTGTGAAACAAATAATAATTTTATTTAAAAGAAGATTAATTTACTTATTTCAAGAGTAAAAGATCGTTTCATTAACTTATATGAGATAGTTTCATAAGCTTATTTTTAATAAGAAAATATTCAAAAACTTACAGCTGCCAATAATCCATAGCCTCTGATTGCCATAGCAACCTCTTTTGATGATGATCTATTGCCATTCATAATGCCTCGAAATTCCAGTAACAAGAACTGATGGATGTTCAAATTATATCTATTTAATGCATTATTTTTGATTCTTAGTCTGAACAATCGAAATAAATGTGATATTTTGCAGATCAATACCAACTCAGCAATACATCACATGGTAAATTAACTAGATAATGAAATATTAAGTTTCACTTTTATTTTTAATTTCACTTTAAAACTTTTTTTAACTTTAAAAAAAAAACATGTTTTTTCACTCAGCAATGATAGCATAATTTTTAATAACTATTTTTTTAAACAACTGCAGTTTTACAGGTTTAAATGGTATTTTATAAGTATAAGAATTTACAGTGAAACTGCATGTGCAATGTAAGAGTGACAATATTCAGAGATTAAAATAAATAACTAACAAAGAAAGGCAAGAAGGCTTTTTGCTCAGATCATTTACATGTGGAAAAAAAAGAGAACATTTTGTGGCAGGAAGGTTAGAAATGACTTCCCACATCAACTAATATGCACAAAATATTCTGAAATAAAAACACAATAGAATTTTCTCTTTAAGATTATGAAGCAATAATAGACTTACCTTAAATATAGCCCCTTCTTTCTGTCCTTCTTTGGCTTTTTCCACCAGAGCCTCACATATCTTAACAAACAAAATTGTTTTTATAGGCAAGTGGATAAACTTCATATTGGACAAAGCATTAAAGTAATGGAGAAAACAACAGTTAATGGCTTACTTTAATCAAGTGGAGCACAGATCATGATGTTTGTAATTTAACTTTTTAAGTGTAAGTGTGGCTTAAAAATTTCACAACACATAAGAGTTTAAAAATAATGATAAACTTGAAGTTGGTTAAATGCTTTGAAGGAACATATTAACAAACAAACAAAAAAAAAGACTAGGAAATTAATGCCATTTTCTTAAAGTACAAATTTTCATATAAAATTTAATATAAAAATATTTAAAATCTCAACATTTACATTTGGATTGCATTTGCTGATATCTAATTATTCAGCAAAAGGCCAGTTATATAGATTACCAGCTATCTGCCAGTTAATCAGTGCAACTTTACATGCAATCCATTGTGTTAACTGACTAATCAAATTTTTGTTTAAAAAATTAGCCAGTTGCATTAGGGAGGAAATGTCTTTTTACTACAATCTGTAAACTCATACTTTTAATCATTCTAATCTTAGCTCATGCAAAGTTACAAACACATACCTCTTTAGTGAATGCCTCTAATGCAGCAACACCAAGATGAAGAACATCTTTATTGGAGTGGCGGCTCCACTTTTTAAGCTTTTCATACATTGGCTGCCAACAGAGAAGTTACAATATAAACTTAAGCATAAGTGAGACATGCTTATGTTGGTATGTTTAAAATTTATTTTTTTATTTGAGAGTGATGTATGTATGTGTCTACTTTGTACATAAGTAAAGTGGGCAAAGAAAGTTTAAGGAACAAATCTGTTCCTTTTTCACTCTTATATGCAGAAAGAATAATCCAGCAGTGAGAGGAGCATACTTTATATTCATCCATAAGGAACTGTCTGAACTGTCCAGCATGGAGACTGAGAAGTTTCAAAGCAGCTTTTATTGTATCATATCTTGTGTAGTCAATGTTAGGATCTAGAGCCAGTCTCACGTAATTGAAAATTTCATAGGAGTACCTGGAGCCTATCAGATAAGATCAAGAGAATTTCACTTAATTTCTCATTCTTTGTTAAATATAAAACAATATAAACACATTCCTTAAGTTAGCCAAAGATCTTTAAGCCACTGGTTGATCCAGAGGGAATACTGGTAAATTCAGAGGGACCACTGGTAAATCCAGAGGAATCACTGGTAAATTCAGAGGAACCACAGGTAAATCCAGAGGGAACACTGGTAAATCCAGTAAACATCGCATAAACAGACTAATCAAGAAAGCTAGAAATATAACACAAACTAAACATCCTTCACTTGAAGAACTATTTGAAGAAAGATGTTTTTGCAAAACTAAACACATTTTGGATGATACATCCCACCCTCTTCATTCTAGATACTTAGGATCGGGCCGTTCGGGACGAATTCTTTCCATCAGGGCGAGGACTGACCGATATAAAAATTCTTTTGTTCCCCAATCTGTACGAATTTACCGGCGTGCTTTCTCTGAAGTCACACATCTGAATGAGAACTAATAAGTCCCCGATTTTGCTAAGAGAACTCACTGAATGGCATTTTGAAATAATTTATTATAAATGTCTTGTGTTCAAATTGTTTTATTTTTGTGCTGAAAATGTATAATGCAATCAAAAAACATTTCCATTTAATTGGATCAATAAAATAAAATAATCTTATCTTATCTTCTTATCTTATCTTATTTAAGTTACAGATTATTTCAATGCAAAAAAAATTCATTTCACATTTCCAACACAAGGTATGATAGTATATCATCATATTTCATCATCTGAACAAAATCAAAACTTATAAATGTTTCACTGGCATAGACATTTCAGTGGGGGGTTTTAGTAGCTTCAAAGAGATTATTTTATTTTCTGCTCAATCTATCCATCAATAATCATGGTAATTTTTTTTCCCCAGTTTAAAAAATATAATACTGATACAGAATATCCTGTTGCTCGGTTTAAATTATAATTAAAGAAAATAATATGTAACTTGCCATCGTCCACTGACTGAGTAAAGTTCATCATGAAACAAGACAGACCTTCCATGCATCCAGCAACTATTGACAGCTCTGGTTTCTTAGTCTTTGAAGTCATCTATATAGACAAAGAATTCACATAACTTTTTACATAATGAGTTCTGAAATGGGATTTGGTGTTGTAACTTGTACACAAGTATAAGTAATAAATTGAATTTATCCCACTTAATGTACAAACAGTTTTAACTTGTTAATATTACAAGCAAAATTATTACAAAAAAGTGACCAAAAATGTGTTCTTTCTTCAAAATTGCCAGAACTAGATCATTGTGAAACATCTTTTAGTCTAAAAAATGTTTAATAAATTTCTGGGTGATTTAACAGTTAAAGTAGAAAGCATATTTTTGTCATAGCATTAAATAGTTTCTAAGATAATAATTAAATATGAACCAACAAATTCAATTTAAAAAACTCTGAGAAAATATTCATTCCATTTTGCTCATCAAATCTCAAAACCATCTATTTATAATGAAAAATTTAGCATTTTCAGTTCTATTCAAATTCACATTATTATAATTGTATCATTTTCATACTGCCAAGGTATGGTAATTACAGGGATTGGTGTGAATATTTTTAAGATAGTGAGTTGTAGTTTATGTCAATTTGTGATTGGACTTAAGGGGAATGATAATAAACAATGTAGTGTGTATATAAGTTGTGTCAGCTCGAGATGATTGTTAGTTCTTGAAAGCCAGTCTGGTAGTTTGTTGAGTTAGTGATGCAGTCCCCAGAAGTTCTAGTATGGTTTTTGTCTGTTGTGAATTAAAGTTATGGTGTTCGCCATTTTGTAATAAGGATTTCATTATGTGTAACATCATGTGTTGAAACACCTTATCATGATTAAAGAAGAATTGTAGTGGTGTAAAAAGTGTTGTTGCTGTAATTATTGATTATTGATTATTGACCCTCCTGGACAAGATAACCAGAAGAATTAGTAATATAAAAGGATCAATCTGAGACCCTAAATTCAACAGAACTTATCTTTACCTCTACTTTGAGGGAATTGACATAAGTAGCCACCAATTTTTCTGAATAAGGTGTCATGTAGTCAGGGTAAACTTCAGCAATTACACCAAGAATGTGGTAAATACTGGCTTTCACTGAAGATAACAATTTTTATTATTTTTTATAAATTCAAGCTAATCATAAGAGTCAATATAAATTTATGTTAAAAATTAAGTACCATATAGTTATACTTCTTAAATAAATTGTATTTAATTAACGTTCCATTGGAAAGTAACTTAATTTAAATAAATTTATAATTCATGTGCATTACATTTACATATGGAACATAATTTTATCAATTGTAATTTTAATGTAAATTTTGATACTATAAATATTTTTGGAAAATTGATTTCAATGATTAAAGTGTATTATATTTATTTATTTAGGCATTTTTGTATAGCGCTTACCTTACAGCTCTAAGCGCTTTACAATTATTAAAAATGTGTATAAACTATTTAAACTGCTAAAGTAAAATAAAAATGAAAAACCAGAGATACTAGCATTATATCTGGCAGTGTTTAAACTGGTTGGTTATAATTTAAACAAGTACATAAACTTTCATTGCCTTAGAGATTTGTATAAAATTACCTGTTGATGCCAGCTTTGATGGAGGTTTTGTGAGTTCATTGAAAAATTTTTGGATGAGTTTGTCAATATTTAAATCTTGACCAAGGGATGAACCAGCTGACAACTCCAGTACCTCAAAAATAAAGTGTGTAGAATATTTAAAAAACCAAAGAAGCAATAACCGTATACACGATTTGCTAGAGTGATAGATACAATTCTCCATTGGGAACCTGTGTACATTACAAATATTTTGTTTAATTCTTTAGTTTCTAGACTTCCTGGATGTTGAGAAATATGTCATGTAACATCAATATCTAGCTTTAAGTTAATATTTATAGATAATATTTATCTCACATTATAAAGTGATTGGTTCAAATTTTTTTCAAACGCAGCCAAGAGCGTATAGATATTTTCTTCTCATCCACACACACTTATTTCACACAAACAGCTTTAAATACTGCAACAGCAAATGTGTTGCACAACAATCAAATTCATCAAATAATGCTCAATATTCCTTTAATTCTTAAAGCAAAATAAAATAGAGGTTTTTAATATTATTAGTTATAAATTCAAAACGACGATGTTACCTTGATTATCACAGGTATAGCTGAATTTTTTACTTTAGCTGTGCGGTCCAAGCTATATACTGATACACAGGTGTCCTAATCAAACATGAGAAATATTAAGAACGAAATAAGCAATTCCTTACAGCTTCACAAGCTGAAAAACTTCATTTAAAAAATTATTTACATCTTGATTACTTAAAATGGCACTTTTACAAAGTGATTCCAAATTAAATTTAGTACAGTATATCTTTACGTATTGCAAATAGATAGATGAGGAAGAGTAAACATTGATTTTTGAAAATATAAGCATCTTTTAGATGTTTTCAACATCACTTGTTTCAACAAACAGATTCAGAACTAGAGAATGACCTGTACAGGAGTAATGAAAAAATAAGCTTAATCAACAGAGTAATATAGTTAATCTTTATTTATACCTTAATATAAATGGCATAAGGAACAACTTTTCTTTCAATCTTCTGTAAAAACTCAGATAGCAGAGCTAGAGCTGATGCTTTCCCATTTGACAGCTGTGAAAAGAATTAACTTAAAATTGTACATTAACTAGCAAGATTTGTACTAAGAAATTATAAGGTATAAAATTATCTGCTACAAGAACCTTGATAACTTTCTTACCATTAATGTTCCCTAACGATAAATAATGAATTTAATAGTAAAGTCATATTTTATATTTAAATCTCCATTTAATATTATCTAAAACCAATGACTAACAATAGTGCCATAAACAATGGTTTACCTCTGTACTTTCGATGATCTTCTGGAGAAAGTTATTAATTCCTGTTTCTTTGTCAAACAGTAAGGAGCAAACATGATCTGTCATTTAAAGTGGAATATTTTAATTTTAATAGTGATAAAAAAAATTAATAAAATACTCAATTCATCTGAATAAAAAAAATTAAATTTCATCAAATTAAATTCAGTTATTTTACTTATCATTTTGTAGATTACTGAAAAGAAAAGGTGCACTTGATTCGGACCGAAATTTAACTTTTCTAATCATAATTTTAAATTTATTTCAGTTTTTAACTCTTTCGCTGCGGCACACCGCACAGTGCGTTCATCCGCCATTCTCAAAAGCATGTATCAACGCACTCTGCATTGTTTCAATATCATGTTTGTTTCTTTGTTATTGGTCAATTAACTTTCATTTGATACCAAGTTTAGTCTTATAAAACCAAAATATAATATATTAAATATTTTTTTAATAAACCCAACCTCTCACTATTTTTTGCTCTTTGAAAAAAATGTACATTTTTTCGATAAAAAAATTCCGCAGCAAAAGAGTTAGTCTAAATCATAATTCAAAAAGTGTGATAATGAAGAATTTTAAAAGACGCATTCCAAAAGACTGGCAAAGAGCTGTTTTAGTCCCCATATGGACGAAGATTAGAAATAGTAAGAGGCCATCCAGGCAAGCCATAAATAATTCAGATTTGGGATCCCCCCCTTCCCCCCACCATTGTAAAAAATTTGACAAACATAAAATCAAGATGCCCTACTTATACTACTTAACAATCCCCCAACCCCACTTTTTTTTAATAGATGTGTGACAACATTTTTATGGATGGCAATTAGCAAATATTAGTTACAGTAAGCTAATTACTAAATGAATAAGTTAATTTAGTTATAAATAAAAATATTTAAAAATAACTAAGTAGCAAGTAGTAAGTAGGCTAGTATAGGCATAGGAAACCTAATTCTTTCTCTAATATTTCTTGACTGCAAATCTGTTTTATGTCCTCAACTAGGACCTCAATTTGTTCTCGATTTAATGAAATGTCATTTGTAAGTTCATGCAATGATTGGAGGCAGTCCCTCAGCCCTGCCGCCATTGCAAAATATAAATAAAAATAGTAAAAAATATATAATAAAAATTGGTAGTTCTGAAGAAAGTAGGTAAGAGTTTAAAGAGAGACTACTCTTATCAAATATATAAACCCGGCATCAACTATTTATCGCCCGCAAACATAATAATTAAAATTATTAAGTTTTAATATGATATTTGGTCGAAATAAAAAAAACGTAAACTCTTGTATATTTGTATAATGTATTTTACTATATAAATAGGTAGCTTAAAATGCCAAAGCAATTATTTTTCATGAACTAACGACCTTCAAAATATGTGTTTAAAATAAACGTTTATTTTTATTTTAGCCTGACCGAAACTTTATTTGTTTACGTTTCCGGATCAACAGAGAAATATGCACAGGACATTATTATGCGGCAATGACAATTTTTTAAAAAAAAAGATATTTTTTCAATAAATAAATAATTTTCCTATTAATGATTCTCATAATTGGACCACCTTCTGTGGGGAAAACTTTGCTACTGAAACGTTTGCAAAATAACCGTATCCTTTATTATACTCTATACTATAACTTAAACTTATACATTTTTAGTAGTAGTAGTATGAGTACTATGAGTATGAGTATGGCTATGACTATGTTATGACTATACTATACTATGACTATGACTCCACTAAGTTACTAAGTCACTAAGTATCAGTATTGGCTCAAAACTTATACTTATAGTTAGTTCTTTTAGTCTTTAGATTTATAAATGTATAACTATAATTTTTTTTTTACTTTGATGTAATTTCATAATTTAAATTGCATTAAATTAATTAATTTAACAACTCCTGACTGGAAAAAAACACAATCCAAATGCCATATAAAATAATTCCTGCATCTTTGTCTTTGTAGTACTAATTTAACATTTAATATATTTTATCTGCAATATTGGCATATCCTTACTGTAGTTTAAGACTGGTGAACATTTAATTATCTCATACCTGTTGTTTGTCCGTCAACATCGACTAGGACCATCCAGTCATCTGGTTAGTGGAGGAAGGTGGGTTATGGTGAGTTCAAAGGTGGCTTGCTAGTCTGATCCATGCTCAGAATAATCACTGGCACCGCAGGCAGTGGATAGTTGCTGCAGTCGGTGATCTAATATTGCTCTTTCGGGCAAGCTTGCATGTCTCAGTTATGGCTATCATACTGGCTTCATGAGATTTAGCCCCTGCTTGACAGCTGATCTCCACCTGACTCTTTCCTGGGCTGTCTGCACCCATTTAGTAGGGTTGATGCCAAAGGCCTTTAGTGCCACTTTCAGTGAGTCTTTGTAACGTTTTTTTTTACCTCTTTGGGAGTGCTTGCCTATCGTGAGTTCTCCGAAGAATATCTGTTTAGGGAGCTGGTGGTTTTCCAAATGGGCTGCATGTCCCATCCAACAGAGTTGAGACGGCATCAGGGTGGTGAAGATACTAGGTAGGTTAGCTCTACCAAGGACCTCTGTGTCAGGAACTTTGTCTTGCCATCTGATGCCGAGGAGTTTCCTGGGGCAGGTTGTGTGAAAATGGTTCAGTCTCTTAGAGTGACGCTGGTAGACTGTCCATTTTTCACATCCGTAGAGCAATTTCGAGAGGACTGCTGCGCTATAGACCTTGATATTCGTTTCTCGTCTGATACCTTTCCTGTCTCAGACAGTCCTGGGGAGCCTGCCAAATATGGTACTAGCTTTTGCGAGTCTGGCATTCATTTCATTATCCATGATGACCGATCTGGAGAGGGTGCTGCTCAAGTAAGTAAATTTATCCACTGCGTTAAGATGCTGTCTGCTGATGATGATGTTGGGTTTAATGTAAGTTCTACTGGAAGCTGGCTGATATAACACTTCAGTCTTCTTGGTGTTGATTGTTAGGCCAAAGTTGTTGCAAGCCTCAGAGAAGAAAGATATCAACGCTTTTTTGCATGGCGGCTTCAGAGTCAGCATTGAGGGCACAATTTTCTGCAAATAAAAGCTCGTTGATAGTGTTATGTTTGACCTTGTTTTTAGCTTCAAGCCTCCTATGGTTGAAGACTGATCCATCCGTGTGGAAACTGAGCGGCAAGCCCGTGGTGGAGTCCTTGAAAGCATCAGACAGCATTGCAGAATACATAATACTGAAGAGTGTGGGAGCAAGGACACAGCCCTGCTTCACATAGTTTGTGACAGGGAATGCTTGAGATGACTGACCATTTTCCTGCACTTGGGCCATCATGCAGCAGACGTATGATGTTGGTGATTTTGTCTGGGCATCCATAATTCTTCATGATTTTCCACAGGCCACCTCTAATGACTGTATCTCATACTTACTACTACTTTCAGCAAACTTATTCAACTTTACACACACTCTGAAAGCATCTCTGTTATCTGTCTCTTTTTATCTTCGTTACATTTAAAGATTTATTTCTGGTGCAGAGTGTCTAATTATGTTATATCCATATTCTATACCTAATGTGATCCTTAATAATTTAATATCCAACTTTAATTAAAGAAGATGTGCCAGCAACTATTTCTACTGTAAGTTTACTTATTATTTACATAAACATTTATTAAAGCTTGTAATTTCATAAAGCAGTCTTTCAGTTTTCTAGTTTGACTATTTTCATGAGTTCACTTGCAATGAAAAGACAGTTCATTTTAGTTGCTCTATGAGCAATATTACTGGATTGGTTGAACTTGGAATCACTTCTTTAGAACATCATCATCAGTGGTGCTAAAGCCTCTGTAGCACCCTAGTCTGCTCCACCATTTTCTTTTATTCGGGCGTATGACGAATTTTTTCCCCATGTTCTACAGTACATCATAATTCATAATTATAGACTATATATATATTTTTTTTTTTTTAAGAAGGAATATTCTCACTTAGATATTTTAACCGTTAGCAACAATTTAATAAAAGTGCTGTAGTCATAAAAACAAACATAAGTCTAATAAATTCAGAAGGAATATGCTTAAAATACTTAAATATTAAAGCATTGAAATTATTAAAAAGCAGATGTTATAGCTATTCTTCAAAGCAAACCAGAAGGTATATGCAATATATCATATACCCTGCAAAACAGAAATAATTAATCCTAATATGTTAAAAAATTATTAGCTTGTTAAGTAAGATTAATATAAAAAGTTCAATCTTTTTTATGATTTGATTAATTCATATGTGTATTATCTTACCCCTTAAACTTAAATAAATCATAGCTATTTGTAAAGTATAATTTGATATATAATTTTCTCAGACCATTTAAAAGTGTATTTTATTAAACAGGTGGGAACAAACCTGATGACAGTTACCGTCCTTAAAAAGACAGAGGTTACTATAAGAGAAATGGGAGGAGCTATGGGTCCAATTTGGCACAATTATTATAAAGACTCTCACGCTGTCATGGTAAGAGAGTAAATATTTTTTAAATAAATAATTGCTTTGCATTATAACATCTTTTTAATTAAATTAATTGGTTTTGGTGTAATATTAGCAATGTCTGTAATTGCACTAATCTGTATACTATTTTTGAAAATGAGTATGTTAAGATTTCATTAATTTGAATTTCTGCATTTCTGGGGGGGGGGGGGGGGGGGGGGGGGTTTCTGGGGGAGAGATTACTGGAGGCGCCACTGTACATAGTAATATAAATAAAACCTGCAAATTGAGGGGGAGGGGTAAAATGCCCCACCCTGCCCTTCCAAAAGATGCCCCTGAGTAAAATTATAATTTTCAAATTATGCTGATTTGTTCCTGAGTTTAGTCAAATTCAACCTTATTTTATTTTGCATTGTATCTTCTGGGCATCATTTTCTTGTAATTGTGTGCATGTTAAATTCCCCCTTTCCTTCATGCACATTGATTTAATGAGTTTTTATTTCTTAATTTCAATAATTAATCCAACACCTCAACAACTTTCTTTATATTTCATTAAAACACACAATTGAATTTGTTTAAAATTAAATTGTATGATAAAATTCAGTAAAGCTTTATCTCACACTGTTGACACAATTTTTGGGCTCATCTGGGATAGATATATACAAAAAATAATAATAACATAAAATATTTCTTTTATTTTCTTTAAAAACTTAATAACTGTCTTGTAAATTGATTTTACATTTTCAGTTTATGATTGATATGTCAAAACATACTCAAGTTGCTATTGCTTGTGTCCAATTACTGACTATGCTGTCTCACCCTTTAACACAAAATGTTCCAGTGTTGATAATTCTCAACAAAATGTAAGTTTAAATTGAAAATTACATCAATAGTAAATGCATTATTAATTGACCTTAGTTATCCAGATTTGATTTTCTAAATATCTTTTGTTTCTCCAGAGATGTTCCTAATGGTTTAACCAATGCAGAATCTGAGAGCTTGTTCAGATTTGATGAACTCACTAAACAAGCACCACAGAAAATAACTATCATTGAAACCAGTGCTAAAAATGGGAACAACCTAGATAAAGTAGCCAAATGGATCTATGAACAAAATAAAAATGAAGACATCAGTTCAGCCTAAAATACTGTAAAAATGAAATTTGATGACACTGATGATGTTGAAAACAAAACGTAATAAATTATTTCATGATCTGACAGAAAGTAGTTATCAGTTTAACTTTAACCCATAATCCCCTACATTCTTGCTATTAAAAGTAGACTGAAACACAATAAATAAGATTTTAAAACCAATTTTGCTGTCCAATGTTGTTGTTTTTTTAAATCAACATTAAAGCAATGTTGTAAATAAGGCATTTGCTAAAGAAAAATAATAATTTAACATAAAGCCTGTTTCTAATTTCATTTTAACAATGTAAAAAAAAAAAAAAAGTCATCCAATTTTTATATCCCAAATTGCTTAGTAATAAAATTCATATGATGTCAAGTAAATTGAATCCATCACTTTTTTTAATTCTTTGGATCTTTTGTTGTTGCAATAATGGCTGCATTGTTGTAAGATTCTTATCGTTCTCATTTCGTCAAACAGCCCATACATAACACCTTTGGCAAAGTCTATCAAATTTTAATGGGATGAGTGTGAAATTGTAACCCTAATTTAACCATTCTTTGAATGATTTCTATAGAGTATCTATCTTAAAGATAACTAAATAACCCGTTTTGGAATGGGCTCCTGCCGGGAATTCTATTACTATTGCATTTTAATTAATGAACCACCATAGCTTGGCATTATGTTTAATAAGACATCTTTAAAATGTTATATTGGTCTTTAAATCTTTTTGAAAGACCTGAAACGTTTTTGGTCCCAACTTCAATGTTTATAAGAGTTATTACAAATATTGGATATTTTATGGGAGAAAATATTTCAATTTTGTTTTGTCCTTGATGGAGGTGTTTTTGATTATTAGAGTCCTAAATTAACATGTCTGCTGATAGTATTTAGAAGTTTTTTTAGATTTTTTTCCGAATGCAGTCCAACACTTTTTATAACCATAGAAACGCTAGGTGAAGTTGCTAGTATTTAACATGTCTGTCGCATATTAAAAAAAATCAACCCACGTTGCAAATCTCGTTCTCCTTGGAGTGTTCATCTCAGAAAATCACTGTTGGTTTCCATGCAACAGACAACATTTAAATGTTAAATTTGGAAAACGGGCAGTGTTGTAGCCAAGACCTGGCCTACGGGCAGTGTTGTAGCCAAGACTTGGCCTACGGGCAGTGTTTTAGCCAAGACTTGGCCTACAGGCAGTGTTGTAGCCAAGACTTGGCCTACGGGCAGTGTTGTAGCCAAGACTTGGCCTACGGGCAGTGTTGTAGCCAAGACTTGGCCTACGTATAAAAAAAAAAAAGGTCGGGTGAAAATTTTCATGATAGTCTATGGTGAGGGCAGAGACATCACGGGAGCCCTGCAATCCATGTGGCCGTAGGGGGGCCTTGGATATTTAAATAGCCAAGACTTGTCCTACGTATAAAAAAAAAAAAGGTCGGGTGAAAATTTTCATGATAGTCTATGGTGAGGGCAGAGACATCACGGGAGCCCTGCAATCCATGTGGCCGTAGGGGGGCTTTGGATATTTAAAGGCATAAAGTTGTAATGTGGAGGAAAAAAATCAATTGCATTACTATGAATGCAAGAAAAAATGAAGGAAAAAAAAGTGTTGGGAGTGAGGCAGGAGAGTGGTACGAGTCTCCAAAATTCAAGTGATGACTTTGAGAGGAAAGAGTTGCTCCATGTTGTCTCTTGTAAATATGTTTTGTAATTTTGTGTTTGAATCTTTGCCGTAAAGGGTTCTACTATCTTCCAAGCTCACCTGACCGAGGATGGGGAGGTAAATCCATTGTAGGTCGACTAATAATATCTTTAAATACTTTGAAAACAATTGGATGTGTGCCTTTTAAAAGCTGTACGTGAGAGCTTTTAATCTCCTTTTGTGGAAAGCAAACTAATTTACTAATTTTGTGATCACCACATTTTCAGATAGGCCTCACTAATAATATCGTGGACAGTGTTTCTTTCAGACATTTTCCCCCGAGAGGGGTGGGGGCATTTCATACTAGGTAGCATATCTATCAGCAATAATACTAGCTACTCCACTAGGTAGTGTATCTATCAGGACTAACACTGGCTACTCCACTAGGTAGCATATCTATCAGCAATAACACTAGCTCTCCGCTAGGTTGTGTATCTATCAGGACTAACACTGGCTACTCCATTAGGTTGTGTATCTATCAGCACTAATACTGGCTACTCCATTAGGTTGTGTATCTATCAGGACTAACACTGGCTACTCCACTAGGTAGTGTATCTATCAGGACTAACACTGGCTACTCCACTAGGTTGTGTATCTATCAGGACTAACTCTGGCTACCCTACTAGACAGTGTATCTATTAGCACTAACAGTAGCTACTCCACTAGGCTGTTTATCTATCAGAAATAACACTAGCCACTCCACACTCTTCTCTTATGCCTTTTCCTTCGATTGGGGCACAGGCCGTCCACAAGAATTCTCCATTTATCACGATCCTGTGCTTTCCTTTCCAGTTGTTTCCTGGTGTATCCCATATTTTGCGTGTCTGCCTCTAGCTCGCGTCTCCATGTATTCTTTGGCCTTCCTCTCTTTCTTCCCCCCCCCCCCCCCCGTTATTTTCCAAGTTTCCGCTCCATATAGAAGAAATGTTTTGACATTTTGTTAAAGGTTCTGACTTTGGTTTGCAGCTTCAGCTCCTTCGACTTCCATATTTCTTTAAAAGCACAAATGCTGATCTAGCTTTTCCAATTGTAGCCTTTACATCCGCGTCGGATCCACCATTTATGCCAAACTATGTTAAGGACGCCACTTCTTCCAATGTCTTTCCTGCCAGAGAGATATGCTCTTGGTTTGCTGAGTTTACCTTCATGACCATTGTCTTGTTTTATTTATATTGAGTCAGAGCTGTGCTGAAATGGTGGCTACGCCTTTGTCTTTTCCTGCATTTGTTGCGGGTTGTGGGACAAAAGTGTAATGACGTCTGCAAAGTCTAAATCATTCAGTTGTTCCCAGAGTGTCCACTGTATCCCGTTCCTCTTTTTGCCTGTGGATTTTTTCATTATCCAGTCCATTGCGAGAATGAATAGGAAGGGGGACAAGAGACCTCCTTGTCTGACTCCAGTTTCCACTTAAAAGTCATCTGTGAGTCTACCTTCTTGTACCTACATGCATGTCATTTCTTTATAAGAACTCTGAATGATCCTGAAGAAGTTTCCACAAGATTTGTCGGTCCAGGCTATCAAAGGCCTTTTCATAGTCTATAATATGTATATATAGAGGGAGTTCCATTCAATGGACTGTTCTACAATGAATCTTAGTGGTGTAATTTGATCAGTGCATAATCTCCACTACTCCACTAGATAGTGAATATATCATCAACAAAATTTTGACCAGCACCAGCTGTACTGTCATGTTTTAATAAGAAGGGCAGAAATAGATGGAACTGCTGGCTCCTGAGTAAAGAGGAGGGGGTCAGGTGAGCCCTTCCCAGCAAATTTTGGATTATTTCAAAATCAAAAGTTGCATTTTGGAGTATACCTGAATTCAGTGTATCTCTTAGACTTAGCTTCTGGGGAAGGAATTTTTTCAATTGTCAGAGGGAGCAAATGGCATTCAGTGTCATAAATAAACTGAATTCACTCAGGTTGTAACGTTCCCCAGGGTAATCATTTGGCACAAGCTTATATTCAACCCTATACTGTAACATTGATAGGCGCGGGGGAAGTGGTATAGCATTGTAGGCTGCTGAAGACCGTCGCACATATTCAAAATTCAGGGGTGCATTTTGGCGCATACTTGAATTTGTGTTTCTTTCAGGCAATTTTGAGGCGAGAATTTGAGACTTTCCTGTGCGAAGTGCTAAAATTAGCCATAATTAGGAACATCTCTTACTTGCTTCTTACCACAAGTTTTTATTGAACATTTCCTAGCGCTTTCCCACAACGTGGATAGGCCTAGTTGTTACAAAGCTTGATGAATGTTAAATTTCCAGCATCGTAATTGCATGAGCTTTTAGTGCGGTCGCCCAACTTTGCCCCAAAAACAAGAAACATGGAATGCTGCATAACCTAATAAATTTCTGAACATAGTATAAATCATGGATATTTATACATAATTTAAATACTGTAATCCTTTTCCTGAAACCCACCGTGAAGAAGGTTATATGTATCCAGGTATGGATTTATTTTTACAACCGTGACTTCAGTCTCAACACTTTGGCTCACAAACTTCCTGTAAAGTGATATCATTTTTTTACATAGTGCTGCATTGTGATATATAAGCTGAATAAGCAGGCCCGCACCTAGGAAATTCTGGGCCCCAGGCAGCTGACAGAGTTCGGGCCCCTTTCATGTTTCAAACACGTGCGTATATTTTAAAACCCGAAAAAGGGCGGGCCATATCTAGCTCGGGCCCCGGACAAGTTCCATGGTTGTCCCGCCCCCCCCCCCCCCCCCCCCCCCCCCCCGCCGGTCTGGTATAAGTAATGAATTATAATATGTGATAAGATAAAACCAAAAGACACATTTCACAGCCAAAAAAATGCTTTTAATCACAACTCTTGTAGAAGATGAATAGAAAGGTGCAGTTACAAGCAATTGATAAACATCATTCATGACTAGTTTTACACTCGCCATCCCATCACCATTTAGCCATAACAGAAATAGCAAATATTGCTACAGCAAGTTGTCGCTTGTCATTTAATGTTAAAAATAGAAATTAAAATTTATGTGCCATATTTAAAATATCCATATGGAAATAATAAGCCTGTTAAATTCTAAAATCAAGCAATGAATCAACATAGTTTGTGGTAATTTTAATCATTTGCCCGGCCACCTGGTTGGGGTCAGTGTTTTTCAACCTTTTTATTGGAATGGAACCCTTTGGAGCAGGGTTACCAGACGTCCGTATTTAGTACGGACTATTTGTATTTTCGGCCACCTTGACCATACTAATTTTTGCGCACGTATTTGCCCGCACTTTCCACTCATCGTCCGGCTTGTCCGTACTTTTGGCGGCGACGAATTGCTTGCCTTATTTCCATTTGTCTTATCTGAATAGTTTCAGCGCCATCGCGCGGAACGTTTCTGGTTAACCTAAATAAAAGCATTACTGGTGCATCTGCGTGAAACTCAATGAAATCGCGTGAGACTATCTGCAGCCTGTGCCGTGGCCAGTGCGGGAAGGGTGACTTCCGGATTTCGTGTTCCTTGGTCATTGTCTTTAAAACTTTGACATGAATTTGGGTCCCTGGTGCAATCAGCTAAAACAGATTTTTAAAACAACAACAACAACCAACTTTAGAAATCTGGTTGTATTCCCTACAAAAACCAAACTGCTGCTTAAGGTAACTGTCAAAAA